ACGTACACCAAACCACATTTCTTTTCTGGATGGAAGAACAAGAAAGCAGTTACTGCCCAAAAGGCGCTTTTTATTTTTGCTACTGTTACATTTCTTTTATCGTCAAAATGCCTCTTCACAGCCCGCGCTGGTACAGCACCGTGCCCATTTTGAGGTAAAGTCAATGGGATCAAACCGCTTCCCGTCGCTGCCACCGCCAAACACCAGCCCGGCATCAGACGGCACTGGGGGTACCACTGACGGCGCCCCCGCCCCCGCCCCCGCCGCCTCATTGCGATGACCCACGACGACCACTTGCCGCCCCAATACACCACGGTTCCAATAAAGTCCCTCCCCAAGCTAGTGACCCTCCACCGGTTGGTAAAGTCAAAATGGTCCGCGCGCACACAGCCCAAATACTCGCCCCACCGTGCACTTCGCAGGCTGACAAACCCGTCATTGGCGCCCTCCCTCTGCTCGATAATATCATGCGGGATAATCAGCGGATTAAGCTTATCCGATAGATCGTGCGAGTCCATAAACGCCCCCACCGAAAGGTACTGGACACCAGGGGCGTTTGGTGTTGCGGGGTTGAAGAACCGCGTGCAGTAGTCGGTGGTCAGGCAGGCGTACGCGGGCGTGTCGAGGGTCGCCATTATGCGCCGGTAGACCATCCGCAGAAGCACCATTGATCGGTCGAGGTAATCCCTGTCGCTGCCGCCGGTGGCCGCCTTTTGCGACATGTGCAGGAGCTGCGATGACTCGCTGACGCTGGCGTTTTCGCCCAGGAGCTTTGTCAAAAAGTGCGCAAACTCACGCAGCCGGTCGTCCTGCGGATCAACCGCCGCCGAATCACCGCTGGCTGCTACCGCTGCCGCTGCCATGGCCCATTATTGCCCGTCCGATGATCACGCCGATGCGCTCGCGCAAAACCATATCCGGCACATCCCCTGCAGCACCCACAGCTGCAGCCGCAGCCCCTGCACTACCGCCCACCGGGCTCCTGCGCCCCTGGGGCCTCCACACCGTGGCAAAATCTCGAATCAGCTGGTCCGGATCCACACGATACCCGAGGCTCAGGTAGTCCCTGCACCAGTCCATAAACGGCGACCCGCGATGCGGCGTACACACGCTGGTCAGTGACCCGACAGAATACCGCTTTGGCTTGATATGCGCAATCAAATACCGTGCATCCAGCCCACCCATTGAGTGACCGAGGATGTTGACCTTGGTCGATGCCACTTGGCTTGCCAGCAATGTGTCCAATTGATGCGCCCGCTCATGCACGCCGCCGGTGCCGGGCACTTTGGCAATCACCACGCGGGCTCCGATTTTCTCCAGCGCTTCGCGAATCCCGCGCCAGTAGTGCACCTGCAAGAGTGGGAGTTTCTCCGGACCTATACACCTTGTGAAACAAAAGGGGAGAAAAGCAGTTAGTTGCGTTTGTTTGGCTCATTAAGTCCGTGGGGTCTATTTCTCATTTGCCGATTGTTTTGTTTTTTTTTGTTTTGTTTGTTTTGTTTTGTTCTGCTCAACAGCCTTACCTCGCACGTCAAATCCATAGAGTCCATGGCATAGTACTATGGGATTCCGCGGCGCAATATAGATTGGCTTAACCAGCGCTTGCGCATTCACCTTGGCCTTATCAAAAGTTCCACCTGCCGGCTATCATCCACATCCACCTGCGTCGCCTGTACTGTTGCCGTTCGTGAGTATAGCCAGGAGGATCCAGTGCCTATTCTTATGCCTTTTTGGCCCGCTTGCTTAATTCGTTATTACCGTTGCTGCCTAAAACCCCAAGCCGATGCTTGAGGAACTGCGCAATCCTACCGGTTAAAACCGATGCCAACATAACCTTATCTATTATGTCTAGTAAACTGACTTTTGAATAATAATATAATAAATAATACAATTTGCTTTTTGTCGTCGCCAGTGAATTACAAAGTCTTAAATATAATAATAATAATAATAAAAATATAAAAATAAAAATAAAATAAAATAAATATCTTTGAAAAAAATCAAAGAAAAAAGAAAGGAAATTTGATAGCGTTCTGATGCACAAAAGGGAAAAAAAATATTCCCAGTGGCAGTTTCTTATTTACGCACATACCCCAAAAAACAAAAAAACAAAAAAACAAAAAACAAAAAACAAAAAACTTTGTACTCACTCGTTCACCACTCACTTACCCACTCACTCACTCACACACAACCAAAGTGCAAAAAAATAATATTCGAATGAATGACAGAAACCACCTGACCTTATTTATATTTATTGGCAATTTTAGAAAGAAAAAACATACTTTTCATTTGTTTGCAGCCTGCCCCCCGTCTTCGCTGGGATTGGTGAAGGTAAATAACTTCAAGAATAAATATTGTATAGATCACCAATTGATTCGAATGCTGCAACCAAGCCCAAGCCCAAGCCCAAGCCCAAGCCCAAGCCCAAGCCCAAGCGCAACGAGGCTGGGTCATTTTTATCCCTTTTCCTCACATCATGGCGGCTATTAACTGCCCGACAGCTCAATCTTCGTCAATTTCACCCTGTGACTACGAAATGGATAGAGGGACAACCTTATTCCAAAACTTCATTATTATTTTATAATTATTTTCTTAATTAGCTCAACTCTGACTATTTCATCCAATGATGAACTAAAAAAATCGAAATATCCTACGTGGAAACACAAACTGGCTTTGACTAATCCAAAATCACACCCTCATAGGAAAACACCCTCTTCCTTCTTTTTAGTTCTGCTTCTGAACCCAATCGGCAAACTCATCAAAAAGTGCAGGCCATGCATCCTCTTTACTATACCCAGTAAGGTTGCTGTCCATACTCTTTGAAAGCGCCAAAAGCGATTGCCACTGGTCACGATTAATAGTCTTGTACTTTTCGCTGTCCGAATCCAAAAAATTTACAAACTTGTCAAACAACCTGTTATCTTGCGTTTTGATTACTGGTAAAATATCCTTCGCAAACTACAAAAAAGCAAAAAAAACATGACAAACAGAACAAATTAATAAAAAAATATAAACACAAGGCATACAAAATAAAATAAACATTTTCTCTTCTACTTACTTCTGCTGAAATCACTTTCTGCTTGTCGCTCTTCAGGTAATTAAACATCCGCTGATAAAACTGCTTATACACCGGCTCCTCAATCGACATCTTCTTCAAAACCCGCGCAATAGCCGTCCGCAACTCATCAGCATTATTCACATTCATCGCCTTGAGTGACGACTCCCACTTATCATACGTCACCATGCCCAGCTCGGAACACTCAAGCTTCCACATAAGCACCAACGGCTCAATGTTCGCCATATCGTACCCCAAGTCCGTACACAGCCGCTCAAACCCATCCGGCATAATCACGCTCGCCCCGTCTGTCCGCTCAAAATCCTGGTACTGTGCAAACCACTGCTCAAGGTATGACTCTGACATTCCAACCTGTAAATTATAAATTCAAATTCGAAAAATAAAAATATGTATGTTTATGTTTGTGTGATGTAAAATGCGTTGGTCCAAATTTGTTTTTCCAAAATAATAGAAAAAGAAGAGTAGTACCAAATGAGCTACCCATAGGCTCATTAATAATCCACTCTGTTCCCCCAATTTTTCCAAATGAAGAAAACCTCACTTCAAAACGTCACTTTGTGACCCTTTGCAACAACTCCTTTTGCATAATAAAAAAGGACCCGTACTCGTGCTGCGCAAAGGGAAAGAAGGAAAGAAAAGAAAGCTTCTCCCTTTTCAACGCTTATCTCCCTTTTTTACCTCGACTTACCTTTGAATCTGCTTGTGTGTCGTCCTTGTTGCTAAAACAAAATACAATTTGAATACAGGAAAGTGAAAGTGAAATATAATGGAAAATTCAGTTCAACTGATTAGAGAAAAATAAAATGAAAGAGAAAAAGGGTTGAAATGTAAACAGACCAAAAAAATTCGCAGTTGTGGCGTAAAAAAAACATTTTTTTTCAAAAACTCTTTCCCCTCCCCTCCCCCCAAATTTGCGACCAAATAAACAAAAAAATGTTTTTGAATATTAACTGCGCACTATATAACTTACCTCGCAACGTGAGCTTCACCCGCAGCAGCATTGGAACCTCCTTTGCTACGACCATGACTACGACTGCACGCCATACTACCTCTGTTCGAAGTAGCTGCTGCCGCAGTCTTTGCTACCTTTGTAGCTGAATTTTTTATCGAGGTTGCTGCTTTTTCCACTATTGCCTCTGCATCGGCCTCTGCCTTTCTTTTGGCACTCTTTTTGGAACGTGTGTTTGGCATTTGTTTTATCCGCTAAAAAAATAAGAATGAAAGCTGAAGAGGGGAAAATAAGAAAAGAAAAGGTATGTTGAAATTGAAAACGAAAACGAAATTGAAATTGAACAAAAAGCAAAAATAATATATTAGATAAGAAAAAGAAGAGAAGTGTGGATATCAATACCAACATCTCGGTTTAAAATAGACAAACATCCAGAAAGAAAGAAAACTGCGCTTGTTTTATGGCTTAGGCGCAGGGCTTTTTCCGGGTATAATGATATTTTGTAGCATTATTTCAATAAAATTAATCTTTCTTTAAATTTTAATCATTCACCCGATCAGCTTCTTTTTCGGTACAATTAAAAAATGACCACTAAATTATAATAATAATAATAAAAAGTTATTTGTCAAAAGGTTACTTTAATATTGGATCAAACACACTTTTGCCTTCTTTTTTTTGCCCGTCTGGTCATTCGGCTTTTGCAGTTCGGGCAGGTGCACTCGCGGTCGCATATCAGAATTATATTCGCTGGTAAATATGCCATTGTATGCCTAATTTGTGCGTATGTATGTTTTGATTCCTGAGCCCTGTACTATCATCAGCTTTTAAACACTTGGTTGGATTGAAAGTAAAAAATGTTACCTAAAAATATGTATAACGATAAGTTCTTCTTCAACCGGGCGTGTTTGCCCATTATTTATATAAATTTTATTCGCAAAATATAAAACCCCTCCCATCAACTACAACTCCCTCCTTTTATTCTGCAAATTGAATTTTGAATACCGCCCACCATTTGAATCACAAGTGACCTGGCGCTCAATGAGGCTTGCCCCCTTTTTCTTTACAAATGTGTACATCTTTAACAAAGAACATGTGTATATATACAAAAAGAAAGCATTAATTGCACTTTGGCCAATTAAAAAAGAAGCACAATAATAAACCAACGGTGGCTTAATACAAGAAATGTGGTCAAAGGATACAAATTAAATATACGAAATCGGGAGCAATTTATGTTATAAATAATGCTATATGCATAAAAATGATGTCAATTAAAGGGGGATGTTTTTTGTTTTTCATTAATGAGAACCAATATATTTAATCGGCCTCCATATACACCCTGAACGCACGCTTGCGTTCGTACGCCTTCTTAACAGCAGCGCGGATACGCTCAATTTCTTGGCTGAAATTAAACGATGTCAGATCGGCCAACTTGTCCACCTGCTCGGCCGTCCACTTGTCATTGAAAGTAGCACAAAAGTCTGCCGTCTCGGGATCAAACGCCGGTTCCCTAAACTCTGGGTTCGACAGCAATGGTAAATACAGAATGCTAAGTGTGGGCGCCAGATTCCGCTTAGCCAACGTTTTTAATGCAGGCGCCGGCGCCAATGGGTGGTCAAATACCACGCACCGCATGTTGCCCTTCTTTACTTTGCTCTCGATGTGCATTGAGACCTGCTTGGTGCTACGCAGCGCGCTGCTGGTGGTCTCGGTCTCGGACTTTGAGGGCCGCAAGGGGTCGGCCGTCCATGGTCGCGCTCCCCATGGCCACCGCTCAACACCATGGTTGCTCGCCCACGCCTCGGCGCGCGCAAACCACGGCATAATGTCAATGTTGGCGCTCGAGTCAAGACAAATGATCACATCCACCTCGCGCTCAGGCCGGAGAAGCGGCGCAAATGGTAGGTTGTTCTCCAATCCGGCATCGAGCAGGGACAGGAAGGGCGCTCCCTCAAGCTCGGCCAGCTCGGCATCATCGACGCTCAGCTGCTTGGTCTTGTAAAATGGATTGTACAGGGTGTACGGCGGGATCGGATGGGATATCTCAGAGTCATGCTCAAAGCGATCCATCAGCGGGTCCATCGCCAATCGAATTGCCCCGGGCATTGCCATGTAGATCTCCATGGTCATCGCCTTAACGCTTGCACAGAACGCGGATCCGACTGTGCCCATGATGCTGCCAAAGTGCGTCTCTCCAACCCTGAACTGCTCTTTGCCGTCCTTTATAGGTCGCCCAAACGCCCACGTGGGCACCCACGCTCCGTGGTCGATGCTGCCAACTTCATAGGGGCTAAGCTCAAACCACTGGTACCTGTGGTTCTGGGCCTTTTCTGGATCATTGTTGTCGCTGCCCAGAAAGTGGCGCACTGCCGTGTAAATGGGCATCGGAAGGGCACCTTGGTCGACCGCTTCACGCTGCGAGCTTAGCTTCATCCAGCGCGGATCCAAAGTCAGCTTGAGCTTGCCGTCTGGCATCCTGGAGTACTGCACAATCAGCTGCTTGAACAGCAATGCACCATAGAGCTCGACAATCGATATGGGCGGCGCAGAGATCGACTGCAGTGTGCTCTTGGCCGCCTTGAGGAGATCATCAACTGTAAGAGGCGCCTTCATGTCGTCCTCTGCCTGGTAAAGATACTTGTGGCTCTCTTGAATAGCCCTATCCACAATCCAGTTGCCCTGACATTTGATCTCGTCCGAAACCCGGTTTAAAATACTGCTATTGCCGCTGCTGCTGATACCATTATTGTCCCCTGGTTCAGCGCGCATCTCCTTGCCCTCCTCGACAAGCTCATCTTCAGTTTTAGCTGAGGACAGCAGATATCGCATGGCTATATTTGCAAACACGCGCTGCGCAATGTCGTTGTTCTCGGTGACAAATGTCATCAGATTCGCAGTGCTGAAAAGGCCTCTCTGCATGGCCTCGCGCATGCTGTCGAGGACCGTATTGGGGTCGCCACAACCGTAAGTGTGCAGAGCACCCACCGCCCACGACGAACCCGACACTGCAGCATCGTACATAATGCACTGTGCCAAGCCCGCCTCATGCATCGCGCGGTACGACCCAATGGTCGACACCATGGCACGGAACCCGCCGCCAGAGCTCGCAATGCCGATAGTGGGTATATCACGAACATCCACGCTGGCCTCAGGAACTCCAATAAACTGCGCAAAGTCGTTGCACATGCGTTCGGCCCGTTTGTGTCGAAAGTCAGTTTCTTGGCCGCAGATTCCATTTCCAACACGCACAGATGCAGCTTGGAGGAGTTCCGGGTGGATGGATTGTTCGAGGCAAATCTGGGCACAAGCAGTGAGCCAAGGTCGCCGTAACTGATCAGGGAGAATTTCATAAACTGCTTCTCCTAGAGCAACCCGAGTGTCATCGATATGCTTGTTCAGCTGTGCCTGCGCCGCGTCTATTTGCTGCAAGACCTGATCTTTGATCGAATTTCCCGATTCCGTTTTCTCGTTCAATTTTGCGGCGTCCTTTAGCTGCTCCGGGATAGAAGAGAATGAGACCCAGTCCATATTTTGAACTCTTTGTGTGAGTTCATTCAGCTGATTCTTGGCACTGGCCGCCCAGCTCAAAAGTTTGGATTCCTCATCCACGCTGTCTTTGGAGCTACTCACAACTGATCCATTTGGTTGATGTCTCTCTGGAGGCTGGATGTCGCTGGCTGCTGTTAGCGAGTCGAGCGCATTTTTAACACTTGCGTACCATGTGTTATTTGGCAGTGCTGAGGGCCTGCTTGTAGATTCCGTACTGTGTTTCCCCTTGTCTGTATCATCTGGCGCCAATTCCTTGTATTCAAGCAGCAATTGCGACAGGTTCTTAGACACAGAGTCATACAACGACTGTAGTTTATCGGTCATAGAGGCAGGAGGAGTCTCGCCATTGATAATATCCTCGTGCCTGTCCGTACCGCGCTGTTTATCTGCATTGCCCTCTTCCATGTTCGGATCTACAATATTGAGCCAAATAAGCTGTATTATTTAGCATCAAGTAACAACTTGGAATAAATGGCCCTGTATGTTTCGCAAATGACAGCGTGAAAACATATGTACCTGTGCCCTGCGCCATTATTGGATACCTCGTGGTGTAAGCGGCAGCAACAGCAGCGGTCGACAGAATGCCAAAGACAACGGCGAGCTTACTTTCGCCAGCGGATTTTTTGCCAGTATTAGCAGTGCTGCGAGTCGCCTGGTGTCCAATGTGCCTGGCTCCCAGGGACAAAAGTGAACGATGCGCTCTGTGTGTGGGTATGCGCGTTAGAAGCCTAACGATGGTCATGATATAGTAAAAGTCTTGTAGCTAGGAGAATAGGAAAAATAAGGGGGGAATTACAGCGAAAGAAAGCAATAACAAAGATTTCTTAAGCATTTTTTATATAGAAACTGATTCATTCTAGGCAAGGCGCGTGTTACACATAAATAACGCCAATTTTGGGCGAACCCCTTAACTATGATCATATCTACGTCATCATCTCTGCTATCACTAATAAGCTAATCGGAATTAGTGCCAAAATTTAGATTTTTAAAACCTTGGCGGTTGTTTTTTAATTCATTTATATTTTATTTTATTTAGCGACGAATGTTCAATACGAAAAACCTATTTTAAATATCAAAACAATTATTTTGGTTGCGCTGATCTTTTGGGTGGGGGTTGGGGGAGGGGGGTTGGGAATAAACCCAATTATTTTTGTTTCGCTATAGCACTAAAGCTTGGCTTTAGAAGCTACCCTTGCAGTTGACGCAGATGCACTCTCTGTCGCACGTCTGAAACAACGAGTGGATCCAAGTGCGAGCGAGCTGGAGGCTGATGACAGAAAAGCCAGACATGATTTTAAAAAGGGTATTTTTGGGTGGATCGGCTTGAGCTGAGAAATTGTGTAATGTGGGCTGAGCAGTCGTTATATAAGAAATGCAAAGTAGAGAAATGTGGATGGGATGAGAGAATGTGCTCGAGTACTAAGGGGTGTGATGAACAAAAATGTTTAAAAATGTGGGCGTCTGGTTTAACTTTATATAGGTATGTAGGAATGTTCTTTTTGTCCGCCCAACATTTGTGCAATCAAAGATCCGTGTGTTTGTAAGTAGTGTCGGGCAGCAATTAATATCACCAGGAAACAATACTGCGCTTCCAAATAATAAACCGAGTGATGAAGATGAGTGTCCAAAGTAGAAGTGATTACACAAAATGAGGTTCACCCCAATCTTTTTTCTTGCAAATCAAATTAGCATTGTGTGTCGTGGGGGGGGGAAGACAACAGTGGCATTCAATGTGGAAGAAGAGTGTGCATTTGTATAAACATTATGTTCTAAATTTATGGATGTGTTCAAAAAACCCCCAAAACAAATTAAAAATAACCTGTATAATTTTTTTTGAGCCAGCTGCATGTTTGTATTAAAAAAATTACTCGGAATTTTCATTTCCAGCACGTAAATTTGAACCATATTGGGCAGGTATGTGGATATGGGCATTGTATTTTCACATTTAATGAATAAAATCCATTGCACACACAAATTCACACACTCGTGTTTAACAGTGTAAATGAAAATATATTTGGGACTACATTGTATCTTGCATAGCACCCTTGCAGTGTTACAATCGAGACATATGCCAATGTTCTGCAGTAGTTGCATATTTTATATATACATGACACCTTTGCCCATCATTTTACATTCCCCCAACCCGAAAACAATGTGTGCCTGGCTTCTTAAAAAAACACACCATATGATATCTACTAAATTATATGCGTTTGGTCTTAAATCACCTTTAATCATTTTTTTTGCTGACGGGCACTTTATGTCGGTTATTTGTGTGCGGATATATTGCAAGCCTCAACCCCAACACCCCCAGACATTCAGAGCTTGCAGGCTGCATGCCGTGGCGGCTCTCACTCAAATCCGAAATTGCAAATTAATATCAAAATACATATCTATTAATTGATACTAATCGCAATTATCATCAAACTAAGATTAAATCAAAAATGATTGCCATTCAGCAAATGGGCACATTGACAGCAAGGCCGCCCTGGGACGTCTCTTTGTATTTTGACATCATGTCATGGCCTGTCTGGCGCATCGTCTCAATTACCTGGTCAAGGGACACTCTGTGGCTACCGTCGCCCTGCAGTGCAAGCTGGGCGGCAGTCACTGCCTTAACGGCGCCCAGAGCATTTCGCTCAATGCACGGGATCTGAACTAGCCCATCAACAGGATCGCAGGTCAATCCCAGGTTATGCTCCATGCCAATCTCGGCGGCATTCTCAACTTGGGCTGGCGTACCGCCCATTACGGCAGCAAAGGCCGCGGCGCTCATACTGCAGGCAACGCCAACTTCGCCCTGGCAGCCCATTTCGGCGGCGCTGATCGAGGCCCCGCGTTTGTACAGCATTCCGATGGCTGCAGAAGTAAATAAGAACTCCAAGATATCCCGCGACGGATCCTCACTGAGGAATTCCAGGTGGTACTTAAGCACGGATGGAATGACTCCGGCTGCTCCATTGGTCGGCGCGGTGACCACACGACCACCGGCGGCATTCTCCTCATTGACAGCAATGGCATAAACGGACAGATAGTCCAGTTGGGGAAGTACCGGGCGGCGAGCGCGCTGGCGGCGTTTGAACACACCCGTAAGCTCGTTGCGCTGCGTGCTGGTCAGCGACGTCTCCAAGAGCGACGAGGCTGAGAAGCCGTCCTTTCTCGACACAGCAAACAAACTGGTGGCCGGATCCACGCCATCGGCAAGCATTGGGCGTTGGGCATCAGGCAATGCGTATTGCTCAGCAGAGCCGTAGATTCCACGCATAAGGTTTTGGTATAGATTTGGCGCACGGCGGTGCACGTTGAGGCGGCCAGGGAGCTTGCGATCCTTTGAGAGGCAGCCCCGGCGAATAGAGTCGTCCATGACAGCCCAGATACGAAAGGCAGCATTGATGACCTCTTCTCGGCTGCGCCACTGCAGCTCGTTGAGGAAGACTACCTCGGCGATAGATAGGCCCTCGCGCTCACACAGCTCAATCAGATCCTTGCCCGTACGAAATGGCAGCGCAGCTGTAACCAGATCCTGCTGCGTGCGCTCAGCCATCTGGGCAGACTCAGCGGCAGGTCTGGCCGTAGTGCTCGAGGCTGTGCTTCCATCAATGTCCGCCGCCGATCCCGAAGCCATGCCCACGCCGGCTGTCGTGTGCGCATAATCGCGATAAAACACGTTCTCGCCGTGCGCGAGCTGGGTCTTTTCGTTGACCACAAAGCCTCCGCCGATGCTAAAATACTCGTTGGTGGCCAGCATATCTCCGTTGGCGTCGAACACAGTGAACCGCATGCCGTTGGGATGCTGAGGCAGGGACTCGTAGTAGTGCAGCGTCATGTCCTTGTCGGGATTGAACCGCACGCGGTGCATGCCATTCAGTGTTATCGTGTTAGTTTCGTGCATGGCCTGCACGCGCGAAATGATGGACTCGGTGGGCACGGACTCGGGAAGCTCGCCCTCAAGGCCCATCAGCGTGGCGTTAGGTGTGCCATGCCCAATGCCGGTCAGCGCGAGCGAGCCGTACAGGTCAACTTTGATGCTTCTGATCTTAGTAAGCACCTTGTGATCGACCAAATCCTGGACGAAAATCTTTCCCGCGCGCATTGGCCCGACGGTGTGGCTATAACAAACAAAAGAGATTTGTGGATACCAAATATGGGTCAATATCATTTTTAGCTTTGTATACTTCACATTGCATTTGGAGAGAGGAGTTGCAGCGCAGATAATTATCCTTTCGCAAAAAAACACATGGGCACCAGGCATCGTCTTTGAACTCAGTGAATTGTTCCCACACTCTTTAATTGCAGAGAAGTAATACCAAGCGATAAGAAGCTAGCACCAGCGCGTGTGAAAAATAATAATGATGCATGATAGATTTTTTGCGCGCGTGAGCACAGCTACATCGTGGCACTCAGCTGGCCTGTGCGCAATCTCGCTTCAATGCAGAAATTCACAAGTAAAAAATGGAAGGTGGCAGCGTCTTAATGCCCACGCATCAATATGTGCAAAATAAAAATAACGTACCTAGACGAAGGGCCAACTCCGATGGAAAACAGGTCGAATGTGCTGACAACAGCGTGGTGTGTCGACTCCTTCTCGGCAGAACTGTCGGGGATAGAATCGCCCTTGTTGGCGGTCTTGGCCGCCTGCTGGGGGTCTTCCTGCGGTGTAGCTGATGTGGTGCCTAGAGCGCGGACCCCAATTGGCCGCTGAGATAGCTGGTGCCGAGCCTGCTGCTGCTGCTTGTTGAGCGCTGACAAGCAGTGCCCGGCCTTGATGACTGGTGCTGTCAGGCTGTGCATCTGCCTGGTTGCCTGCGGCCTGGCAGAAACCACAATGTTCCGGGTGAGTGCGCGAATCGACATGCTCATGGTTGTGTTTGTTAATATTGCTTGCTTTGCTGTAAACGAGTGTGAATATGAGAGATGTATATGTTACAAAAGGCACTCTGGCAGATAATATTTATAAACTGGCACACGAGTAAGCAGTGAAAATTGGCACTGGCGGTGTTGCTGCTGTTGCTGCTGTTTCTGTTGCTGCGGGGAGGCTTTCTTTGTGGAAATTTGTTAATGCAAAAATAAATAAGGAGGGGGATGTGAATAGCACAAAGAATATACTGATGACATAAAAATAGGTTGGCAGAGATGCCCACCCCCTTTTATATGTTTTTGCGCGCAGCTATTGTGTGGCGCAAAATCACTTTAAAAAGCGTCTGTGAGTGCATTCTCAAACGAGCGGACGTCCGAGAAGAAAAAACCTGCTGCTTCGGGAACGCAACACCAAAACACCCGTGCATTGCTCCCCTCTTTTTTAATTTATTTTTTGGGGCCGAAAAATTGTATTTCAGCTTTCACAGTGCCAGGCGCTGACAAACCGGTTGTCGAGCTTAAATAACGGCTGGATCACAACCTTCTGCACTGCACAGAGTACAGAGCATTGAGTCAGTCGGCGTGCGAAAAAATACGTACATGATTTTAGTTTATTTGGTTTTCCAGCACGAAATTTCCTAAGCTGCTTAGAACTGTGCGGATCAGATTGGTACACACCGGAAAGTCTAGAACCGAAATGTCTGATGGCCGTGACACAGGATGCCGCGCAAAAGCACGAAGAAATAAGCTGCTGCTGCCGCAGCTGCGACTCTTAAGCAAACTGCTGCTTCATATCTATCTATCTCGTCTCTCTCTCTCTTTTGTCATTTTACACACATCCTTGTTTACTTTCAAAAGCATTAAACACTTTCACCCATCACCACTACATTGTCGCACGCTACAATGGACAGCACATCACGCAGCGCACCCTCGCACTCGCACTCGCACTCGTTGATAGAGCTGCTTCGGAAAAGTAAGGCAGACAAAAACATATTTATGCTGCATCCACAATGTCTTTACTGTTTTTTGGTTGCAGACCGGCTGCATATTTTTGTTTTCAATTTCTTGTTTTCAGAAACCGCAAGGCGTTATAGTGTAGCTAGATGAACATTGATTAAAAAAAGCAGTTGCACGATAGAGTGTGATAAGCGGGATGAAAAGCGAAGAGACTGTTTTGAGGTGTTATCTTTCGAGATCTGTCGGAAAAACTAATGGGGAAAATTGTAAAATTGGGGACAAGATTTCCACGTCATTTTCCGTTGTTTAGTTTTTTTGGATTTGCCTTGCGACTTCTGGTTGTGATAATTGGCTTTGCTAATATTATCCAACAATCGCCTTATTATCGTGGCTTCTTTGTGCATTTCTTAGACATTATCGGAGCCATCAGTTCGACCGTGAAGGGAAACAGATGGCGGGTCGTTGTGGTCGACCGGCCCTCGCTCAAGATCGTCTCCATGGCACTGGAGATGCAGTCGATCCTCGAGCAGAATGTGATAGGTAAGCTTGCACGGGTTTGAAAAAAAGAGACTAAGCCTTGCCTCCGGTTATGTCTAAAATGACGAATTTGACTCACTAAACTATCCTATCATGGGTTTTTTGTAGCTGTCCAGTTGATCACCAGAAACAGGCAGGCTATCCGAAATGACGCAATCTACATCCTGGTGCCCTGCGCCGATTCTGTTATGCGCATGATCGACGACTTTAAACCGGACCCTGGCCATCCAGAAAATCCCCAGACAAAGTATGCGCGCGCACACTTGTTTTTTACCGGAAAGCTGCCGGAGCTGCTCTTCTCGCAGCTGGCATCGTCGACAGCTGCACCATACATCAAAGGAGTTACCGAGTTGTTTGTCGAATACAACCGTAAGTAAAGACCAGAAAAATGAAGAAGAAAAATCGATCAGCAATGCGTGTACTGGTGTTGAAGTTATATGCTGCATTGTAGTCAGCACGTATTCCTTAACAAAATAATGTGTACACTTGCTGTTATTCCGCACGTATTTAGCATTTGAATCTCGCGTATTTCTCACTACGCCGTCGGAGCAGCCGTTCTACTCGCTGTACTCGCCCCACGCAGCCGACAAAATGGAACGAGACCTGGACGCCGCCTCCGATCGGCTTTTGAGCGTCATTGCCGCGCTTGAAATTCACCCATTTGTCAGATTCTACCGCCCTGCCAATCCGACCAGCAGCAACAGCAGCAACGACAGTGGAAATGATAGCAGCCAAGATAGTGCATGCCCACGCATCGCCGAGGCCATGGCCCGGCGATTCCAACTCAAACTCAACGAGCACTATGCCCACGAATACAGCGACACCGATAACAAGGATCCGCGCCAGCAGCAAAGCTCGGACTCTGTGGTCATTGTGCTTGACAGGTCAATTGATATATTCGCGCCACTGGTTCACGAGCTTACATATCAGGCCATGGTTCACGATATAATCGACCTAGGGGATGGTGCCAAGTACATTCACGAGAAGAAGACTGCAAATGGCCAGGTTGAACGGGTTGAGGCCGAGCTAAGCGAAAAGACAGACTGGTTGTGGGAAAAGCTCCGTCATGAGCATATTGGATCGGTAGCTCAGAAATTGTCAGACAGAATCGAGCGGCTGATGAGTGAAAACACCGGGATTAAGGCAGCTCAGTCAGAGTAAGTATATTTCTCTAAATGAAGCATATCAGTTTTTGGTGCGCGCTGGAAATGTAACTGCAGATAAAGGCTATATATTTCTGACATTTCTCATTTTTCCTGAAGAAACTATTTTGTCTATAGTGGGAAAAAGCTGACGATCACTGAGATGAAGGCTGCACTGGCAGAGCTTCCAGAATTCAAGCGTCTTCAGTCATTGGTAAGTCCCAAACCCAAGTTTCATGATACACGCTGCGTGCTGCGTGTTGTGTTATAATATTCCAACTCTAAATGCGCAGTTATTTTATTGTTTTTTGACTTATTTGTAGTACTCGCTTCACAGCGACCTAGCAACACAGTGTCTCGAAATATCCAGCAAACGCAACTTGCCGGCGCTGGTTAATTTTGAACAGGTAAGTCAATAAAACATGCCAATTAATATTTTTGAAACATATTTGCAATCCATTTTGTATATTCCATGTGACTGATGCAAGTGGAAATTATCACCAAAACTGGTAGGAGATCGTGACACAGACTTCGGCAGATGGCAAACACGTTGGACAAATGTCGCTGGAGACACGTCTCATTGCCCTCCTGGACGATAAAGGACTAGAGTAAGCAATTTATTGAATACCAAAGTTTTGAAGGATATTGAAAGGAAGGTGGATGATATTGCCAAATCGGTTTTTTAAATTATTTTTCTTCATATTCCATTATAGCAAATCCGATCGCATTCGGCTGCTGTTCTTATATCTTGTGTACGCTAATGGCGGCAGCGCTGAGGACCGCCGTCGCCTCGAGGAAGTTCCCCAATGTCTGACGATTAACGACAAGCACGCGGCTATAAACCTGCGCCAGCTAGGAATTCCTACAAACAAGGTAAGTTAAACTATAGAGATTATGTGCATTCCATGGCAATTACTTTAACATTGGCTTTATTACTAATAATTCGTATGATTATTGGGTCTTTAGAAGCAGAGCGAGCTTAACAAGCCAAGCGCTAAAAAAACGTATTCGTGGGATACATTTGCACATGCCGATCCAGACAAGCATGAGCCCTGGTTTGTTCCAGCCGTCAAAAGAATTATATTTGTAAGTTAAAAAATCGACGTGTAAACTTGTCTGTTGGCTGCTCATATGAGATGCGGAATTTGAATAGCACCAGAATTCGTAATTAATTTGTGTCAATTGTGTCATTTTAGGAGCAATTAAACGGAGACCTCGATGACACCTTGTTTCCATGGACTCGAGAGACGTTGCCAGAGAACATTCCCAAACATATCCTTAATGTCACCGCAACTTCGCTGAGGAGGTAAGATCTTTACAAGGATCATTTTACACATGTTCATATACACAAATTATATGGACCGTGTTGACAACACCTCCACCTCTACCTACTAACCGCGCATACTGCCATTTTCCATATCATCGATCTACTAACTTAGGAACAAGGGCACATGGGAGCGCAAGCAGCAGCATTCGAAGGTACAGCAAGCAAAAGATACCAATACATTCAAAACAGTAATTGCGGTTTATTCTACTAACCATTTTATTTAAAATTGTAACCGTACTGCCAATAGTCGGAAGACAGCGGGAAGGGGACTGTGATTATTTACATTGCCGGCGGAATGACATTTTCTGAGATGCGCACAGTCTACGAGATGTCCCGCAAATACAAGCGCCAAATTTTCATAGGTTCAACGCACATAATCACGCCGCGCGGGTTCTTGGAGGATATGAAGAGCCTACACCTCGAGATGCTCATGTGAAAACCCCTCTATTTCGTCCTGCTCAGCAACAAAAGGGCAAACACAACCGCCACGAGCATAAAAAACGCAGCCACAAACACGGGCTCGTACCAGCGAAATGCCGTCCACGGCTGCCAAGGACGATACGAGGCGCCAGGCCGCGAGCGCAGGTTTCGTAAGCGTCGCAGACGCAATCCTCCACGTCCGTCCTTTCCCATCCTGGCCAACTGCCTTTCCCATCGGCACTGCTGCTCCCTAGTGCTGCTGCTGCCGCCGACGGTTCCAGGCGCACTGAGCACAGCGCAATGTTTGTTTTCCAGTCCTGCGAAGTGCATTTGCACTCGACGTGCACGTCCTCGAATGGCTCGGTCACTTCGAGTAGATTGGGCAGCACAAAGTCAAAGTAGTCGGAACCAAACTCCAGCAGGCGAGAGTTCTGCGGAAGATGCGATTCCACCATGCGCTTTAATTGTGTTTTTGCGCGGAAGTTGATATCGAAAACGTATTGCGCTCGGGGCATCACCGATAGCCGCCAGATGACCCTGTATTTCCCCGTGTGGACGCCCTTGAGAGATCCCCACACGTGCAACCAGCTGACGGCATGCAGCAGGGCGACTCGCCCGAATACGCTGCGTGGATCGTTGGCTTTATCCCAGTGCGGCAACCGGTCATGGGCAATTTCACACTCGTCAGCGATGCTGAGTATTGTCCTTTCTATGCTTAAAAAGTAATGTTAATTCATATTGTTGTTGAGCGCCATATTAGTTAAGAAAATATGCCTGTCGTTAAAAAGGTGTATTATGAAATATGCAAGCAGGCACATAGGTCCATAATTGGTCCCCACAAGGGGTGTTGTTTGGTACGCGTTCGGTGTTTTCTAATTTTTCCATTTAATTTGCTCCAAAATAATATTCAATTTTCATTCATATGCAGGCAGTTACATACCGTTCCACGTATACTGGCTCCTGTACTTCCGCAGATGAGGCTCTGGAGAGTATCCGAATCTCTTTTTAAACAGGACTTTCCACAAGTAATCGTCATGGCTTGTCGCGCGAAAGGCTCGGTTGACCTATTTGCAAAAATAAAAATTGATGATAATAGCACACATGTCACAATATTTAAGACAAAACGCAATTGCTGATGAGAAAGATGATGATTTGCATCGAAGCAACACACAGTTATCTGGCCTGCTGAATTATTTGGAAGTATCATGCCTTTGAAAACTCGAGCAGGTCGTTCCCGTTGCAAAACGCAAATATTCCAAACAGAACGTCATCTGGAAGCCTCTGCAGAACGGGCAGTGCATCATTCGACAACGGCTTTGCTAGGGGTAACAGCGCTGTTGCTGTCTCCATTGCCACAAGTGAAAGGTGATGCAAACTGAAAGACAACTAATACAAATGAAAATTAAAATGCTGCTTATAAAGAAATAAATATATTACAATAGTATAAATGTATTGATAATTGATGCGTGCAGAGGCAAAAATGAAAAAAGACAGCTGCGCATGTGGGTTTATTAGGAGGCTTTTGTAAGTGTGGGTGTGAGAGCAAACTGCATCGCTTTAGCGCGTGGGCATAAATCAAGATTTGAGTGTGGAGAAAAATAAAAATGAAAACTTGGCACTCAGAATATGCGAGCGCACAGACGATTGCGGCGGCGGAAAAAAGAAATATAAATGTGACTTTGTTAACACTTTGCTGATCACTCAAGTCTGGCTGGTGACGTGCTCTGCTATACTTGGGCAGAAACAAGCAGTATTTGAAGGACATTTGCGGATCTTATTGCAAGTGGGTGGGTATTGAATTACAGGAACAAGAGGTTTTTTCGCCATTGCCGACTTTCAACTTTACCCCTTTAAAAGCCTTCTTTTAATAGAGCAGCAGTGAAGAAAAACGCACAAAAAAAGGCGCAAAGATTGGCACGAAAAGAACACAAAGAAGCATGTGTGTGCAAACGTACAGCATGCCATACAAGCCAAATTTGGCTTCTGCCGATGTCTTTTCCCTCCCTCTTTTCCTTCCCACCTTTTATATTTTGCCCTACTCTTTTTGAATTTTTTTGAATTTATCTTAAACCTATTTTTCTATTATTTGTTTCAGCTGTTCAAACGCAATCTCGAAGCCCGTCTCATAAACGCAGCTACCTATCCATCCATCTCCTATTATTGTTGGGCAGTGCGCAGTCCCAAATTCAACTTTCTTTCTTACATACTCCGTCGAACGATAACCCGAAGCGCATTTTTCAGACGAAATGGCGACGACATTGCAACTGAACAAGCGACAGGGTGCGTGGAATATGATGTGTTTGTGCCAAAACAGTGTCTCTTGTTGTGACCAGACAGCATTTGCTCTGCGTTCTGCGTTTTGCGTTCTGCGCGCTTTCTCTGTCTCCCTTTTCAATTGTTCAAACTGGGATGAGGGGGTGCGTTCACAGCATAGCACAGCACAGCATAGCGGAGCGGAAGAGTCCCACTTACGCTGCTTTTTATTACATTGCGTCTCATTGCATTTGTCCAACTCGTAAAGAGCCGGGCCGCGTTGCTTGAACCATGCCATGTTTGTTGACTGATTGCTTTTGTGTATCTTTTCCGGTGTTTACCAATAATCTTTGCATAAAAAATTGTAGAGTTCCTCAATGCGCTGATCGCCGTTCGGCCAAACAACCGGTTCAAGATCGTGGTTGTTGACAAACGCAGCTTGCAAGTGCTAAACAAGTCGCTCAAGCTGCCCGAGATTCTCGAGCACGATGTCGACTGCATCGAGAAAATCGAAAACAACCGCAAGGGCAACCCAAATTTGGACGCGCTGTATTTTCTCACTCCGTCGAAACAGAGCGTCACCCACCTGATAAGCGACTTTGCATCAAGCCCACCGGGCGGAGGCAGCAGGAAGCCGCACAAATACCGCGCAGCACATATATACTTTACCTCCGAGCTGCCCAACATGCTGCTGAGCATGATAAAGGGCTCTGGCATTACGCCTCAGATCAAGGCACTGAAGGAGATGTGTATCGAGTATGATGTGCATGACAAGTATGTATTTTTGACGCAGCTGATTGACCGCCCGATGTACCGCCTGTACTCACCAATTGCCACCAGGGGCTTCAACGACGAGCTGGAGATGATATCCAAGAAACTAGCCAACGTATGCGGTGCGCTGAAAGAGAACCCCGTCGTCAGATACTTGCTGTTGGACCAGGAGATCCACGGTGACACCAAGGCCCGGCCACTGGCCTTTCTGTTCCACACTGAGATGGATCGGATTCGCGAGGCGCTGCCCGAGGACGGGGCGGGCGATGGCCGGCCGCCCGCCGAGCTCATTATTGTCGATCGCAGCGCCGATCCCTTTGCTCCCGTTTTGCACGAGTTCACGTATGAGGCCATGGTGTACGATCTGCTGGAAATTGAGGACGGAAACAAGTTTACTTACACCGTGGAGCTTGCTAATGGCGCGGAGGATGAGAAAACTGTGGTTCTCGACGACTCTGACGCGATCTGGCAAGAGTTCCGCTTCCAGCACATCTCGGACGCCCAGAGAGGTATTCTGGCGAAATTCCAAGGCCTGGTCGGATCGAACCGGGCCATTGTCGACATGCAGGCAGGCCAAAAGATGGACATGCGGATGATGCGCGACGTAGTAAGCACCATGCCGCAGTTCAAGGACCAGCTGGCGCTCATTTCAGCGCACATCAATATGATGGAGAAGTGCATGGACGAGTTCAACAAGCGCTGTCTCAACGATTTGGGACTACTGGAGCAGAACCTCGTGACGGGAATAACCGTAGATGGCGAGAAGTACAGCTCGGGCGATGTGGACATTGCCGAGGTGCTCAACAATCGCAAAATCAAGTCTAGGGATAAGCTGCGGCTGCTGTTGCTGTTTTTCATTGCCAACCCGAGCATCACCGAGCCCGAGAGACAGAAGCTGGCGCACCTAGCCAAGCTCAACCGCGAGTGCCGCGAGACCATCAGAAATATGGCCCTGGTGATCCGCTGGTCGCACGCGCTGGATCTGCTCAAGCAAATCAAGAAAAAGCCAGGCCAGGCGAGCAAGGAGAGCAAGGCGAGCAAGTGGTCCTTGGCGGGCATGCGCGCGGGAATTACTGACAGCCAGGAGAACGAGGAGGAGAAGCCATACGATCTCAGCCGATATGTGCCTGGGCTCAAGAGCGTGCTTGAGGGGTGCGTAGAGGGGTACCTCAGCGAGGATCTGTTTCCCTATGTGGTCCCGCCAGAGCGCCCTCGCGATTCAAACCTGTTTTCAACCGCAGGCTCAATGCGCTCGACGCCAGGAGTAGCGGCTGCCAATGAGCGCTCAGAGTCGCCTGCAAGCAGCATGTGGACCACCCTGGCTAACTCAGTTGGCTTGCAGACCCAGGCTCCAAAGCCGTCGCCAGCTGTCCAGGCTGCAAACTCTGCAGACTCACGCCAAATAAAGTCGCTGCGAAGTGCTCGCCCGACATGGCAGAAGCGCGACAGCACGCCGTCGGCGACACCAGCCGGCGGGTTTGGAATGCCATCTGCGAGCATGGCACCATCCACCCCAGTGAGTGGTAGCGTCATGTCTCCAACAGGCATGGGTGGCAACCGTTCTGGGCGCCCGCGCATTATCCTGTTTGTCATTGGTGGCGTAACCCATTCCGAAGTACGCGCCGCGAACGAGATTGCGCGCAAGTACGACCGCGAGGTCATTGTCGGATCAACGCACTTTCTGGACCCTGCCAGCTACATGAGGGACGTTTCTTCACTGGCCTTTGAGTTGGTCGAGGATGACGGACGCCCTGCTAACTTGAAGCCCAGCTACATTGCTTTGGGTTATGGAGGTCCCAACCATATAGACCCACTCACTACATTCGACGAGGAGCTGTTCAAGGCCAAGCCAAAGCCAAAGCCCGTTACCGAGTCGCGTTCCAGGCGGGATGGTGGCAGAAGCCGTGATCGTAGTGGCAGTGGCAGTAGCAGGCGCAGCCACAGCGGCAGCCGAAGCCACAGCGCCCACAGGAATGGGTATCCCGAGCCCTTTGGGAAACCGCCAGGCGAATCCCGCTCTCACCTGAGTGCTCCTCCTCAGCAACAGCAGGGATTAGCAAGAGCCGACGCGTATTCCACCAGCAACTCTGGTAACAGCATGAACGACCATATGCGCCGTGAAGGAAGTCGCGGCAGTATGCGGTCTTCTGTCGGTCGCAGCACAGCCGAAGCGCTGCCAAACAACATTGCGAGCTCCCGAGACTACAATGGGCCAGGCTCTGGATATCCCAGCAGAGGCGAGGCTCTGCCAAGCCAGTCGCCAGGCTACCGCAACTCGGAGAGACCTGATCGCGGGGAGAGAGCCGAGCGTGGTGAAAGACCCGAGCGTGGCGAGAGACCCGAGCGTGGTGAGAGACCCGATTATAGAGAAAGACCCGAGCATGGCGAGAGGCCCGATTATAGAGAAAGACCCGAGCGCAGCGAACGATCTGAACGTGGCGAGCGGCCTGAGCGCGGTGAGCCGCAAAACTTTAGAGCGGGATACGAGGAGTTTAGGCAGCAGCAACAGGCAGCAGCGCGGTCAAAGAGTCTCCACACATCCTCGTCCTCTTCAGGCTATGGCGCCAGGTCATCTCCACAACAGCAACGGCCACTGCCGCCACAGCGTCAGCTGAGCAAGGAGGAGGTATTCCGCCAAAAATTTGAGCAGTCGCAGAACGAGTGGAACGCGCAAAAGATGAGCCTCAGCCACATTAATCCAGACACTGTTCCCGACATGCACAAGGTATCTCTGGCGTCTGCAAGCGGTCGTGGGCGCAGCGGCTCGTCGGCATCGGTGACAAACGATAGGAAAACCACCGGCTTCCTCAAACGCTACCTGTAAGCAGACATGGCCAGCCATGTGGGCAAGCGGTGTGATCCATCTAGCAACTTTAATCACAGTGTTATCTAATTCATGTAAACATAAGCATTTGAAAAGTACTCAACGTCATTGCAGGTTGCAACAGAGAAGCAGTCCGAGTACGATGCTCCCCCGCTTACATTTCCCCCGTTTGTACCTTGTGCCGTGCCAGGTGGCAATCGCTGGTCTGGATGTGAAACATACACGCTGAAAGGGGCAGGGGTAATATCAGTATTTACGAGCGCTGGCTATTAGCAAACAGTGCCTGAGCAGCAGGAAAAAGGCAAAGTGGGTGCCATCATTGCGGGGGGGGGGGGGCGAAGATAGCTATACTTTTTGCAAAGTAGCGTATCCCACCTGCGGCAATGGAACTGCTGGCATGGATCAAATAATAAATATAATATAATTGCATGGATGACATGCGCACAAAGTAAAAATAAATACAAAATATGAACTTGATATACATTTCGTCATTTGGGCTTGTCAGTCGACTAAACTCGCATTTTTTGCCATTGTGTGGCATTGATATCTCTTGGTTTCACTTTGATGTTATTTATACACTAAAAAGGTAAATACACAAACATTCACCTTGCTTATTGCCTGCAGTATTGCCACATCCATTTGACGTTTAATTCCCAAGCTCTTCCAGACGCACACTTTGGCTCCAGTAACTACTGCAGCTGCCACACGCCATTGTTGCAGTTGGAAACATGAACCGTCCTCGATCTGGTAAATCTGGTTTGTCCGCGTGTCCAGATTTTGTCGCTCAATTTCGCCAGACATTTTGGCTTGCTTCAAAGCCACACTTGCTATTTGCAGAAGACAATTGGACAGCCTGTTTTTTTGTTGTGTGCCTGCGCCTCAAAATACAGCTGAGAGGGGAGGGGCACCCGTCCACAATAACAAAATTCAAAAAAGCAATAAAACGGGCTGCCCGCCCATGTTTAGTACCCTTGTTGTGCATGCTCGCATAAGCCTCGTTCTGCTCGTTTGCCATACCAAAAAAAATAGCAACTGCAAGTTTCGCCACTCTGCTCCTTGCCATCTCCTCTACTCAGCGGATTCATCCTCTGCAACACGCTTACAGGCGACGGGCTGGATATCGCTGCGTTGTCCAGGGCTATCATGGCGCAGCAGCTATCCCTGCCTTTTTTAATATTGGGACTTTGGAGTCTGAGTAAAAACCTTGCACATTCTTTGGTTTTATTGCCTTCGCCCTATGAGTGTGCTGTTACCCATCAAAACCAGACTACTATGCTACTACTTTTGGCCTCCGGATGCTAGTAAACACTTGTTACTTCCTCTAGATACCTGGTGCAACCACCTACCAGTTTCGATTAGTACATTGCAGCGCAATCCAGTAATGTGCGTGCGTTTGAGGAACTCTATAAAAATTATTGCAGCCCACGTTTTGAAACAGGGATCCCAAACCCTTATGTCACTTGCACTTTGACTGCGCCGCTTATACGCATTTGTGATAACACGGTAAAATGCGCGGTTTGTCAACAAGAAATTTTAAATACAAAAAAATTCAAAAATTACATTCTTTAGTTTGATGTTTTTTCACTTTTGCCCCCATTTTCGTACTCCGCTTACTCAGCCTGTCATGTATAAAACTTTTGCTTGTTGTTCTGGGAGAAAAGTGGAAAATAATACATTGCTTTTCCACTTTACACAATTCCCAGCAATTTCAGCAAAGCGTCAACAATAGCCACCCCCAAAAAAGGCGGAACGCCATATTGACCTTTGTCTCTGAATATAACATCGGTCTTCGCCTCTTCCATTCCCTCATTTGTGTGCGTGTCAGACCATTGAGCATTCTGTTTGCCATCAAGTTTGAAAAAGGCACGAATGCAGAAAAGAAGTTGTTCTTGTCTGCATTCGTAACTAGCCAAACTTGCACCCCTGCCGCCTCAGAAAACAGCATATGAAGCAGAAATAACAGCAGCAATAACAAAACATTGCAGGCTTTTGCTTTTTTTACTATTTACTGTTGGCTATTTTTCATTTCATTTCATTTTTTGCTTCTTTTGCTTCTTCTCGCCTCGTTCTATCTCTGCCTTCATTTTTATATCCTCACATTTTTTAGTCTTTTAACATCACGGCTCTACTTTTCGCCTTTTCCGTCTCATTTGACCTCGTTTGCATCCCCTCCTCTTACAGCCATACTCAGTTTTACACTTATTATTTTTCTCTTTAACTATCTTTTGGCATTTTTATTTACCCACTACTCAACACGGGTCAGCTTGTATACGTTTGTACTCACTGTGTATTTAAAACAACCTGTCTTTATTTTTTTGCATACTGGCTCATTTTTAGTTCAGCTCTTGGATTAGTAACGGCAAATTGATTGCTACACCACCTCTGTTGCTGCCGGACCTCGTATGAACATACTCCCTTGAGCCTGTTAGTTTCGGATATTCAACACAAACACAGCTAGTACTTCTTTCGCACACATGATCTCCACCGCTACAGGGCACACATTTGCCGAAAAGAAGACAAAGAACCTGTTCAGCATGCGCCCTGCCTGGCTTAAGAAAGACAGCGCCGCTACCGGGTCGGCAAACAGCTTGTCATCCTCGCCAGACTCGCCCAAAATCAAGGAGCTTGCGTCGTCAGTACATAGAAAGTCCAAAGCCCTGAGTCCCCAGCGGGGCCGAGAGCTTTTGACCGTCACTGTGATTCGTAAGTATTTTTATCATGCCGTGATGCACATGTAAATCCATATTCTTTGCCATATCCAATTCGCGCCAATATGACAAGCTTCATGTCAGTACTATGTCGTCTCCGCCCGAATATAATGCAAGGTCAACTGCAGTAGGGTACAATATTATATATGACGTTATTATATTGGTGTTTTAGCTGCTTTGCCAATTCAGCCTTTGCACGTGTGCTTGAGCAGGGCTGGGCTGGGCTTTTTTATTCTGCTTTATCATATTTTTGTAATTTTTGGCATGCCTGTATCTTTTCCACGTCTTGCGCGTATTGCGCCTTACTGCATGAGCACACGCAGCCTCGTCTTTTTTGTCTTCCTCTTGTTTCTTTGAATTTAAATTAGTGTTTTTTTCCTTCCTTCCCATTTTTTCTCACATTGCCACATTGCTTTTCAAGCGCAAAATAAACAGCCTATATTTGAGAATTGACAATGGTGGCTGTCGCCATCTAAAAGCAGCATGGGAGTGCCGAATAAATCGCAATATTTATTTTCCTCATAACGGCAGGGTTGTGCTAAAATAAACAAGCACTTGTCGACTAATTACATCTCGAACTGTGTTGATATTATTGTATTTTGGCCATTCTTCTTGCGGAAAATATGTTTATGTTTATCCCCCCATTCCCCCGATGATTTCAATGTGCTAGTTTGCGAGTTTGCGACTATCATTTACACATTCTCGGCTATAACATGCCCACACCCCATGCTCAGACAATAAGGCGGCCACATGCTAACTGTGCAGGTATGCCACTATGAGGCTACGACGTGCAGTCGCCTTGCGTTACTAATTGTATACCACCCCGTTTTTTGTTACTGTTGCTCTCTTTGAAATAAGCTTCAATCCCCTAAATTACATTATCCTAGTAGTATTGCCAATTCATGCACGCTTACATGCTTACACACTCATTTGTGCCGTTTTGCACAGTCAGCTAACGCTCTTCAGTTTTATTGTTCAATTTTTAATTGCAATGATTAGGATTGATGGAGCGGATGATCGCCGAGCTGTTCCCCTGTGGCGACGATGAGGAAGCAAGCTTTGGGAACGGTAATAACAACAGCAGTGGCAATAACAACAGCAATGGGGAGACTTCCACTGGTACACCGCTACCCAGCTTTGAGGAGTTTCTCAAGCACATCTGTCGCCGCACGCGCACGCCACTCACATGCATGTGCCTCGCGCTGCTGTACTTGACCAGGCTCCGCGCCAACCATCCACGCTCGAGGGGATCGCCGGGGTCTTCATACAGGCTAGCGCTCTCGTCTCTATGTGTGGCCACAAAGTACCTGTATGACGACGCGTACCATACGTGCTCTTGGGTTCAGGTGTCCTTGGGTCTGTTCAACCAGCGTGAGGTCAACCAGATGGAGATGGAGTTCATGTATTTTTTAAACTACCAGCTCGGGGTCACGCCCACCGAGTGGAACCAGTGGATTGCCACGCTCGAGGCCAAGCTTGTCGCCCGCTGGCAGGACAAGGGCAGGGCTGACGTTATATACGGCTTTGGGCTGTTTCTGTCTTATGAATGCTGCGAGCCAAACGCACAAGAGGCCGTGCGGGATATTGCCTGGGGTGAAGGTGGCAAGAGCCTGCTGTCCTTGCTCAACAATGCCATTCACTCGTCTGACAGCAGGGCTGATGGAAAAAGCTCACCGTCCGCGACTCGGCTGTGTCTGACGCGACGTGCTGCCAACCCGGATCCCAACTCTTGGTTTCGAATCAAATCACCTGTGCTTTTAGGAGCGGAAGAGAATCCAGGGCTAGGGGTTGCAGCGCCAACCTCCGCATTAGCCGGCTCAAATTCCATTACCCCGTCAGCGCGCAGGGCTCTGAAATGTCTGTGCCCACAGACGATCGCCAGGTAACAAGCGGGCTGCAGAAACATACCTTGCGCAACAATCACTCGCGGCACTCGTATATCGAGCTTAATGACGTGTCTCCAAGCACTCACAAATATGCTAACAACGCCGGCCGATCCAACAGTGCCACCCGGCAGCACTTGCAGGCGACCATTGCCGCATCCAGTCATACAATTGACATGCGACCAAGCTCTGCATGCTCCGTCCAAGCAGTGTCTCTATCAGACGGGTACCACGATCACGGCTCCAAACACGCATCGGGCGTGGGATCCGCTCATGCTACGTACAGACATACCTCCGAATTCAAGAGCCAAGACTGGATGATACACCAAACCACGCCCATATACTGCACGAGCCATCGCCATCTCAGGTGCAGCAGCAGCAGCACCAGTTGCACAAATACAATGTGCGCGGCAGCAATGTCTCTCAGCGCCTTTCCCACCTGGGCTCGGAGTCGACGATGGTTGCGCATGTCCACAATGCGCGCAATGCAGTGGATAACATTTCACCGTTAACTCTTATTCTGGACATACCACTAGAATGTCAATTTCATATTCTGCCGAATCAAGGAATGACGGGGGAGTCGATCTGTCAGACCACATTGTCGTATCGGCGCAAAGATCTGCAGCCTCAACATTGGGTGGATCGAGTGGATTGCATTTTTCAGCAAGCGCTGTTTCCAGCACAGCCAACGCAATACCCTGCGGTGCTTCAGCCACTTTGTCTGCAGAGACCAAAGGATAACACGCTTTCTGGGGCCAGCAGCGCTATGCAGACCAAATATACACCCAACCTAACGGTGCACCATGTCCCAGGAACAGCGCCATTTTTGCCTTCCTCATCGTGCGCGCCATCTCCCGACGCTGAGCAGCGCAACGGCGGTACTCGGCACCTTGGAAGCTCTGCCATTGCCAATGCCTCGTGTGCACCCTCGGCAAAGTCGTCGACATCGTCACTCAAAGCAGTCGGTCGCCGCCACAGTTGGCGGCACTCCGCAAAGAACCCAGCGACGACATCATTTGCCCAAAAGCTGCGGTCGTTTGCAGCATTCACTTGGGCATCAGGCGGGGGACAAACTGGCAACGTAATTGCTGAGACTGCCAATTTAAACGCATTGCCTCGGATTTGCAGAGGCACTGATGGCAGCTCTATGGAAGATGTAACGATGGAGAGCAGCATTCCACTGCAAATAATGTCTAGCACAGCTTTTGCCAGCGAAAATCCGCACGAATACCAGCGCAACATTGCTATGTTTGATGTGCAGCGACTGTGACTGGAACTGGGCAGTCTGGGTTTAGTCGGCGGCTTGCAGACGCGCAGGGCCAGCGTGCGTCGCTCGCCAACGTGCGCACTGCATTAGAAAATATTGCCTCGCCATCGTATGAGTATGAGCGCGAAATGTCGAGCTATGTGTCGATGAAGTCCTAAGCGTGCAGGTGGTTTTTTCATTTGAGGTGAATATGGCGCTAAACATTGCGCAATTTTTGAAATTTCAGTGTTTATCATTCAAACCTATCAATTTACATACATTAGTTTATCTTAATTACGCTTCAAATTGAGCATGTTCAATATAATTCGTTTTATTATTATAATTATCATATTAAAATAGTATTACTTTCTCACCACCTTGCTGACACACAGAGCCACCCAATGATATTGGAATTGCAACAATGGGCAATAAAAAAGTTTAGTGAGATTTTGGCATTGCATTGAAGCCCAGTAACATTCGGGCATCGCTGAAATGGGCTGGGTATATCCTGCTAAGGTCGATGCAGTCGAATTTGGCAGGGGTGGTATGTTAGCGGTTGGCAGGAGTAGCGGCATTTGCGATGTGTTGTGCACGTCCCCTCTGTTGGGATATAATCTCGGCATCTGTCGTGCCTGCAGCGGCGGTGTGATAGGTACAGGTGGTCCATCGTTTCGCAGCGACTTTAGCAGTATCTTTGGAGACCTAGCTACGCTGTGGTTGGCGGGTAACCATGTGGGCATCTCTGACAATGGTAGGGGCGGAGGATTAAAAGAACCTTGGTGGTGCTGAGGTTCCATTGTGTACCCACCGCCAACTTGGATCTGGCCGTTATTTGCGCTTTCCGGCAGTCGATTCGAGCTGTCCGTGAGGGAGTTTGCCGCTGTCATTTCGCTGCTCGTCCGGCTGCTTTGGCTCTGGTCAGCACCCGAAACAAATTCGACGTAGCTGTACGGGCTGGTAATCGGCGAGTGTGAGTAATACACGTATGCATACTCGCTATCACTGGACCTCTTTTGCGCTAAGTCAATTGGCAAAGGAATGCCATGCTTGGACTTTGAGTACCTGTCCGAGTCCGCTGAATCGTCAATCCTGAATGCTGTAATGGATGGGCGCTCATTGGAACGGCTCTCATACCCTTGCGAGGGGCTGCCCAAGGGATGCCGCGCAGTTACGCCAGACTGTGTTGATGCAGCGCCCGTAGATGTTTGCCCTGGCGACTTTAGCGCGTATGATTGTACAGGCTGCCTGGGCTCTCGCATATCGGACAGACGCGACAGGTGCACGCTAGGCATCCACGGCTCTGCAAATATCAGCAGCGCGGTGACCAAAACCGCAAATTGTCCACTGCTCGACATGTGCAGCGAATCCAACGGCAATCCAATATGGCAATTGAAGCACGGCTTGTTGCAGGCCACAAACAGAAAGTGCGCCAGCATGTCAAATATGGTCGGCGAGACTGATTTGTTAACAAAAAAGCGACAATGTGAGCCCGATAGCTCCCTGACGGTGCTATCAGATAAATTTGATTGGCGGCGCGGCATGCGCTTGAGAATGTTGGCGGTTGTCGTCTTGGACCTAGATACGGCGCCTTGAGTAATCGGTGCGTTGAGCGACGGCAGCGAAGATAGCTCGGTAGCGAAAATGCGCCTAATCATCGGGGGATCCAAGCTAATAGGCAGCCTTTGGTTCGAGCAGCTCCCAAACACAGTAGCCCACTGGGCCACGCCAGGCCGGTTGGCAGAGTTTGCCTGTATTGGGGATGTTGAAGCCGATGCCACCCCGGCGGTCACAGCGTCCTTCAGCAAAACAGCGACTATAGGCACGAGTGCCCGCGGCGACGGCAGGTCAAATCCTTCCTTACAGTATACACAACTTCTCTCGTATTCGTCGTTGGATGAGCACAGATCGGGAGTGCTGATGGCAATGGCACTGTCAAAGTCCAGAGACGTCTCATCGGCCTCAGCATGCATCTGGTTGATAATCGACGATATATATGCCAAGTTCGTGTTGCCGCTGGCAGTTTTTGTATTCTTCTGCAAGCGCTTGATTCGCAGCTGCATCTCCTTGCGATAATTGGCGTAGTTGGGGTGTGCCTTGAGCGCGTTGTTGGTGATAAACTGAATGGCGGCACTGCAGGAGGCTGGCACTAGCTCCCAGGTATTATGTAGCCGGAGAATGGTGGCGCTCGAGAACACGCACACTAAGCTATTAAGCGACTCGTAGTCGCCTAGCTCGCGTATCAGGCATATTACCACGGTCCACCACTCGATGCGCTTTGCGCGCTGACTTGCCTGTATCGGATATATGATGCTCGTCTCCATCAGCCGAGAAAGGAAGTTGGCATGGTCGCTCAGCATGCGCAAAATAGGCTGCTCCGCGCTCAAAGAGTTGGGTGCTGATCCGGGCGACTGAGACGGCAGGCCAGAGCTAGCATACTGTATGATGGATTCTTTGGTCAGCTGCTGGAACAGTTGGCTAGTAGAGTTGGCAATAGCACAAGCGACGATTCCCGGAGGCAAGGCCTCGATTTGCTTGATAAATATTGATGCCTCGTTCTCGTCAAGGCTCGAGCGCAAAAGATCGTTTGCCAGATCGACAGCAGAAACCGGGGCGCCTGTAGTGACGTTCAGCTCGCGAACGGGGATATGCGGCATGCGCTCCCCCAGCGGCGAAACGTATCGTTCACCCAGGCAAGCAAACACCTCATCAATTGGTTTGGCCGCCGCATACTTGATTTGCGAGTCCCGCCACGTCCTTGCAATGGTCTGCTCGATTGCGCTCGAAACTGACATGGCCCGCGTCGATATGGCCCCATCGAGCGCCTTCCGCGGGTTCATGATATCGGGAATCGGCAATCTCATCTTTTTGTCGTTGTATTTGGATTTGGACTCGACGTTGCTAAACTTTGGAACGGCCGGCATTGTGGCAGAGCTGTAGTGTGAAGGGGTTGACGGATCGGGCTGAGCCTGGGTGGCAAAAGAGCTTGGCGAGCGCTGCATGCGGTAGCTCGCAGAGTCCTGGCTTCCCTGCGTGCTGCTGCGGCTGCGGCTACGACCGCGCCCAGGAATATCAGGATACGTGGTCCGCGAGTCCATTAGCCTGCTGTTTGAAATAGTCATGGCGCGGAATATGTTGCTGAGCGCTGGATGAGAGGCAGCGCCCGGCAGGGACAGCAGGTATTCGCTGAGTATGCCCTGCGTGTCCTCGATCTGGATTCTGAGGCAGTCAAATAGCCGGTCCTGCTCTGACAACGAGGAGGTCCTTTGGAGGGACTGCTCTGTGGGGCTGCCAGCCATTGCGCCACGCATCAGTTTGCAAACGAGCTCGTCCATTGCCTTGATGCGTGACGAGATATCCTGCAATTGCATGAAATCCAACTTTGAGAGCGAAAGCAGTCTTACGCCGTCTGCAACGTACGACATTGGATAGCCTATTTGAGACAAGTGGGGAACTGGGCGTTAAGTGGTAAGAGCAGTGGAGATAATAAGAAAAGGTTTTATTTGTGCACAAGGCGAAGGACAAGACAGTAGCAAAACAAAAGCTAGAAAGACAAGAGAAAACAATTGACAAATAGATGAGTGGTGCATTAAAATTGTGATAGGAAAATCAGCTGGTGAAAGTTGGCGGTGGTGGGTGGGGGATAAGTGCAGCAAGCCAGCGCATAGCATGCATTATTTTTGCAAAGGCGTGAGCCAAATAATAACAAAAACAAAAAATTTGATGAGGTCGACGGACAAGCTAAAATTGGTTCCCAAAAGACCTGTTTTTTTTGCGAGAAACAGGTCAGTTCAAGACGATGAGTACTGCGAAATTTTTTCCTGCAACCAGTCTTTCGGCCCCAATGTGTTGGACATGCATCAGTGGTACAATATACTGGCTGAATGGGTAAACAAAACTATATGCATATTTGACTTGCAGCACACAAGTGCCGCTTGTCTTCACCAGATTGTTAATTATTTGGCTGGATAAAGGTTAGTGCTGCGGCAGTACAATTATTATGTCCAATTTAATTTAAAATTTTTACCTTGTATTGAAGTAGCCATGCTTCAAAGGTGAACAAGAGGCAGGGCGCAAACAAGCAGGTGCGTATTTGTATTTGTGGGTGTGCTTGCAAACAATAGGTATATTGTCAATTTATTTTATCAAGCCGCGCAATTGTGTTGTAAGCAGAAAAAACAATAACAATAATAATAGGAAAATAATAATAGGTACAATTAAGGTGCTTTCAAAAAATGTAACAAAATACCTCAAACCCAAAAAAAACAAAAGAAAAACAAGTAGCTGTGCAAGCAAGTACACGCGCTAACACAAAAAGTAAACATATCTGACAGCAAAATAAATGAGCAAATGCTTGTGAAGGCGATGTGTTTTTGCAGACAGCACGCCTTCCTATCAGGGATTCCTTTGAACATCAACCGTATCTGTCTTTTTAGATTCTACATCCATTTGGGTGACGACAGGATATAAACATCCACAAAGGGGAGAAAATCAGAGCCAAAAGTATTAGGCCAAACAGAAGGCAGAATGATCGTCGTTCCTTGTATGTGTTGCATGAGGTGGATATAAGGCTGGCAATCCGACAGAGCCAAGTTTTATTTTTGCGTTGGTTTACTTATACTTTATATGCATTAAAATTCGGAATAATTGCATGCATATTGCGAAAAATCCTGTCCCCATTTTCTTCGTCAACTTTTGATGCCAAGCGTCGAATTCCAGCCTTTTAATCTTGTATATCGAAATGTAAATACATGTGGCATCAATTTCCTTCTTTGTTTGTTTATTGCCTTCAATAAAGTGTAAAACTGGTTTAGCAAAATGAGAATATCGCGCCATGATTGTTCCAATAAAGAATTACATTCCGACCAACGCATTGTTGGACCGGCGCCTGGTATTGGCAAAATGCAAACTATCATTTTGCTTTTCTGCCTTCAAAAGTCAATGGGCCGCTGGAACTCGTATCAAGTGCAAAAAAAGAAAATATTGCAGTTACAGTTTTGTTTACTCTTCTCGAAGGGAAAAATGACTGGACCACTTAACATGCAGAGATTTGGCTCGCAAACAAACAAGTTTTTTTAGCGACTAAAAATTACCTACCCCATCCCAATAAGCTTTTCTTCCGCGCCAATCCATCTAACCAGTCCAGACCAGCCAAGTTGTGCTCCGGCCAATTAAGATGGCGATTTTCGTTCGATGGTCTGTCGGCTGCAATCACCACCATTTTTTAAATTCTCTCCTTTTTCATTTTTTCAGTCTCAGTCTCTCTCCCTGTCTCTCTCCTCGCCTGACCCCGCATTAATCTGCACTACTTTATCTTTTCTTATTACTTACCCCGCTTATTTTATTTTAATTTGATATTTGGCGCCTATTTTTACGTTCCTTGCATCTTTTTGTGGTTGACACCAACATCTGAACCTGCAGCAGCCGAAGAAATAATAGGCCTGTTTTGGAGCATTTTCTCTTCGTCATTTGCAAAGCGTGTTTGTGCGTGCATACCAAAGCAAACTTGGCTTTCCTGCATTTTTATCTTTTTTATATTTTGCAACTCCTGTTTTTTTTCTTTTATCCCTCCGCATAGGATTTCCAATATTTCCCCTCACCATCTCGCTTTCTTTCACACAACGTATTGTTGGCGCAATTTATTTGTTATATTTTTTCTTTCTCTGTCGCAACAATCACCATTCGACAAGGTCCCAAAAAAGAACAGCCGGTGGGAATTAGCTCTTATTTTCGGAGGGTGATGAAGCACGCATACCATCCTCTTTCTGGCCAGTATCTTATTTTCTGTTTTCTTTGGCATTGTTTTTTTATTATTTTTTATTTTCCATTTTTTTTAGCCCAACACTCGAAAGTCTCTAGTTTTGTATTGCTGTTGACAGTCTTTTAAAAGGAAGAGAGTTTGGTTTTATATTCCTTTTATCACATACATACTACGACACTACAAATGGCAATACAAACGCCGCCACGTGTTTCCGCCGACCGCGACAAGTTGGATATGCGAGGGTCGCCCCTTGGTGCGGCATCGCGAACCAACCGGCCGAGCTTCATTCAGCCGCCAACACAACTCACAGCCTCACTCAGCATCAATGGCAACGGAAACGGGGTCACAGCAGCAGCCCAAAGCGTTGGATCGCGCGCGGCCACGTCGTTGATGATGCACCGGCCAGGAGAGACGCAAAACGGACGCGGCTTCGCCGAAGGCGGGCGAACAGGGCGGTCGTCGTCGCTCTCGGCGCGCGCAGCGTCACCTGCCCTGGGGTCATACATACCAGGGCTGGCGCGGCCGTTGTTTGGCGGACTTGGCGACCATGCTGAATACAGCGCGGGTGGACACAGTCGGACAAACAGCACCAGCGGGCCTGGCGACTCGGGCAGCATCTCGGGCGTCAGAGAGCTCGACGAGAGCGTGTTTAGCGGAGGAAGTGCTGGGTTGGGGGTCGAGATCCAGAGAAAGGACTCGGTCAGCTCATTATTGAACGGCGAGATGAACGAGTCCGACGACGGACAGCGCGTGCTGCCGGTTAGGGTTGCCGTGCGCATCCGTCCGCTGCTGGTCGGCGACGGCAATGTTGGTGGTGCAGGTGACAGCGGTGGTTGGGGCCAGATGCGTGGCGCGCTGGTGAGTTGCCTGGAGGTGCAGCCCAAGGCATCAATCCGGGTTGCTCCACTAGCTGCAGCAGCCAGCGGCAGCGGGGCCGATGCGCCAAAGACGTTCAAATTCGACCACGTGTTTGGCGCCGAAATCGGACAGGAAGCAGTGTATGATGCGGCCATTGCGCCGCTGCTTGCACGCTTTGTCGAGGGCTACAATGTCACGGTGCTGGCCTACGGACAAACATCGTCGGGAAAAACATTCACGATGGGCACGGACTCGGAGCCGGAGGACGATGAGTCTACGGGCATTGTGCCGCGCGCCCTCAGATGGCTGTTCTTGTGGGTGCAGAGTCAGACAGACATCAACGTGAGTGTGTCATTTATCGAGGTGTACAACGAAGAGCTCATTGACCTGGTGGCCTTGACGCAGTACCGCGGCGTGAGGCCGCCGATTTTTGTGCGCGAGGACAGCAAGGGCATTATCCAATGGGTTGGAGTCAAGGAGTTGCGCGTTACCGATGCGCGCGAGGCTCTCGCCCTGTTAGTCGCCGGCTCGCGCGAGCGGCAAACTGGCGGTACCCGCATGAACGGAAAGTCCTCGCGGTCGCACGCTATCTACTCTGTGTCGCTCACCCAGACTCGCTCCCGCACAGGTACTGGCCCGGTGCAGATTGTATCCAAGTTGCACTTTGTCGATTTGGCCGGCTCCGAGCGCCTCAAGAAGACGCTGGCCGAGGGTGACCGCAAGCGGGAGGGCATTTCGATCAATTCAGGGCTGCTGGCTCTGGGCAATGTTATTTCGGCACTTGGCGATACCGCACGCAGCACCTCAGGGCCTGCTCATGTGCCGTATCGCGACTCCAAGTTGACCCACATGCTGAGGGACTCGCTGGGCGGCAGTGCTCAGACGCTGCTCATTGCGTGCGTGTCGGCTGCCGAGGCTAATGCCGCTGAGACCATCAACACGCTCAGGTACGCGACGCGCGCGCGCAACATCAAGAACTGCGGTGGTGTCAACATGGTCAGTATGAACGGGCCGTCTTCTGCTGAGATGCAGGCACTGCGGACCCAGGTACGCAAGCTCCGCGACCACATCCGCATACTCGAGGACCGCCTGAAGCAGCAGCATGCCGAGTTTGATGAGCGCATCGACGAGCGCCCTGCGAGCAAGCTTGCATTGTCGACACCACGCGGCTATTTGTCGCCGCCCTCCGGCACTAAAATACCAACGATGAACGCCGCGATTCAGCGCCGCGCGCAGACCATCGAGGAGCTAGCAGCGACGCGCGCGCGCAATAATACTCTAGAGAGTGAACTGGAGCAGCTCAACGACACATACACCGAGCTGCTGCTCAAATTCAACGAGGCCTGCCGCGAGATCGAGGAGCACCAGAGTGAGGGCTTTGAGCGCGACCAGCGCCTTCGTAACCGCGAACAGGAGTTGCGCCGTATCACTGCCCATTCGCGCAGCTCTCGCCGCATCATGTCCGTTGTCGAAAAGCCCGAGACTGCCGATGCGCTGCGGCAGAAGCGCCGTTCAGCGCGCTCTATGGCTGAGTTCGAGCGCCCTGCGACGCACGGCGACCGCATGCAGTCGCTCATGGATGCCCCTTTGCTTCCGGATCTCGCGCGCCTGCGCAGGATGCAGCTGGGCGATTCATCGTTGAGCGAAGAGGACGAGGATATGGCTGGCCCGAGCGCCGCCGAGTTTGACGCTATTATGGAGGAATACGACGCTGATATCCGTTCCCTGAAGGACGAATTGCGCGGCGTGCAAGAGACTGTCGATGCCCTGCGCCTACAGCTGACCATGCAGGAGACCAAGGCAACCTTTGCCGAGAAGCTCAATGCCTCGCAGACCGCACAGATTGAGACCCTGCGCGGACAGCTGGCTAAGGCGCGCGAGGCAGGGCTGGAGGAGGAGGAGCGCCGCCGCGCTATTGAGACCGAGCTCGAGGAGGCTATCTTGACCGCTGAAACGCAGCTAGAGGCGGCGGACAATGCCTGGCGCGCGGAGCTCGCCCACGCTGACGAGGAGTGGAATGAACGCTGGGACGCTGCGCACAATGAGCACGCGCAGGCTCTTGAAGAACAGTCCAATGAGGTGTCTCGCCTTTGCCAGGAGATTCGCAGCTTGTCCGTCGGAAAGACCATTCAGCAGCCGCAGATGCTGTCGCCGCCGCCCACTGCCCATGACAATGAGCACGGGCTGATGAGCCGCATGATCGCTAATGACCAAGCTCAGTCGCAGCTTGTGGATGATTTTGCTCGGAGCATAGACGATATTGCGCGGCTGGAGGCTGAGGTCAATAACTTGCGGTCTCAGGCCAAGGCTGCCGAGGCGCGCGCTGCTTCTGCCGAAGACGCCTTGGGTGCATTGTCGGCGCGGCTGGCTGAACAGGAGGTTGTGGATACAGATGATGACAGCGAGGCACGTCTTTTGGCAGAGAAGGCGGACAACGAGGCTCGTCTTGTGGCTGTGAGAACCGAAAACGAAACGCTTCTTTTGGCTGAGATGTCTGCTAAGGCCGAGGCCGAGTCTCGCGCCATTAACGCTGAAAAGACCCTGGCTGAACTTTCGGCACGCCTGGATGCTGTCAAGGCAGACGCCGAGGCCAGAGCTGAGGCACGCCTTTTGGCGCACAGATCCGTCCAGGCCGATACTGAGGACCGTGCAATCAAGGCAGAAAAAGCGCTGGCAGAGATCTCGGCCCGTCTGACCAAGACCAAGCCAGAGGCTCAATCTAGCACCGAGGGGCGTCTTTTAGCTGAGCAGGCTGTGGCGACTGCCAATGCTGACGCCGAGGCGCGTGCCATTAAGGCGGAGCAGGCTTTGGCAGAGCTTTTGGCGCGGCTGACTGAGACCAAGGCAGAGGCTGCAGCTGACACCGAGTCACGTCTTTTGGCTGAAAAGGCAGCCAAGGCTGAAGTAGAGGACCGTGCAATCAAGGCAGAGCAAACCCTTACTGAGCTTTCGGCGCGCCTTGAAGCGGCCAAGACCCAGGCCGAGGCTGATGCCGAAGCGCAGCTTTTGGCGCACAAAGCTGCCCAATATGAGACCGAGTCCCGCGCCATCAAGGCAGAGCAAGCCTTGGTTGAGTACACCGCCCGCCTGGCCGAGCAAAAGAAAGAGATCGAGGCTGCCAACGCTGCACGCCCACTGGCCGAGCGCGCAATTCAGACCGAGCGGCCCATGGTGGCAGAAAAAGCTCTGCAGTGTGTGTCTGTCGACGACGATATGAAGCTCAGCATGCCCTCACTTTTGCGGTCCAACTTGGATCTGCCGCGCCGCGCCTCGACCAAGATTATGCTGTGCGCGCGCAATTCCATGGTGCACAAGGAGTCGGGTTCCGAAAGCCCTGCCGAGCAGCGTCTGCGCGATATGCACCACCGCCACAGTGCTGGAATTCCAATTAGGAACAGCAACGCGCAGTCGGCAGCTGCCGCTGACAAGTTTGCTTCGTATCCCGAGCTGCGCATGCCTAGGCGCTCGGTGTCGGGATACGACAGGGAGAATGCAGAGGATGTGCAGCACGACAATGATGCCGATGTCGATGCCGATGCCAACCTCGAAAGGGCAGACAACTACGACGATGAACGCCGCGCACTGATGTCCGACGTGGCTGCGCTCAAGGAGGCGAAAAAGGAGCTTCAGGAGCGCAACAGCCAGATGCAAAACCTCATGCGCGAACTGGGCGACCGTCTGGTTATCTTAGCTGAAGAGAATGACCAGCTCGAGGCCAAGGCCACCGAGCGCGACGCACTGGCCGAAAGTGTGCACCGTCTTAACAACAAAGTTGCCGAGTTTGAGGAAAGGGCGCGCCCAGTCTCGTCCAAGTCGTTCCACTCGGCGACTGAAGACTACTCGGTTGATATTGACGCCGCTGCTGCCGCCAGCTACGACCTGATTCAGGTCCAGTCGCGCCTCAACATTGTCGAAGCCGATTTGGCCGAGGCATTGATGAACGCGGATGAGCACCAGTCCCATGCCAGCCAGTTGTTGCATGAGGCAGAGCAGTACCGCGCGCGCATTGCCGAAATGGAGGATGACTTGGCAGACACCATGCGCCAGCTGGACGATGCGCGCGAGGAGAACCGCCGCATCAGCGATCTGATCCAGAACCAGGCTAATGAAGCCCAGGAAGACTTGTTTAAGCAGTCGGACCAAGTTGCCCGCCTTCGGGAATCTCTCGTGCTCAGCGAGGAACACGCCGAGGAGGCCAGACTCACCGCCGATCGCTATGCCAACGAGCTCATGCGCGTCCAGGCCGAGGTCAAGTCTCATGTTGACCAGCTCGATTTACTACGCCACCAGCTTGAGGACACCCGCGGGATGGTCGGCAGCGAGGCTCGTGACCGCGACATCTGGAAGAATCGCTGCCAAGACTTGCGCGAGGAGGTTGAAGAGCTGCGCATGCAGCGCCGCCAGTCCAAAATCCGGTGCTTTTAATTTTAGTTTCTTTTTGTCCCTTTGTTTTTTCTTTGCATATCTTTTTTCCTCTTGTTCTTTTTATTTAACTGTTTCGTTTTTAAATTCGTGTTTAGCAATTCGCACTTTTTGACAAATGCCTGCAAAAACACCAGACTACTACTCTATTCTCGGCGTCAGCCCGTCTGCCACGGCCGATGAAATCCGCACAGCTTACATGAAGAAGGCTGTTAAAGTCCATCCTGATAGAAACACGTCGCCCACGGCAACTCAAGACTTTCAGCAACTTGCCGACGCGTACTACACACTCAGCGACCGCACACGCCGGGCCGCCTACGACAGCGCTCGTCCCACTGCTGCGCCACATGCCGATGCCGACAATGTCTTTGGCGACGTCTTTGAGGACCTCCTGCGGCCTGAAGTCCAGGGAGACTCGTCGTTGTGGGGGATTCTTGGGCTTATTAGCGGGGCTGCTTTGGGATTTATCCTGGGCAACGTTCCTGGCGCCCTTGTCGGGGGCTTTGCCGGCAAGAAGCTAGGCGCGGTCAGAGACAATACTGGGCGCCCAGTGTACGATTCGTTTAAGGAGCTACCGCATGCTCGGAAACTGCAGGTCCTGAGTGCTATTGCCGCCCATGTTCTTGGCGGAGCTGCTGGCAGACCAAAATAACTATTTTTGTGCACAATGTGGAAACGTTGCTGAGTCGACGTCACAAGATTTTTGTTTGTTTCCGTATTCAATGTAAATCGTAGCGTGTGATTTTTTGTGGGGCAGTGCATTTCAACTTGTAAATTATAATCAACTTTTTTTATAATCCGTCAAAATATATTTTGCCGAGTTAACATTGAATATCCATTTGCCAGCAAAATAAAACGGCTTGCACGCTTCCTTATAATCCACGACCTTGGACTCGGACTGATAATCAAGTCGTAGATCTATGAAAGTGCTCATACTCATATTTTATATTTCACCATATTTGCATTGGTATTTGAAGGGAGGGAAGGTCTGAGGAGAAAAACTTTATTCGAAATAAAAAGTCTGTTTCCCGAGCTGATCAATGTATTTTGTTTCGTCGAACAATCTGGGCTCTCGGTGTTTTAAGTTTTTTTTGGCTCTGGCTTGATGAAGTGAGTGAGAAAATGCCAACGAATGTTTTATAATTTAATGCCTAGAACGCAAGCCATCGCTTTTTTTATTTTTGAAAATTGGACGGGTGTTCCAAAACGACACACACTCCGTTGCAGACAGTGTGTATGGGCCAGGTTTATTCTTTTTTACGAGTCTAGCTCTCCGAATCTTTAAATGTGGTGAAACATTGAAAACACCGACGATGCTTTTACAAAAAAATTTTTTGCCCTTACTAACGAGCAATTACTGACATGTCAAATGCACGTCACATTCCTTATAATACGAGAGACTTTGATAGCAGTTTTCCTAAAAAGAACTTCCCGCCACCATTTTTTATCTCCTCCTTTCAAACCCACCCTTTCTCTTCCTTTTACGCCAGTTTAGGCTTACTTTATATTCTGGAAACTGTCGATATTCAACTTTACGTTGAAAATTTTTGTAAGTACACTCTACTCTATACGCAATACAGCAACGGTAATACAATATGATGCAAGTCACATGCATTTGTAAAGCGGAGCTAAGCTACGTTTTAAAGGCGTGTAGTTTGCGGACTTTTGATCTTGATAATTCCCGTTGTCGTTGTCAGTGACCCTTTGCCCGACTAATTTGCCGTCACATGACTCGAGACTGTTATCACTTCAGCATTTGTTTAGACTTTAATGAAGATTATTGGTGCGTGATGATGTTAGTTTTTTGCAACTAGTAATACTTGCTGTTGCCGAGTCAATCTGTTTGTTTATATTTTCTGCAATTTGGAATCGTTCAATTGGCCATACTTTTAATAATCCCGTTCTGATAATATTTATCTCCGTTCCTTCATTTCCAATGACTCGCTCTTAGTGTTGCGCTGCTGATGCGCAGCCAATGTTTGCATATCGATTTATAAATACATGTGCTCGCTATTGAGAAGTCTGCGGGTACAGTCTGCTGCTATTCCTCCAAACGATTGCCCACTCGAGATATTTTCTTGGCAACCTTGCCCGTATATAAAATGAAGCGACCAAAGAATTCTGTTTGTTTTTGTTATCATTTTTCTAATAATTTAAACTCAAAATTTTAAACTTACATAACACTAACTTCTAACCATGCAAATCAATTCCGATTACTATTCGGCCGTATTCGATTACTACCAAATAGCAAAGCTTTTGTCAATCGCCGAGGCCAACTTTCAACCTCCCAGCCAGCGTCAACCTTTATATAACCAAAAAATCGATATCTCTGACATGTCTAGCGGTACCCTCTCGTACGCCGCTGCCAACAGCACAAACTGTCCGCCACAGGCACTGCCACCTGCATCGGATGTAACATTATCGGCAACGTCATCCCCACAGCAAAACATGGGCGACATGGCCATGGCAGCAGCCACTGCACCCGGTGATGTGCATTTGAGTGAATTCACGTCGTGTCCGGAGAGCAATGGCACTATTTCCGGCGACGCCCAGTATACCGAAGGTCTTGGGATCACATCATCATCCCCGGATATACCCCAGTTGGACGAGTCTGATCAGGTTGTCGCTGAAACCAAAAACATGCTGGTGTCGTCCTTGCTGCTAAAGCCGTATTCCTCCGCTGCTTCCAAACTCGCAAATGCAGATGATGCTGTTGCCTCGATGTCAACCCCACAGAGCTTACAAGACAGCGGCAACTCAAGCATTTCGCCCTTAGATATGCTCATTGCCGCCCTCGATCCACAAAAGTCCAGCCAGATCCCGTTGAGCAATAAGCCCCCTGCGTCTATTCTCGGCCAATGCCCGTCAGCTATAACCTGCGATTCTGCAGACGGCGCGGGCAATGGAGCAGGATGGGTGTGGCAGACTGTTCGGCCATGGGGTCTACGCTTACAGACAATCTTTGGGATTCTGCAGCAGCTGCAGCATCAGCAGCGGCAGACAGCGCTCAGAACCAATATCCCAATATTCTCTGGAAACCAGAGGCCACAGCAGTCTCAAATGCTTCGCCCAACATGGCCACACACCCTTCAAATGCCGTAATGAATTTATTGTGCAGCAGCGAGGGCAGTGGCAACGACGCCGATTACCAAAACTTGGGCGCAGTGAACGACTATGGAAAACCCATATCGATGCAGCAGTCAAATGACTTTGGTCGCGACATCCGCCGGGGATCGTATCCGCCAGGCATCAAGCGGCCATACAGCGACTTTGAGCAGCTCTTGTCCGCCGCAGACATGTACGGGTCTATTGGAGACCAGCATCCCCACGCAGCGAAGCATGCTCGCCACGACAGTCTGATTGACGATAAATCAGGGACACTGTCCGCGACCATGGATTCAGCAGTAGCTGCCGCTGCTGCTGCGGCGGCGGCGGCGTCAGTCAGCATATCCTACAACAATCCGGCATTCCCGTACTCAACCAAGCGCTCGACAGCTCCAATGACCTCACCGCAGGCGCAAGAAACAATGCGGCAGCAGAACTACTTTAATGACTGCTTTGATCCGTTCAACCCTGCCGCTGGAGCAAATATCTCACTGGATGCTGCGGGTATGCCCATAATTCCTGGCGCTCCACAAATGGTCTATCCGTCAATGGGAATGTCCTCAGCCCGCTTCATGCCAGCCAAGATCACGACCATTCGCGCTCGCTGTCATACTCTTCCCAGATGGACAGCTATCCACCAGTAGGAATAGTGCCGCTGCCGCCCATTTCCAACGCGCAACATGTGCACAACATGGCAAGCGACATTTCCGCTGCTACTTCTTACCACCAGACACAATCTGGCTACTACTACAGCGATCTGATCATGCCCAGCACTGGCGCTTATACGGGCATCAACTCTATGGCATACGCTGCCGCCGCAATCCCCACCGATAATAGATTTGCAAGGACTCCTCCCCCTATTCCCTTAATCCCAGGCGTCACTACGAGTCCCAAGGAAAAGCCACGCCGGATATCCGTTCCCAACCTCACGCCCACAGACGAAGAGGAAAGTATCGGGGACAGTGCTTACCCGCGCCGCCAAAATGCGCGCTCCACTGACGACCTATACACACCCATGTGGGTGCGCAACGCAGGGCAGCTGAAAGAGGGATTTTGCGATACCTGTGTGCCAGGTAAATGGCTGCAGCTAAAGAACAGCGCGTACTGGTATCACAAGCAGTTTGCGCATGGGATATCGTCGGTTTCAGGGAGGCCTTTTATACGGCCATTGGAGGTCCGGCATTACAACGACGACGTTATCGAGGGGTTGTGCCATCAGTGCTATCATTGGGTGCCGATTGCCAACTCCAAGCGGCGGAATAGCGTTCTGTGGTTCAGACATGCGCACAAATGCCATATCTACAACAACAAGCCCAAGCCCAAACGCAACTACTCCAAGTGCAAGGGTACGGATGGCAACCATGGTATGGCAGCGTTCTTGCCTTCACCGCAAGGTCAGATATCGATGAGCGACTCGGAATATGCCGATTAATATTAGTCGCGGCAAGACGGACAAAAGCACATGTAGACTTACTTTTAAAGGAATAAATACCGCTTTAAAGTAATAATCGAACAATTGGATAATTTAAAATATAATACTATTTAAAAGAAAAGAACCGCGCATGTGTGGCTAGAGCCTTGTGGCCAAATCTAGTCAATGTCAGCAACATCCAGGTCCTTGGAAAAGTCCCAAATTATGATCTTTTGGTCCTGACTTGTGCTGACTATCCGGCTCGTGCTGAACTGGACATCAAACACCCAGCTCGTGTGCACATCCTTCAAATCCAAAACGCACTCTCCCGAAACAATGTCCCACACCTTGATAGTCTGGTCGTATGATCCGGATACAGCCCGGCGGCCGCCAGTGAAGTGCAGCGTGCGTACAAGGTCTTTGTGCCCCTTGAGCGTCTGCACGCAATGGCCCGTATCGGCGTCCCACACTTTGATCAACTGATCGCTGGATCCAGAAACAATGGTCTTTCCGTCAAACTGCACGCACGCAAGACCGCGAGTGTGCCCAGCAAAGGTGCGCAGAAGCTCGCCGGTCTTGAGATCCCACATCTTGATCAGCGAGTCGCCAGAGGCTGACACGATACGGCCGCCGTACAACTGCACTGCATTACAGGGCCGCGGTGTCCAATCATTGTTCGTAGGAGCTTGCCCGTGCTGCGGAGCCACACTTTTATTGTGCAATCCTTAGAGCACGACACCACGTGCTCGGAGTCAAAGGCCACGTCGAGAACGCCCGCTGTGTGAGATACCAGCCGCTGCATTGGCAATCCAGAGGGCCAGTCCCAGACTATTATAGTCGAGTCGCTCGACCCGGTCACTAGAGTCTGCTCGTCGTACTTGAGGCACAGTACGGATGCCTCGTGACCTGTAAAAGTGCGCATGCATTGCAGCGTCTGGCTGTCCCACACCTTGATCGTGCGGTCCCGCGAGCCAGTGACAATTTTTTCATGGTCGTATTGCACACAATAGACGCTGTCGGCATGGCCCGTAATGGTCTGCACCTCGGCAATGCCCTTGGCCCAGTGACGGTCGAGCTCCAGCCGCTGCTGGAATAGATACTTCCACTTGGCACCAACTAGCCTTTGTCCGTCAAATTCACCCTTGAATGACCCGGCGCTGCTGATTGTCGGCGACGGAGCAATCATGTGCTGCAGAGCAATTGCTGGCCGAAGCGATGAGCCGGCATAGGCTGTCAGGATCTGGTGCGCGTTGTCCTCATCAAGGCTCATTGCCGACCCGTGGCCATTGTATACGCTGCCATCGCCAACACGAGGCGTGCTAGCACCACTTGCACAAACTCCAGGCGACTGCGGCGCGGTGCCATTGAGGGCACAGTTTCCGCGGAACAGCCGCCTCCGGGCCAGCGACGTGCGCCCGGCGGCAGCTAGCGCGCGTGGCGTTCTCCACTCGCTTTGCTGCAAAAACAAGCGCCGCCACACGGCATTATCTCTGGCAAACCGGTTCCATGACCTGCTGACCTCGGCTATGGTTGTGATTGCTGGAAAGTCGGCGTAAATGACGATTACCATTGCGATCTCGTACGGAAGCAGGCTGAGAAAGTCCAATCGCCCGTCAGGCATTGTCGACGACACAATGCCGGATCCTGCGCCGAGCATGCGGCTGTTTGTGCTGACAAATGAGTCCTTGCGCTTCATGCCCCCGCGGATGCCTACCGGGGACACTGGCGGCAAAACTGCACTACTGCCCCGCATAAGCTGGCTACTTCCTACGCTACAGACGGTGGAGGCATCTGGTGCAGTAGACGGGTGGACCATGAAGGGCCGCGGGCTGCCGCTGGCAGATGTCTGTGGCGGCATGGCCACTGCGAGCGGACTTGATGGCATGTACGTTCTGTCGCTACCCCACGGGTGTGTCCGCTCAACGGCACTATTTGGACCACTCACGACCATGTCGTAACCGGGGTCCTGATCTCCACGACTGAGATCATTGTCGACATTATTCGAGGTGGTCAACGGCGGATGCTGTTGCTCCGGTTGCCCTTGAGCCTGTGAGTCGTTCTTGATCCACGACATTTTCCACATCTTCTTCAAAATAAGCTTGGGACTAAGTGGCATAAACAAATAAAGTAAGTCCGATTAGCCGATGATGGACGATCGATTAGCAGAGAGATTTGTTGATTGGCATGTGCTTGGGAACGATCGTTGCGAGGATAACCTGACGTGTAGCGCAGGAAAATCGGGATAAGCAAGATAATAATAGAGTGGATGTGATGCGTGAGTGCAAATGGAAGAGAAGCAAAGATGAGAAGACACAGGTTGGCTATTGCCAAGCTGCAGTTGTTTGCGGAATAATAGAATAGTTTGTTTGATGTGTTATTTCCCCGATGATTGAACGGCCAGCAACTACACTTCATTGCGCATCCAATTGAGTGTGGAGTAAGGAGGAAAAGGGGGAGGGGAGTGTGTAAAAGGGAGAGAGGCGAGAGAGAGAAACACAGATGGGGAAGAGTGGTGTGGATGGACAAAAAAACACTGGTATGCGGAGAAGGATAAAAAACAGAAGATAAAAATGGCAGAAAGAAAAGGTTTTGCTTGTCCCGCGTTATGCGTTTCTTATATTCATGTTGGTTTACCTAGTTGGGGGATTCTATTGCGGAGTAAAAAGAACGATCGAGTGTGGCGTTAGTGTCTGTATATGCTATTGTGCTTGTATTTCTGTTTTTTAGCCGCCTTTTGGATGGAATTGGGGAAGGGAGATATTTCTGGACGTCAAAGTATTGAGGCATTGGAAAACTGTAGTTGTGATAGGGAAGAGGCATTCGCCCATCATTTAATACAGATTAAAAAGAGTGAAATATTATTGCAATTTCGTTTGTGTACAGAGTGACATGCGCATGTATGAGTAGATTGCGCACTGTACGAAAACAATTGGCATGTCATATGGCCCCTGTGCGTTTTCCCCCTCTTTGGGCTTGATTGCATAGGGTCTGGATGTTTGGTAATTTTTTGCGTCATCAATCCGTCATGTCATTTTTTATCTCTGTGCGGAGAGCATCGCAGGATAAAACTGTGGAGAAATACAAAAAAAGGAGACGGGGAAATAAAAGTTGAGCAATTTTAAAGTGCAGCAAATATAATGTGAATTGTGCGCATGTGGACCACTAATGATTTCTCCCAAGTACTCTAAGCAGGGCCAGACCAAGAACATGCAAAAAAAATTGTCGCTTTGTTCATCACTGCAATCTGGGACCCCCCAAAGTGATAGTGCACTACTTTCAAGGACAAAAGTAATAATACCAAAAAGGGGCCTCAAATGCAAGAGATGGGGAGAGCGTTTTAAATCTTGCCTTTGCAAGATATTCTGAGATGGATAGAAATATATGGAATAAGATGTGCAATAACGCTATTGACTTACCCTAGCTAATATTTGCTTGTAACAGGGATGACCTTTGTTCAGATATAATAACAGAATGAAAACCCAATTAACAAAGTGACGAGGAAAAGAAGAAGGACATGTTCATTACATTTAGTTTGGCCCGAAATTTGGTCAAGCAAAAAAAAGACATGTTACACACAATGTCACTGGGGATAAGATAAAACCAATAGAGGTTGAGGAGGGGCTGGACGATTGGTGCCCACCACACAGCTCGCCAGTAACGGTGACACAAGAGGAATAAAATATAATGCACGAGGCTCGGTATGGCATTTGGGCGAACATACAAACAAATCAGATATGTTTTGCAAAAATTTCAGATGGTTTTTAGCGTAACCAAAAGTCAAATATTTGGGTCTTTTGTGTCTCGCGATGATTCCAGAGCTGATCAACACAAAAAAACCAACCAACATGCCGTTGAAATAAACTTTTTACGATCTGTTGAATCATTTATCTGGGGATCTTTGACGAGTGGTTGTTTCACGTTTCGCTTAACCAATGTTTTTATTTTTATTTTTAAAGTAAAATATATACAAAAATATCTATTACATCGCATCGTCTTGCGCTTTACCATCGAATATCTAAAGTTGCCAGCCAAAATGTGATAATAAAAAACACAAAATTAGTGAACAGTTCTCGCAGACATTTGAAAAAGCAAGGTTCTACGCGCACGCATATACATATATTTTTTGTGTCAGAAATTAATCAATAATCAACGAAATAAAGCTTGTAGCCATATTCTCATACGGCACTTCCTAAATTGTGATTTAATTTTCATCATTGTTTTATTTACAAAAAAATATAAACAGCAGAGCCGGTGGTCCCTTTTAAAAAGGTTTATTAAAAGCTATTGCATGTGTCCACTTACACATTATAAATGGATATCGGTGCCCATTGGTCGACAAATAAACCGCTAATTCATTTCAAGCTTCAGGGACTAAACAAGCCAACTACTATAACAAAATAAAACAAAATTGACTTTAAACAATTAGTACAAAAATGTACAAAAATAACATACTGTCTCATAAACAACAAAAAACAAGCGTTTGTTGGAAGGAATCAGACTTCTAAGGAAGGTCAGTATTAGCCAGCATCGGACACAGCGCAAAGCGTATGCCCTTCGGTGGAAACTGCGAATTTGAATAAATTTCATCAAGTCCCTCCAAAACAAAAACGCAAGTTACAACAATATAATCAAGGTGATACGCACCTTACCGTAACCCAAGAAAATGCACGCGCGCCCATGCTTTCACTTGATAGTTATACATTATAGAGTGCCTAAATCGAGATCCAAAAAATGATTGATATTAGCAAAAACGTTTTAAAGTGGAAAGCTCGCATATACAAAAAAAACATTTGGTTTTTTTGTGTGGGGTCAGAAGGTATACTGGCTAGTATAAGTAAAGCCCACAGCGAATGGGCCAGGATAAAGTCACCATGGTCGATAAGAAGTGGAATGAAGTTGAAGACATCACTCCCCACAACAATAAAAATACAAACGTAGGCACGCACAGTCGTACAGCAGTAGACAAGAAAGATGCAGAAGAAACGAACCTTTAACAAAGCATGTTTATTTAGAAAAAATAAGCAATATAAAATCAAAACAATTAAAAATACAAAAAAAACTGGCAAAGGGGCAAAAGTGGTAATGAAGATAGGAGAAGAAAGGAAGAAAGTGATGGCAACAACCGCCGGCCTTTGTATTTATACTGTTCCAACGCTCTTTTTTTGATTGCGAAATCGAGCACAACATAAAAGTGCGGAAAATTTTTCCATTGCTTTTTTTTGTTGATTTGATGCCGACTCGTTGTCGAGCCGATTTAAAAAATTATTTTATCCATCGCCTCAACGAATAAGCGCACATATGCGACTCGCAACATTCCAAAGGGTTCTTTGCGAGCGAGCGCACATACACGCGTACACGCACCAGCTCGGCTCCTCTGTGCGCAATAGTAGGCGGTACTCTAGGGCCCGGAACGCGTCCCCGGGCAGAAAATCGGATCAGACACGAAATTAAAGTGAAAAAGTAAAAAAATAAAACAACAGAGAAAAAATGCCAAAGTAAAAAATATGAGGAGGGAAGGGGAGAGGGCAATATTAGTAGTCCAGGCTGTGAACCATTGCCACGACGTCCTGAGCCAGGTTTTCCATGCGGTTGTAGATGTCGTCCTCGGCCTCATCGATATCGTCGCCGTCATCGTCACCAAAGGCCTCACCGTTGTCAAACACCCGACTAACACGCATCCCGGCGGAGCCATTGGCGCTGGCATACGCGCTGTGCCGCGCCTTGTCCTCGGGCACAGCACCCATGTCGGCAATCTTCTCGATGTTTTTGATTATCGACGGATGCCCTGTGACCAGGCGAATAAGCTCGGGGGACTCGCTCTCGAGCAGCATCATCACGGTCCAGATGGCCACAGACCGCAGGTGCGGGTCCATGCCCTCGTCGACAGCCAGGAACGATGCCAGATAGGATTGCATGCCGCCATCGGGCTTGTCCCACACCTCCACGAACCGGTCGCTGGCATCGCTGGCCTTGCAGGCGAGATTGCTGATGACAGCACATGCATTGTACTGCAGCTCGAATATCTGCGAATGGGCCAGCGGAATCAGGAGCTCGAGAAAGCCGCCGTCCATTATGTACGGGCACAGGGAGTCGTCGAGCACGAATACGCTCAGCGCAGTGATCATTTCGCTCAGGACAACGTCGCTAGTCTGTAGGTCGGTGATGACCACCTTCAGCTGCTCGAACAAGCCGGCCTCAGCAAAGGACGTCTTGTCCGCGTCGTTGTTGGCAACCAGGTTGCGCAGGGCGGATATGACGTGGCACTGGACCTCCTCGTTGCGCGACTGTGTGATCAGGCTGACGAGCCAGGACAGAATACCGGAGTTCAGGATGTGTACCTCGTTGTCTGGGTGGATCGATAAGTTGCGCAGGCAGGCGGACGCCGATATGACCAGCGGGTCGTATGTCGACTGCAGCAGGGGCAGCAGCGAGTCCAGGCCGCCCTTCTCGACAATCTGGATCTGGTACTGTTCGTCAGAGGCCAGGTTGCGCAGCGTCAGAATGGCCTGGCACTGCACCTTGGTTGTCGGCGCATCCATAAAGCGAATCAGGGCGTCCACCAGCGTCGGCTGCGTTTCCCACAGGAGCCCCCGACCGCTGTCGTCGACAGCAATGTTGCTTAGCGCCGTAGTTGCATAATACTGGAGCTCGGGGTCGTCGGACGCTAGCAGCTCCACGAGCACCGGCACGGAGCCGGCGGCAATCAGCTGCTGGCGGTGCTCCGCTGAGTGTGTCATGTTGAGCAGCGCGCCAGCGGCATTGCGCTGAACACGCACGTCCCGTGACCGCGCCAGTCTGGTCAGTGGCAGCAGCGCGCCGCTCTTGGCTATCCGCATCTTGTTCTCTTCGGCAGTGGCCAGGTTGGTGATGCACCCGACCGAGTTTATTTGCGCATCAATATTGGGCGACAGCATCTGGCGGATGAGCGGCTCCAGCCCGCCCATGCGCACAATCTGCAGCTTGTTCTCCATATTGACTGCCAGATTGCCCAGTGCTGCCGAGGCCCCGTGCTGGACGTCAATGTGTGGGGACTGCAGCAAGTACAGAATCGGCTCTACCGCCTCCCGAGACACTGGCCGCGTATCCATTTCTGATATTTCGCTGAATGCTGTGGCTGCTGAGAGTTGCAGGTGGTAGATGTCCGAGTACGCCAACGTCGACAGTGCCTTTAGCGGCTCGCCCTCGTAAAAGCTGACCGTTGCCCGCCCTATTGAGAGTGTGAGAAAAAAGGATACGTAAAAAAGCGTTTGTATATTAGTACAAGCCAATGTCGCTTGAGATGATTTCTCATACCAACGCTTGATGGCACCCAGTGTGGTGTGTACTTACGCTCAAAGAGCTCGACAAGCATGTTTACAGCCTGCCGCTCCTTGTCAGCCAGCAGAGGCTCGTCTTCGCGGTGCGCATTTTCTTCTACAGGTGATGTGGGTTCCGAAATAAATAAATAAAAACAATGTGGTTCAATTAGCAAGGAATTCCTATTCTGGGCTTAAAAATAAAGCTGAGTGGACTGCGCTTATTCTCTGGCCTTTTTTAGACCCCTCCCAAAAACGGTTTTCCCTCTCCCCCTGCCTCATTCCGCTTGGCACCTCTCCGAGTTCTTGCCCAAAAAAAGCTGAGCGACACTTACCATTTATGTGGCAGCATGGCAGTGCTGTCAAAATGCTGGAACATGTTGCTCCCATTCTGGATTTGGCGTAGATATAAAATGCGAAATATAAGCTATTGGAAAGAACGGAGTTTTGAAAATAAAAGTAGAAAGGGAAAAGGGAATTTATCACAAGTGTAATTTTATTATTGAAACTTTTTTGCTTGCAGAAAAAGAAGAAAAAAAGAAAAAAGCTGACGAATGGACAGACAAGCTGCCTCCGCATGCTTTATTTTTTTTTACAATGGTCGCATCCCAAATAGTAGGGGGAGCGGGGGGAATGGGGCATGGCATTTCGTTTTACACATTGGCGAAGTACTGCATTTTCTGCTGCTACTTTTATTATTTTTTATCCTGACTCGCGTTTCCTTGGTCTGTAGCCAGAAACAGTTTCAATTGAAGCTGTTACTCAGCTTGTTTTCTTTTGGTAGACCGACTGACCCCGTGAAAATATCGGCTTTTTTGCTGTGCAGCCACAGCCAACTTCCTACCCATTAAAATATCCCGAACTTCCGATTTTTTGTGCCCAAAGAGACACTATTTCTTCACTCGCCATCGCGCATTGCATGATCAGCTAAAATTGTGTGTATGGAGCTGCCAAGTACCTCCCAACCTTCCAAATTTGGGAACTGGGCGAAGAAAAATGGCGGCTGGTCACTTTGGTCGCCGCCACTTTTATTTTTTTTATGTCTTGCACACCAGCATTGCTTGGTCGATCAAAAATCGAATACCAGCCATTCCTTAACATATTTTTTTATTGGCAGCTGTCATACCCCATTCCGTATTTCATCATGCTCGGTAATTGTGCATCTCCACTTTTGCATTGTGTATTGTGTTTCTTTTCGTGTTGCAGCTTTATGCAAATGACATAACGCTTTGCGTCTTTTCATATGCCTTTATGCGCGTATGTGTGATCTTCAAATTAAGTCCTAATTGCTGCTGGTTGCAAATAGGGATAATGGTAGTGGCGACCTGCAGCAAGAAAGCAGAACGAAACAAAACAAAAAATTAACTACAGTACTACTAACAATGCGCAAGAATGAAATGGCTGAATAATGTCTTGAATATCATTCTGCACAAGTGCAGCTGCGTTGTTTTGCGTTTACAAGTCGCTGGTGATACAAATAAAGACAATCAGGGTAATATTGACAAATGCATAAAAAACCACGCTGATCTGGACACAACTAACACATGGACTCAATTCAAAAACGCAGATGAATCAACCCGCAATTAATTCGAAACAATGCTATTAAAGCACGTTCACCGCATACAACCTGGCACGCAAACAAACACTGTACACACACAACGCATGTACTCATATATTCTTGTTTCTTGTTTTTTTTTGTTTTTGGCTGTCGGTTATGTGAGCGTAAAATTTGGTCGTTTTTTTGGTTTATCGAAAAAAGTGGAAAAAAGAGTAGAAAAAAGAAAAAGGAAAAAAGAATTATACAAAAGTTTTTTTTCAAAAAAGTCGTGCTTTTTTTGGCAACCACATACGGACAAAAACAAAGTACAGGAGATAGAAGCCTCATATATCCCTCAGTCATTGAGACTCGGGTGGGTGTCGTTTAGACCTGGGTCTCAACAACCTTTGAGCGCTTACCGCTAATGGCAACAATAGACCTGCGGTAATAGATGCATCGGTCGGACATATTTATATCCATACCGGCCTCCATCTTGACATCCTCGTCGTTATCCGAGGAGCGCCCCCGCTTGGACACAAATTTTCTGTCGAAAGCAATAGACATGCTGCAATTATTCGGGTTATCCTGCGGAGCCGTTGCGGGTGCTGGTGACTGGTGCCCGTAGGCCATGCGCGCGTAGTTGGTGCTTGGCGCCACGTACAACGAGTGCGCTGCCATGCTTGAGTACTGGATGCTTGTTCCGTTCATGGTTGTAGAATGTCTGGTTTATGTGTGTGTGCGATCGGCTTGTGATAATATGAGTGCAAATAAAAAACAAGTGAGTTTTTTTTTGCTGAGGAAAAAAAGAGGGGAGGGGTGAATGAAAGTGAGTTTTTTTGTGATAAGGGCTGTTGACGATCGCGCAGATGAAATATGAAAGCTGCAGGTATGGCGTAGTGCGTAACTATAAAAGCGTAATGAAAAAATCGAAATCGAAAAATAAAAAGTGAAACACGAGTTGTAATGGTTGCTCGCCGACAAAGTAGAAAGGTATGAAAAATGGAAAAGAGCTATAAAAAAGAACAAACCGACAAGAGTGAGATGGAGTGGGGGAAAGATAGAAATATGGAAGAAAATGTGTCGTGCTTTATATATGCGCTAGCACGTATGCGCGCAATGAATCCAGGCCAAGGTGGCGGCCAAGCTAAAAACACCTAATTCGCCGCAGTTGCTGTCTATAAAGCAGACATTCATTGTGGCCCAAGCCATTGCCCGCTTAGGCCAGTCAGTCCCCGCTTATCCGTGTTGGCTGCCCCTTTTTTGTAAGGAATTTATATGCGTTGCTCTCTCCCCTTTTACAAAGCACACTGTGCAACAACAAAAAGGACAAAGGTAAATTCCAACGCTACTGTTCGTTTGTCTCCGCACACTTTTTACTGGCTGGCGTCGCCTTGGAATTTGGGGGCAGCTACGACTGGTGCCTTCCTTTTTCCTTTGGCTGACTGAGAGGGGCAGCGACCATTGGCTGGGCCCCGGCTTGATTTGTAGTTGGCTGGCCACATTGTTTTTGCTTGAATTGTTTGTGTACGTGGTCCAGCCCATTTCGTTTTCTTTTTTTCTCTCTCCAACTGCGCCAGATCAATTTGGCACAATAATCGGAAATAGATTAACGATTAATTTATTTATTTTCAACCCAACAAAAGGAGAACGGCGGAGCGCTGCTGCCACTGGTGGCTTATGCTGGAACAACAAGACGTTGCGCAACAATGCAAAAAACTACCAAGTCGTTTGGCCACCTGCACCGCTCGCCCGCCCGCCCGCTCACACAAGCTCAGTGTCCTCCAAGTACTGGTACTCAAAGCGGAACTCTGTCTTCCTGCGCTGGCACCACGCGCCCTCATAGTCAAAGTAGATGTACGTGCCCTGCTCGTAGTCGTCTGTGATGTCGCTAGGCTCCTCAAAGCGCTGGAACCAGGTCAGGTATTTTTTATGGAACCGCCACGACTGCCGGTTGAGCTCCTTGGCCGCCAAGTACTGCTGGTACGTGTTGGGCTGGTAGTAAAACGCAAAGAACAGCGTGTCCAGCTCAAGGTGCGACGCCATGCCGGGGTGCTCGATCACCGGCAGCGGTGTCTGCGGGTAGTAGCTTGGCGTGCTCGTCGGCGGCTGTGCGTGGAGCTTGGGTCGCTCCTGGTCGAGCAAACTCGGGATCCCTCGCAAGCTCAGGTCGACCATCTGGCGCTGCGCGTTGTACGCAGCCTCCTTCTTCGCCGAAAACTGGTACTTCGCCTTCATAAAAGTCGCCATCAGGTCAGCAAACGCGTCGGGCACTTCGCTGTCCTGGAACAACGTAAAGTACTTTGGCCGCTGCATCGGTGCTCGCGACTGGTCATCGGCCGGTGCCCGCTTTGTGCCAACGGGCGATGTGCTGGCCCGCGGCACGCTCGAAACAGCGGACGTAGGGGCAGCACTGTTAGCACTAGAAGCACTAGCCGCGCTAGCGGATGTCACTGGCGTCTCGATCACCTTTGCTGCCGATACTGGCTGCGCAGAGTTTGGTGGCACGCTTACTGACACGCCCTTGTCAGCCGACACTGATGTTGATACCGACGCCGCCACCGCAGCCGCAGCAGAAGAGGCCATGGAAGACAGAATGCGAGGTGAGACTATGTCCATCGCGCTGTTGTTTGCTGAGAGAATGGACGCCTGTTTTTGTGTTGCTGTCGACGCGGGTGTCGTGTGCTGACTGGCGATGGCTGCCCATGGCTGGGCTAGCGCATGAGAAACGCCCGTCGTTGTCCCTGGTCGCGATGGACTCAATACGCTCTCCTTCATCTCCGACCACGCGTTCCTGGACTCAACTGGCGCCGGCTGCAGCGTCGAGGGCTGTGGCATGATAATGGTGGCGGTGCCTATAGATGACGCGGGATACCCTGACGAATGCGATCCTGACGTGGCAGGCCTAGTTGTACTTGTGCTCTTACTGCTGACCACCGACCTCGCTGTTGTCGGCGGCTCAGCGGTTGACGTTTGGGATAGCGTGTCTCTGTCGCCCATGAAGCTATTAGAGTCGCCTTCGTCATCGTCATCATCGTCATCGCTGCCGCTGCCGCTTCGAGATCCGCTGCGGGACGAGTCATCATCGCCGGGTATTGCAAACAACGCGTCGTCGTCATTCAGCGGTAACTCGTCGTAAATGAACTCATCCTCGACAAACTCCTCATCCTCATTCTGCTCCACATAATAATTTACATCCTCCTGGATCCGCTGAACCTGTTCTGTCGATAAGCTCTCGTTCTCCAGTAGCCGCTGTATCCGTTCCAAGCACCAAATGTGGTGCTTGTGGCGCTCGACACGCTCATGCAACTCGGTCAACCGGTCGACCTTGCCCGCGTCGCGCCGCTTCTTTCCCAAGGACCCCTCGATGGTCTCGGCAGTTGCTTCTAAAACGTCAATTTGTGTCGATAGCGCGTCAACAGAGTCGACCAACCAGTTACACAAGTCTAGTTTCTCCTTCTCCTTGGGGTCTAGCTTTGTCGATTGCAACAAGCCCTCTTTAGAGTACGCCTTCGTCTTCATCTCCTTCTCAATCGCTTTAAACTTCTCCATCTGCTTTTCGATGAGTTTCCGGTGGTGAAGCAGGTCCTGCTTGTCCTTGATCTCGTTGCTCTGGATCCATGTTTTAATCTGGTCCCGCAGCCGCTGCAGTTTCTTGATCTCCTTCTTCAAGTCTGTCTCATACTTCTCCTTTTGGCTGGCATTCGACGCATTCAAAACCTTATCATAACAGTCCTCAAACTCCTCGATCCCCTCGGCAACCTTTTTGAACACCCGTTCGATTTCAGCCTGGACTTTTCGCGACATTGGTTCTGAGTAGACGGAGCGCTTTAAGAGGGATAATAAGATGAGAGTGGTATCGGCCTGTTGCTGAAATAATAAGTGTTGCTCTACAGAGGGCACAATATGGTGTGTGTATAGAATTGCCGAGGTTTTTGAATTAGCAAGTTCAGTAGGGAGAAACAAAAAGCGCCCAATACTTGAAACGACCAAAATTAAAGCAGCATGTATGTTGTGTGCAGCTGCAACATACAAGACTACCAGCTACTGTGGCTTTCCAGTTTGAGTTTTGTAAAGTTGAAGTTGGAATTTGAATTGAGGCTGTGAATTCGCAGATGAGTTACATTCCGTTTGGCCACAGAAAAAACGCCCACCACTCGAATTACAGCGCCGTATGCGCCAAGCCAATATTACAGCACGCAGTCAACTCTGCCACACCACGCGAAAAGCTGCATTTGAATCCAATGAACGTTGCCGAATTCAAGAAAGTGGTCGAATTATGCCTGTCCTTCTCATCTTTATGCGGAAAGAAAATGCGAGATTCTCGTTACAAAAAAGGGTGTACCTTGTGAGTAGTTAGAGTAAAAAGAGCGCTAAGGAATTGCAATAAAGCGACTGTTTGAAATCAGCAATAGCAATCTCAATTGAAGAACTCGAAAGTAAATATTTAACGATAATAAAAGATAGGATGAAAAAGTGTCGAAAAAATTTTGAGCAATATTTTTCTTCGAAAATACTCTTCCCTCGTCAAGCCAAAATACCATTTGACAAGAAAAATGTGTGCAAATCCAGCCCTCACAAGGTTGTGATAGAAACCTTTTAGAAAACCCCCGTGCATATAAGTAAATGAAAGCGATGATTTTAGTGGAAAGTAAAACCTTTTAATCGGCTGCCTCGAGATTAGTATCAGTGGAGGGCTTGAGCTTGAATGTATAATTTTGTTCAAGCTGTTGCAGAGATAGCTGTCGCTGGGGCCCTGGATATGAGTTGATTCCTTTGACTCCGCACTCATCCTTTTTTGTTAAATTAGCTGTCGGCTGTCACTGCGATCTCGGTGGAAGAAGAGGCGGAAGAATCAGCAGCAGAAGTGCGTTGGAACTGTTTAGGGCGGCCTAGGTTTTTGGAATGCCAAAAAGTTATGAGACGTCGATTGGCTCACATCCGAGACTGAAAGTTGCTGCTCCCACTGCTGTCTGTCCAATGCGTCGTGTTTCTCCTACTGCCAGATCTTGCGCTGTGCCTTGCCCTTTGACCATCCATACTTGACGCTGTAAGTCCCGATTATGTTGGCTGACAGGGAACCAACAGGCTGCGGCACATCAGTTGCAGTGTCGCCATCCATGCATTTGGGCTTGGGCTTGCAGTTGGCCTTGCCGACTTCGTGTGAATTGGGCACCCAGTAATGGTTTTCCATCTCGGAATAGCATTCCAGGCAGAACTTGGCGCCCTTCCTAAAGTCGCTTGAAGATCACATACGTTTGAGAGTGTTGCGCCTGCTGGGGTCAATGAACACAGCGCGTTTGATCCAGCTGAGGATGTCTTTCCGCGTCAAATCGTCTATGTAAGGGAACTGACTGCCCTGCTTCTTCCGCTTTTGTTTTTTGACACATTTTTTTGGCATCAGCAGCTGTCCCGGCGTCATCAGTCTTCCAGATTTGCTTGCGGTTTTGGGGGCTTGCTTTGACAGCAGGCTGAACGGTGGGCTTAGCGGCAGACTGAGCGGCAACCCAGTATTATTTTTTAGTATTTTTTGAATAAAAATTTCAATAAAACGAATGTGACGAAAAAAGGGGTTAGCCCATATTAAAAAGCGTGACCTCTTTTGGAGCCTTGGTCTGATCAGATTCGTCGATTTAAACGTTGGAAAAGTAGAGAAATAAAACGACTCCTGTCAACCATGCAGAGGCAAAGCGACGACTAATTTCCATCACTTTTGGTGTGGTAAAATGTTGACCTTGTTTTTTTAGCGCCAGACATCTTTGCCGCGCCTCATCGTTCGGATATTTAATTTGTGCGTTCTTCTACTCTCTTCGTAACTGTTGTTATTTTTGCGAGGATACTTTGTGCACCAAGGTCAGCCGATGTTCAACTTTTAGGCTATTCTTCCAAAAGGCTTGTCTTGTGTCTGCATTATAATTGAAAGTGCGCCGAAAATCAACACTCCGCCCCCATTCCCTCTTTATATAAAGATACGATCAAAGACGCTACAAAGCACTCTTTGGCTTGCCTGGCTTGAAGTGCAGCTTTGTCAACAGTTGGTCGCGAGTAAACTATGCTTTTGCGCACCTTTTGCCTTATTACTTTTTCCCTCCACCGGATTTTGCACGTTTATAGCACTAATGAAGCTTCGCATAGGTTTGGGGAATGGCAAGGTTGCAGAGGTCAAATTCAACGAGTACCACACGACATACGGCGAGCTCCGAACTCAGCTTGCAAATTATGTGCCGTTTGATGTTGACTCGCTGATAATATGGATGGGACACCCACCGGTGGCTTTGGAATATCCTGCTGGCACTATGATTATAAACACGGCCTTTACCAGTGACGCTGAGCTGTTTGTATCAGAGAGGGAGTGGCACTGGGCCCCGATGAAAGAAAGTACTGCCAGCCATGGGGATAGTGCGCCAAATGCATATTGCAACAAGTGTGGAAGCACCAATATTGGCTATGGAAGCCACCCCGCGCACAGCAAGCCCAAGGAAGCACACAAGGAGCCGAGTGCGCTGAGCTTTCCACATCACAACAGCAGTATTCCCAGCATCCCCGTTAAGAACAGCGGTTACTTGGTTGAACGCAAGGTGCCGGGGGACAACAGCTGCCTCTTCCAATGTCTAGTAAAATGCCTCGGGCTGGCTAACCTAACGGTTGAAGACTTGCGGGCCACGGTATGCCAAATGATAAATGATGATCCCTACACATACAACGAGGCTATTTTGGAAAAAACCCCCCAAGAGTACTGCCGCTGGATCTTGCAGCCGACCAGCTGGGGCGGCGGAATCGAAATGGCACTAATAAGCTCGAGGTTTCATGTGGAGATTTGCTCCATAGATATGAGCACCTTGCGAGTCGACAGGTTCGGCGAGGGCAGATACTTCCGCAGGGTCGTTTTGCTGTACAGCGGAAGTCACTACAACTACGCTGCGCTTGCTGCCAGTCCGGGGGACCCTGCAGAGTTTGACCAGACTATGTTTGAAATTGGTGTTGGCATGGATGTCGACAGCTCGTTTTTGACTATGGCGGTAGAGCTAGCCCGCCTCCTGCGCTAAGAAATTCGCATTGTACAGAGTCCTCAGTCGGGTTGCGTTTGCATTTGTGTTTATGTTAATTTTAATTTTAATAATGTATTTATGTTTATCCAGTTGAGAAAAAGGGTTGGGTTATGAACGCCAAATGGTTACTCGGCTACAGCAGTGGCGGCAGCAGTAGCGGCAGCATTAGTAGAGGCTGTCCCAGATGAGGGCTTGGCAACCCTGAGGATCTTACCGATGGCAATAGTATTACCCTCGTCACGCAGAGTGAAGCGGCCAAGCTGGGGAAGTCAGTGTACTTTTCAACGCAAATGGCCCTGTTGGTCTCAATGCGGACAATGCACGACTCGTTGGTTTTGACAAAAGCAGGCGGCACCTTGCTCTTCAGACCCTTCTTCAACTTGTGCAGCAGCTTGGTGATAGTGACCTCCTCGATGGCCGAATGAACATGCAGGACGGACTTGTAGCCGGCAGTGATAATGTTCCTCGCATCCAAAATGCTTATCTGCGCCTCAAAGGCGCGAGTGCTGTGGCAAGGGTGCTTGGTGTCAGTGATCACGTAGCCGGGCTGAACAGCGTCCTCGTCGATACCACGCAGCTTGATGCGCACATTGTCTCCGCAGATCGCCGTTTGCACTTCCGACTCGTTCTCGCCATAGATGGTGCTGATCTCGCACACGCGCTTGTCGGGCATAATGACAACCTTCTGGTTGACCTTGATGTGACCCGAGTCAACTTTGCCCGAGACGATAGTGCCCATGTCCTTGTACTTCTCGCTGATGGCGATGCGCAGAGGTCCGTTGATCTTGCGCTCAATGGTCTGCAGGCCGTCGAGATGCTCAAGCAGCGAGGGTCCGCTATACCAGGGGCAGTTGGCGGGAGCGACGCGGTCCTTAACACCAGCGCCGGTGTAGCCAGAGATGGGCAAAAATATGAGGTCGGCCTTGGGATAGCCGGCTCTCTTGAGGAAGGGAAGAAGCTTGGCTATAATTTCATCATAGCGTTCCTTGCTCCAATTGACGGTCGGGTCGTCCATCTTGTTAATAGCCACAATCAAGCAGCGCACGCCGGCTGCCTTTGCCAAATATGCGTGTTCCTGGGTCTGGCCTCCACGGTCGAATCCGGTTTCAAACTCACCCTTGCGCGCCGAGATGACCAACACGCCGCAATCAGCCTGTGAGGCACCCCCCAACATGCTGGGAACAAAGTTCTTGTGGCCGGGTGCGTCCAAAATGGTATAGCGGCGCTTGCTGGTCTCAAAGAAGGCACGACCACACTCGACTGTCTTGCCCTTGGCGCGCTCCTCCTGGTTGGTATCCAGAGCCCAGGACAAGTACCACGACTCGCGACCGCACTCCTTGGCCTCGCGCTCGTATTTCTCCATGGTACGCTTATCAACCATATCAGTCAAGAAAAGAATGTTGCCACCAAGCGTGGATTTTCCGGCGTCAACATGGCCCATGAAAATGACGTTGATGTGCTCCTTGAAGTGCTCATCCAAAAGCACATCGTCGTCAACCTCGAGGGTCTCAACAATTGGCTCGAGTGCGGCGGGTGCGGGTGCAGAAACGGGAGTGGCAGCAGGGGTAGGGGTGGGCACTGTGACGGGTGCGGCTGCGGCTGCGGCTGCGGCTGCGGGTGCAGGGGCGGGTGCAGGGGCGGCACCGCCAATGCTGATAGACATAGCTTTGGGTGCAGCAGCGGCAGGGGCCGCTGCTGGTGCCGGGGTAGCAGCAGCTGGCTTGGGCCCAAGAGCCCTGGGCACAAATGCCGGGGCCTTGGCGTTAAAAGTGGGCCTGAACTCCTTAGCCTTGACGCTCAAGGAAAGGCCTGCAGTGTTTTTGGTAATATCGCTGACTTGACTAGCGGCCGGGATTTCAGAGTTGTCTGACATTGCACGAGATTTATGACAAAAGATTCTAGATTGAAAAGAAATTAAATAGCAGAATTGAAATTCTTATAAAACGAAAGAAAATTGAATGTCTTTCAAATTAAGCAAATGCGTTTGCAGGGCAAAAGAAAAATTTTAATCCTTAAAGTCTGCTTGAACGGATGCCCAAAAGAAAAAAGCTGGCCAATAAGGTGTGCGGATTATTTGGCTTCAGCAAAACTGCACAAAAAATTGTATTTTTGAAGCTGAACATGATTTTTGACATGGTAAAATTTTCAAAATGTGTGTCGCAGCCACTTTTAGTTGTAGCTATCCAAATTACCGGATCATACGGGTGTTTGTAAAACCCTTGGGCGTCCCACACAATAAAATAAATGCATTTGCCTGCAGTCGAAACTAGTTATTTTTTAAATCGAAACCAAGTATAGGTGTTTATTTATCAAGTTTCAACGAGGACAAGCGTATGGTGACCAAAAGACCAGTTATCACAATTTTTTCTTGCACCTTTCCAAATAACTAAAGCTTTAAAACACAACACCAAAAGACCAGCCATTTGTTAACGACAACGACAACAAATAAGCACAAAAAGTAGCAGCAAAACTAACAAATTACAGCAACCTTTTAGAGCCCATAGCCTAGTTCTCTACACATACTATATTTGAAAATTCACCAGACTAATACTGTCCGCCCAGTATTCTAGCTTTTCCGCTGCATTACCACCCGCTCAACATGCCAATGAATAAGTATAGAAGCCAGCCAGCCCACCAAAAAATTAGTCCCAAAATGTACATTTTTCTTGTTCTCGCATCTAAACAAGTTGAAAAGTCGTAAAACAAGGGAAAAGAGAAAAAAAAGAAAAATGTGAATAAGATGTGAACAACAGAAGGAAAAATATAAAAATATAAAAAGAGAAAGAAAACGTGTACAGATGGCAAATTCTGCGAAAATAATTAATATGAGAAATGTGAGCGCCAGTCTAAGAGGAAAGAGGTGATGAGCATAGATTTTAGGCGCTGCAGGAAAGAAATATCGGTGGTAAGCAAAGCAGCGAGTACTTACAATAATATTAGAAATTTTATATATTGCAGGAGCGCGAGTCTCCGAGCAATATATAAACCAAAGTTTGCCAGGGTTGCAAAGATACGCCTTTCTCGCAACCCACGGCATGGTTATGTACTGCATAGCTGTTGAGATTTACTCACAAGGAGCATACTTCAACTAGAAATAGAACTAATGCCAATACAGCAGAGCAAACCTTTCTCAAAGGGAAGGTAAAGGTTCAAGCTGTTATTGTTGGTAAGGGGGTGGCATCAAATAAATCCTAAAAAAGCTGCAATCTGAGACTAATATTAAAAGCACTAGCAAAATCAATTGCTGCTGCTTGGGGACGCCGAGAGAAATAACCGCTGAGAATGTACGCTAAACTTATCAGCTGAACCAAATGCAAAAAGCCGAAAGCAAATCCAGCATGAGTGCACACCAAGAGCAAATGCCAATGTAAAGCGCGTGCTGACGATGTGTGTTATTGAAACCAAGCGGGCTGCATAGTAAACTCCAAGATCATCTTCATTGTCATTGTCGCCACTGCCGTCGTTCTTATCTACGTAGGCATAGTCTAAAAAACAACAAACTGTACAAAGTAATTCAAAAAATAGAGTTAGTTTGAGGTCTGAAGGGAAAATGTGGGCGAGCAAATCTATAATGCAAATGTGTCGTGCTCTATAAAAATGTGGGTCTAAATCGATATATTCAAGTCTTAAAAATTACTTTTCAAACTGAAAAAGGGGGCAGCGCTGTAAACACCATGGTATTTCTTGATGTCAGCCAGCAATAACAGAAATGTGTATAGTGGCCATGAGGGCGATCTTGATTCTTAAAAAGAGAAGGTAGTGGCTTGAAATCTGTGTTGGGCACCACACAAATGCCCTCAGAAATAAGAAGTCCCTGCCACACCAAAAGAGCAGAGACTGGCAATATTGATGTTGTTAGTGCAGGACTGGCGTCAAACAAATGCAATAAAAAGCTGACTCAATGTAGATACACGTTAAAAGACATTCTCGGTGGCAGGGGTACTCCAGAGGTGGTTGTCAGTGAAAGGAGTGTGCCAGAAATGGTGGTCAAGACTACTGTTTGTCAACCATGGTGGGTGTTGCATGTGCATTTTAAAAGAAAAATATTGGATATATAAAAGCGTGCAGATATTAAAAACTAGGAGTTGGGCATTGCGTGAAAATAATTGTTGTATATGAAGAGAATATTGGAAGGGGTGTGAGGAACTTTTTTACTGGGGCCAACACACCTTATATATAAATTCGCAACCATCTGTTTTCCCTCTCTTTTTAACCAAAATTGTGTTCCCCCTCTTCATTTCTCCAGCCAAACACAAAAAGTACCAACATCCATAATGTGCTAAGCGGAATTTTTGCATTTTCTGCACATATTGCCATTTTTTCGGCAGACAGACAAACAAGCAAATCCAAAGCGAGGCTGTTATCATGTTTGGCACTGCTTAAAATGTAATTTGCAATGGCTTGGGGTGGCTTAATATCCTTTTGAAGTTCATTTGCGCACAAGCTGTCTGCCTTCTATTGCTTTCCGTTTTCTTCCGTTGTCAAAGTTCCAATTTTTGTTTTCACCCAACGACGATGATTGTACTACTGATGTGCGAAAGAAAGCATTCTCATTTATTCATATCTGTAAATAAGCTTGTTTCATATCAATTTGGACAGGCTTGTTTGCCTTCTTCCTGGCCTTTTCTCCACGCGGAAGCATGTTCATATTTTTTAATTGGCTCAGCATTTGTTTTATTTACAGTTACTTGTGTCCGGTTGCCAATCACATAAAGTTGTTTATAACCATTGTTTATTTTTCATCAATGGGTTCTCAAATGAAACATACCGAGCTGGGTCACTGTGATTCAAAATATTGGTTATTTGTTGAGGCTTAATATATGCATGCACAGCACTTTCCGAATAAAAGCGCTCTGCACAATGGTGAGTGTAACTGGCAATGACAGTGTATGCGGTGGTTGCTGGAGTTGTAGCTGTAGTTTACATAAGTTTGCTATGGAATAATTTTTACTTTCGCATGCAAAGGCTTGGAGTTGAAGCCCACTGTGACATTAAATCGCAAAAGCGGTGCGGTGCAACAAAAAACCACGTTTGCACATGCACCTAGATCGTTGGCCGTGTTCAAATTAAAATTCACTGTGCATATATTTCCCCTGCTATATTTGGTGAGAAACGCTGAGAACCAGACACATTTAACAAACGCCGATAATAATAGACAGCTTGAGCACGCTCATAAATACATGATCGCTAGGCCGATATCGATGTTTCTAAATACATTGATTAAATATTGCCATTTTGACTGGATTATGAATTGAACTACCATTAAGTTAAATCTATGTGCTTTTTATTGTGAATAGCGAGAAGGCCAACAAATATAATTTAATTATCAATCCAGCTGTGATGATTATAATTAGTTTGGCAATGTACCAAAGTATCAAGCAGTATATTTAATAATAATCCAGCATTCGCTGATAAAAAGAAAGTCCAACTTTACATAGTATTTTAGCAGTCAGAAATTAGCAATTTGTATTTATAAAAAAATTTAGCGGACAATCTTAATATAAAGAACGAGAAGAACAAGGGCAACACCAATAACAATAATTCCAGTAGTGATCATCTTGTTTGTCATAAGTCTGCGCGTCATAGTTCTGAGTGTGCGTTGGGAGCTGTCAACATGGGAGTCAGCTTGCATTAACATATCACGAGTGTTGACAATCTGCTCGCGCTGTGAGCGCAAGTCATTGAGAATACTTGCACCAACAGACTCTGTCTCAATGCCAATTCTGTGACTATCCTGCAGGCGCTGACTTCCTCTAGCCAATCGCTCGTTTCCCGACAACAGGCGGGTCCTCTGGTCGCCATCAAGGCCACCAAACATGTCGCCCGAGTTAGCTAGCGGGCTAGCGGCGGCGTCCCCAAGCAGTGCGCGCCGGTTTGACTCGTGGTTGCCGAGACCCTGGGCGACACGCTTTGCATCGAGTTTTAGTTTGTTCACCTCTGATTTGTACTGGCGAATACGTGGGGCAGCACGGTTGCGCGCAGGACCGGGAAGCGAGAGCAATTCAACTTCCAATTGCTCTGCAAGCTCGTAGGCCTCGGTCAACTCGCGTTCGGTGATTTGCAGGGCGCTGCGGCGCTCCTGGCCAACAAGGTCGGGCAAAGTGATATCGAGGCGTTGGCGGATTGAGGCTATTAGGCCAGCATACTCCGTTTCGTAATTGTCAAATAAATCGGAAGACATTATAATTTAGATTAGGTGCAAATGCGCAAAATTGGGGGGGGGAGGGTCGATAAACTAATACAAAAAAGAGTATTAAAATTCAAAAAGCGGATAAAAAAGAGAAAAAATGAGGGCGAGAAGATCCCGCTTTGTAACGTCATCACTTGACCGTTTTTAAAAAAAGGCATGATTAATGAATTAGCCAGCTGATTTGGCAGACAGCAGTAACAAAAAGTCGCATCTTGAGCTGTTTGTTGGAATTATATTGCGGCTTGATAAAGCTCTGGCTAGTGTGAAGATGCAAAATGCTTGAGTGGGTCGCATTCAGTCCTAATGACAAAGAGTACATTTATCTCTAATACAATCAGTAGAAAAAGAGCTTTGTGGCATTTTTGCAGATTGATACACCCTACCATCACCACCACATGTTGGTTTTTTTTATTAATTTATAATAATTGCAATATGTTAACTGTGGTCATACATCTAAGGTTTTAGAAACGTTATGTTCTATTTGCCACGTATTCAACCCCACCTTTTATGAATTGTCCTACCATAGATGTGTGAAATAAACATTTCGCTACCAGCTTGGTAAAAAAAAGATTTTATGATGGATTGTCATATTTGTATTAGCGAAAAAATGTAAATCACCATCTAATATCCGTATAATGTGCAAACAAATGTTATTTGGGGTCTTTGTTGACTGCGCAATTTTTTATTCTTTTCTCTTTTATTCTTCACAATATCTACTAGACACATACACCTTTCAATTTAATCCGTTCAAAAACCCATTTTCCTTTTTTTACAGTACTCCAAACCGTCTCCCACTTTAATTACCACTATTTTTAACCTATTTTTAACTCAAAAATGATGCTTAAGCTCTCCACTCCCATGCTGGCCTTGGCCGCCCTGGCCACCGTTAACGCTCGGCCCGTTGTTTTCCGCGGAGAGACTTACACGTCGGATATCGTCCGTATTATAAATGACGTTGCCGATATATTTTTAGTTAATGATTCCGAATTCAACCCACTTTACACGCCAATAATTGACGTTGTGATTGAGCTTGCCTCCGCTAAAGACCAGTCCAACCAAGAGAGGGTCATTTCCTCAATGTTTGTGTCGCTCGATGCTAACAACAACCCCGAGGCTGCGTCTCAATTGGTTGCGGATGCTGTTAACTTGTTTGACGGCCTTGAGGAACAACCCACCGAGATTGTTGGTCTGTACAGCTCGCTCACTTCGGTTCTGCATAAGCCCTCGGTTGCTAATGAAATGACTGCTATTTTTAGTGAGCTGATTGATTTTGTTGCCGGTTTGCGCAGTTTTATAGACAGACTTGATGAAAGCGAAATGGCTAGCGCGGAGGCCATTGAAGAGGATAGAGAATCCATCAAGACTCAGACTCAGACTCAGACTGAGACTGAAACCAAGACCAAGGCCACTGCCAACCCCGAGCTTGAGTCTGAGGTCAAGTCCATGGCTGAGTCCGCTGGCCAGGAGTCGACAAAGGAGCAGGAAGAGGAAAAGCTGGCGGAGGATAGCGAGGATGCATCGGTCAGTCACTCCAAGGTTTCTGGCATCAAGTCCAAGTCATCTGAGAGCTCGAGCTCGAGCACAGCAAGCACTGGCCACATTGCCACTGGTCTTCTGTCCGTTAGCGTCGTTGCCGGTATGATCGCCGCTCTTTTCTAAAAAGGTTTTCGTGATTTTTTATTTTAAATAAAAACATTTATTAAGTTTAAAGTAAAAAATAAACAAGATGTATTTGAGTTTGATATTATTATCAAGTCTTTGAGGCAGCATACGCACCGTTAAAGTCAATAGTAACAACCAAAAACTGCAAATCACTGGTATTATGCGACAACACGCGAATCAAATCGCGCACCTGTGTTCTAAACCTTGCGACCACAGTACTAACCCTCGAGGCATGCTCCCGAAACACCTCCCCATGTGCAATTGTTCCCTTATGCCCACCTCTAATCATAATCAAACGGTCCTCCACAGACATGCGTTTATCCACCACGGGCGGAACGCCAGCATTGGCGCGACTCGCCAGGGTGCGCTCCCCATGCAGCTCCTTCACCACCGAAACAAACTGGAAGGCCGTGGCAATAATGGACTCCAACTGGCGCTGGAACCCAAGCCCAGCGCTACCGCAGACAACCCCGTGAATGGTGCGCACGTACAAGTCATGAGCGTCGTTCCACCCGTCGACATCAATGTCATCAGCTTGTGTGGATGCGAGGAAGTGCGCCCAGGCGCCTTCGATGACGTTGAGGGAAATGTACCGCTGCACTTGGTGGAAGAACTGGATCATCTCGGACAAGGCTATGGTGCTTTCGCGTACCGCCCGGTGGACGACGTCGGCGACCTCAGCTGCTGGTGCCGCCGAGACATGGGTGTCCTTGCGGCGGTGCAGCTCGGCCGAGCGCTGCAGCGACCGCGCCTCGGTCATTTGCTGGCGCCACACTGCGCTGAGCGCATAGTCAATGCGCTTGAGCTTGAGCAAAAAGCGGCTGATCTCTGCGTACCGACCCAGCGTCTCTGCGTCAATAACGTGGGTGAGCGGGTCGTCCAGCGAGTACCTCAAGGATACGTTCTCCCAGGACTCAAGCACAGAGCTGCCCTCAGCCAAGGCATCGGCCTGGGGGTCATCCAGGGCGAGCACCAGCGAGGCCAGGTGCTCTGGTGGCTCGAACTGCGCATTCGATGAGCGCACGGCGCTGTCCAGCGCAGCAGACAAGTCGTGGGCCATGATCTGGCGCGGCGCACGCGCAATATGGCGGTCGAGCACCTCAAGCAGCGCCAGCGCAAAATCGCCCTGTTCGAACATCAGCAGCCGCCGTATAGCCGCCACATGGCGAGCAAGCCCAAAGCGGTCGCGCAACACAAGCATCAGCCGCGCATTAACAACGCCAGCCGCGCGGTAAACAAAGGCCTCGAGGCGGCGCGGGTCATCAGCCTCCTCGGCGGTGGGCTGCGGGGCATCTGAGCGCACCCAGTCGGCGTCCGCGCAGGACCCGCGGAGGAAAGCCAGGGAGCGACCAACTTGGAAGATCTTGCGCGTCAGCACGCGGTCGTAGTGCACCGGGATCATGTCGCGGACGACGCGGAAGCGCTTGGCCCAGGCGCGTGGCTCGGCGCTCTCGCGCACGAAAAACTCGGCATATGGGTCTTGCAGCTCGCCGGTGGTCACCCAGCGCACGAGGATGGCCGTGAACGGCGCCGATGCCGTGCGCAGTAGCCGGCGAGCAAACGCCTGGGTGAACGGGTCGCCGTCGTCAACCAGCTCGCTGATGGTCGACAGCAGGACGCCGCCGCCGGCGCCGCCGCGCACACCGGCGATGGCCTCGACCATCAGCCGCAGCCGCAGCCGCGCATCCGCCGTCCACCCCAGCACGCGCCGCAGCGTCGCGCCCTCGGCTGACTCGCCGGCCCGCAGCCCTCGCGGCACCTGCGCCACCCGCGCCTCGACATCCGCCACTACGGCAAAGTACACAGTCATTTCGGCGCGCAGCTCGGCGCTGAAGCTCTGCTCTGAGAGCTTCCCTGATGCATCCACCCATGCGATGTACTCCTGGACTGTGCGCGCCATTGCGCCGAGCTCGCAGATCGACGTGGCCATGGCGCGTGTGGGCCGGGAGAGCCGCAGGTCGGCGCGGATCACGTAGTTGCGCGAGCCGCTCCACCGGATGTACGTGCCGTCGATGCCTTGCATGACGTAGACGAGGTCGTGCACGAGGTCGGTCTCGTTGACGTCGTCGAATGTCGGCAGTGCGCGGTGCTGCAGCGCGCTGGGCTCGCCTGCAACAAACGATGCGTGGCTCTGTGGTTCGTCCACATGCATCGCGCCGCGGTCTATCTGCATTAGCATTGGTGCCGATACCGCCGGCGGTATTGCTGCAGGATACCCGCTCCTTGCACTGCGCTGTGTGCTTGCCGCATAAAACCCACTGCTGCTGCTATTGTTGCCGCCGATCCCAGCGCTGCCGATCCCAACGCCGCTGATCCCAATACCCGTGCCAACACCACCAACCGAGGAGCCCAAAGCTCCACCGCCAAAAAACTCTGACAAGAGGTGCAGCATCGGCCACCAGTCGTAGTTAATATCACGCTGCTGCAGCGTGACAAACAGCTTCTTTACGCGCACCGCCGCCTGTTGCCCGCGCCCTGTGCTGCGCATGCGCTTCTGCATATCCTCAACCAAGTCCAGGGAGTCGCGCCGGTTGGCCACTAGTGTAATGTTGCTTTCGGCGATTTTGCGCATGTACCGCATTGTTTGATTTCTGCTAGCGACTTCCTCGGCGGTGTTGGCTGGCCCAAGGCCGCCGAGGAATGTCTCCATGTATCTGTAGAGTGCCTGGTCGAGTTCTGTAGATTCCATTGGTCTTTTTTAACTTGTGGAAGTAAAAATAATGTGAATGTAATCCTATGAATTTATTGTTTGTTTATTTATTTATTTATTTTATGTATGTATATGTGTGTGCGTGTGTGTGAGCGAGTGAATTGGTGAGTGAGTGAGTGAGTGCGAAATGTGAGGGGGGATAAAACACAGCTAACGCGTGGAATTACCAAGTTATAAATTGTTGATTTATTCTTTTGTTGACCTTATTTACGCTAAATGCCTTGATCGAGAGGGAGGTGGAGAGAAAATAGAAGGCTGAATGCCTTGATCGATTACCGAACAATCAATCACCCCAAATTTTCCTCGAATCAGTTTTTTTTTTCTCCAATTTTTTTTTTTCCTCTTCGTCTTTTTTTTTCAAAGCTTAAATACAAAAAAAATACAAGCCAAATACTCGTCCCATCTCAATAACCAAAAATAAAATATTAGATCACTCTCCCTTTTTTTTCTATTTTCACTATAATTATTCACACCTTCTTTTTTTAATTTAGAAAAAAAATGAACAACGACGGTATTGTCTGGGAGGTTCTCAACAACCAGTTTTGTTCTTACAAGGTCAAAACCGACAGCGGCAACCTCTGCCGGCACCCGCACAACCTCACCGGTCGCTGTAACCGACGTGAATGTCCTCTAGCCAACAGCAAATACGCTACCGTCCGTGAACGCGGCGGACGCATTACCCTATGCATGAAAACCGCCGAGCGCGCTCACATGCCGGCAAAACAATGGCAAATAATTGAGCTCCCCAAGAGTTTTGCCGAAGCCCTCGATGCCATCGACAAGCACCTTCTGTACTGGCCCAATTGGATGACCAACATGTGCAAGCAGAGGCTGACCAAGATTACCCAGTATCTGATTCGCATGCGGAAGCTCAAACTGAAGAATAAACATACTTTGGTGCCGATTAAGAAGAAGCTCGAGAGGAGGGAGAAGTCTAGGGAGATTAAGGCAGAGGCTGCGGCGAGGCTGGATCAGTCGATTGAGAAGGAGCTTTTGGAGAGGCTGAAGAACAAGGCGTATGGTGATCAGCCGCTGAATGTTAATGAGGCTGTGTGGAAGGAGATTTTGGGCGGTGACGCGGTTGAGGTGGAGTCGGATGTGACTACGGAGGATGAGTTGGAGGATGAGGTGGAGTATGAGATGGAGGATGAGGAGGAGGAGCGGGAGCGGGAGAGGAACACTGATGGGTTTGCGCATGAGTTTGTTTCGGACGACAGTGATATGGAGGACCCTAGCGATATGGAGAATGACATGGAGGATCTGCTGGACATGTCGGCGTCCGAGCTCAGCTCAGGCGAGGAAGAGGACTCAGAGGAGGGCTCGGATGAGGAAGGTGACTCTGCTGGCGAGGAGCAGGAGGATATCGAGGATAGCGATGTTAGCGAGGATAGCGGCGAGGAGAGTGATGCGAAGCCGGCGGCGAAGAGTAACGGAAAGCGCCCTGCGGCCCCGGTGGCTCGCCCCAAGCCCACAAAGCGGACCAAGAAGCACGGCCCACGTGTCGAGGTCGAATACGAGACAGAGTCGGCTGCCGTGGACAGTATGCTTACCAACTGGTAACTTCGAAACGAATAGCTTTATATTTCTTTTCTACATATACTTTTTTCTTTTACATTTCCTTTTTTTAAAAATCTATAAATTTACATGATCAAGTCCGTTGGCAGAGCAGCAAGCAACAAAAAAAGTAAAGCAAAAAAAATATATATATACAAGAGTGTGCAACGTTTAGTTAGTTGCTGTTTGCTGCTTGCTGTTGGAGAGAGATTTTTTGGGCTGTAACTGCTTGTGCTGATTGGCCTCTGAAATATGAAGAGTAGTTAGTTGTTTGTGTGTGGTATGTGTGGAGAAATTTTTTTGTATTGAATTTTTTGTATTTTTGTGTGTGCGAAACACAATGAACATGCTGTCTTTGTCAGCGAGCGAGTGGTGGGGTGTGTGTGTGGGGGGGGGGGAGAGGGAGGATATGCAACCCGTGCCTAATTATAGCCCAATTAGTTATTTTACTTTGCACAATATTTTTCAATAGAAAAAGACAAAGGCTTTTATTCTTCTTTGCTTGCTTGTTTGGATTTTTCTTGTTTTTATACTTTCCCTTCTCTTTTTTTGCCATTATTAAGTCTCTCTTTCTCCTTATTTTTATTGCATATACCCGGTACCTACACTTTTTCCCCTATTCATTCCGACTTTAGCGCACTTGTCCTCACACCCAATCCATTTGAATTCCTTTAAACTCAATTCGCAGGCATGACAGACTTTCTCGATGCGGCCAACTTTACACCAGTGCTGGGACTCACCGACACTATAGCCACCTCATTTCCGATAGCGGGCAATGCCAATGCATTCACGTCCGAAATCGACGGACTATCGGCGTCCGACTCCCTGCTGGCCTCCATTCTGATGATTTTCGTGTCTGAAATCGGTGACAAGACGTTCCTAATAGCAGCGATCCTGGCAATGAGCAACCCACGGCTGACCATCTTTCTCGCAGCATGCTCGGCACTTTGGCTCATGTCCATCTTATCTGCATTCCTGGGCCACGCCGCAGTGACGTTTATCCCGATGTCCTGGGTGTCCATTGCGGCCGCCGTTATGTTCCTCGTGTTTGGAATCAAGCTTCTCGGGGAGGCGCGCGAGATGGACGGCAGCGAGATTGCGAAGGAGATGGATAGTGTGGAGGCGGAGCTTAGCGAGAAGGATGCAAAGGGATTGGAGGCCGGAGAAGGAACAGAGTTTAGCGTCAATGTGCACGGCGACCGCGCTGTGGCAGCTTCTGCGGAGGCGCGTGGCGGTGTGGTAGGCGCAGTGAAGAATCTGTTTAGTCTGTTGTTGTCGCCGGTGTTCGTTGAGACTTTTGTCCTGGTGTTTCTGGCTGAATGGGGGGATCGCTCGCAGCTGGCGACGATTGCGCTGGGCGCTGCGCGCAACGTGTATGGGGTGGCTGCTGGGACTATCCTCGGGCATACGTGCTGCACTGGGGTGGCAGTTGTCGGCGGACAGCTGCTTGCCAAGCGGATATCTGTGAAAAAGGTCACGTGTGCTGGCGGCATTCTGTTTATTGTCTTTTCAATCATGTATGGTTACGAGGCTATCTCTGCTTAAGAACATTTTTTATAAATATTTTCAATTGGATTTTTTTTGGTAATACATGACGGGGCACGGAGATCCTCGTGTAAGGTTTTATTTCTATGTACAGTAAAAGTCAGCATGCTTGTTGGCCTCTGCCTGGAGCTCGCGCGGTGTGTACCCACGGCGGCCGATTTTGTCGCGCAGAGCGAATTTGAGACTGCGATAGATCTGGCTCCATAAAGCGGCAAAGTCCGGATGGCTCCTGCCGACGCCCCGCTCCTTCAATGCAGCAATAATAAGCTGCTTTGCTATTTTTTTATTCTCCATTTCCATCTCCTCGCTCTCCTTCTCCAAAAGCAAAACAGAAGCAGGCTGTGGTGGGGTGTCTGAGCGTAGGCTTTGCTGGCGCATTAGTGCTTCGATATCCGTCAGCGTCATCTTGCCATTGCATCCAGCTACCCTCCTTAGCCCAATGTTTATTGATGCTGAGTCTTCTTGTGGTCTGATGGGGTCGTGGATTAGGAAACTCTCGGCTGACATTGCCCGCTGTTGCATCCGGGCCTGCTCGCTACTGTTGCTTTTGCGCGCCAACAATCTGACAAAATCCATCTCCACACCAAGCTCATTTTCCTCCCCATTACTCTCGCTATTTTCTCCACAGTGGTTATTGGAAAGAACCCCAAAATCTACCGATTCCAACGGCTGCGCGAGCAGGTGAAGAACCAGCTGCCACTGCATATTCTGCCAAACCACATACACCAACGCATACGAGCAATTGGCGCCCGCAGGCAACAGCCAGTCAACCACCGCACCAATCGACTCCTTTGCGAACGGATCATCGTTATCAGATGAGCCTTGGGAAACCTCCATATGGGCGAGAATAGCCTGAGAGCCTGTATGAACCAACTGCTCCTTCGCGGGGTTGTGTGTGGAAAGGGGCAGGATTCGGTGTATTAGGCCGTTGATGTATTGCTGCGAATCTTGGGTTTCTGCGTTCAGGTAGAGAGCGAAACATGCGGGTGTCAGGAGTAATGGTGGGATGGAGGGTAGTGATACTGGGCGGAGAAAACGAAGGTGGCCGTTAGCCGGTGCTGTTGGTGGTGCAGTATTAGGGCTGGGCGGCGTTAGGTGTTGGAGAATCGCTGTTGCTTGGATAGTGGGTCCACCGACGAGATCGACTTTTGCTTTCCATAAAACATGCTGCTGCTGCTTCTGTAATACTTGTGGTGACGGTAATGCTTTGTCTATAGTGATGCTCATTCTTTATTTGTTGCGGTATCGGTGTGTGTGTGTGTGTGTGCGAAGTAAAATTTGGTTGTGGATAAGACGCGTGTTGGAAATAAAAAATGAAAGGATTATCTGCTTTGTGGTAAACAAATAACTTTTTTTATGCAACAGTGATGGTGGCAGCATATTATTTGCGAGGCAATCTCGCGTTTATGGTGTGAGAGTTTTTTTTATTTGCCAACTTTTATCTTAACGAATCATTAAAAGCTGGCAAGTAGAAATCAGCTGGCTCTGACCCCGATAAAAAAACCCACCTTGTATAAAAAAAACTGCAAGTTCCTACTTTTTTCTTCACTTTCTTTTTTTATATAAATTTATTCACTTTCCTACTCTTCTATTCAATTTCAATTTCACTTTTTCGAATGCTCGCAAGGACCCGCCAATACCACAGCAGCAGCGGCACCAGCACGCTTGTGTTTCTCGGGCGCCATATAAACTCTGGCGGCTTATTTGTTCCCAAAAGACACCAAACCACTATATCCACCTCAGCCTCCTCTTTATCTGCGGAAACTGCCACCGCTGTGACTACTGAATCTGCTGCGGATATTCTTGGTGATCAGAACATTCCCTCTTCCAACCAGCTCATTAAGCGATTCACTCGTAATGGTGTTCCTCTGAGAATGCTTATTCTTGGAGCTCCGGTAAGTTTTATTCATCTTTTTTTGGTTTATCCATGTGAATTAGAAATATTTTCTTTGTTTATCTTGTGTTCTGTCTATCTGTTTGTCCCCCTCGCTCTTACCCCCATTCGCTTGGTCTTTTTTTTTGCTCACACTGATTTATTGATAACAGCAGGCAGAGATGGACAAGGCAAATAGCAGTCACATGTTGCATGTAAATACTATTTTTTTGCGATCCAGTTTTGCTGTTTTCTATTATTTGTACCCGTAAATTAAAAAAGTGCACTGTTCTGGATTTGGGAAAATTTCACAGGCCAAAATGAAAAAAAGATAAGCTAAGATAAACTAAAAGAACGGAATAGATTTACAACATTCAATGTCACGCGTTCAATATAATCTATTTTCCCACAAAAAATCATCCAATTAATATTGCTTTAAAAAATAACTTATCTCCGTTATCTGTATTATCCTCGTTTTTTTATATTCTGGCCTCGCAAGATAGGGTGCCGGCAAGGGCACGCAATCTTCTCGTATCCGCAACCACTTTGCCGTAACAACCATTTCCAGCGGCGACGTTCTGCGCCGCAACATTCTGGAGCAAACACCCGCCGGCCAACAAGCCCAAGTATCTGTCGCTCGCGGAGAACTAGTACCGGACAACCTAATAGTCAGCCTAATCCGCAACGAACTCGAAACTATTCAAAACAACAACTGGCTTCTCGACGGCTTCCCCCGCAACCTTGCACAAGCCCAAGCACTAGACCAAATGCTCCTAGCCACGGACCAGCCGCTCAACGCTGTTGTTAATTTGAATGTCCCAGAGCATGTTATTCTCAATCGCATCATCGAGAGATACGTGCATGTGCCTTCGGGTAGGGTTTATAACCTGACATATAATCCGCCAAAAGTGCCCGGCGTGGATGACATCACGGGGGAGCCCCTGGAGCATCGTCCAGATGATAACCCGGAGTCATTTAAGAGACGCTTGCAGCAGTACCATGCGTTGACGGAGCCTTTGCTGGAATATTACAGGAAGGCTGGCGTTTTGGCATCGTTTGCCGGTGATACTTCGGATATCATTTTCCCTCAGCTTAAGGAATTCCTTGATGAGCGTTTTGACTGAAAACGGAAGAAAACATATTGATTGAATTGATTTATCTTTTAAATGTGTGTGGGTTTCTTTTTTCCTATTACATTTAACAAATATTTAAAAGAAAAAAGATTTATTCATATATATTGATATATTCTGATATATGGTGATTATAAAGTATTATTAAGTGTCTTGTTCCTTTCTTTTTTAATCGGTTTTTAATCTGTGACGCAAATAGAAAAAAGAAGTTGAATGCTGGGATGTTATGATGTGGGGAGAAAAAGGGAAGAAGGAAAGAAAAGTAAAAAAGGGAGGGAAGGAAGAAGAATAAAAGTGTAAAAAGAAATGACAGGAGATGTTAAGCGTATGAATATATGAAAAAATTGTAAGTAGCCGCATGTGCACAAAACCATTCCTCCTCCCCAAAATGAAGAGCGAATAAGGTTTCCTTTTAGTCGTGCTCCACAGCCGTCGAGTCGCCCTCAGTCCACCTCGAATCTGAACTGTTCTCCTTCTGAACATACACGCCAAAGTCCTCATCGCAATCGTGAAGAATCGTCATAGACTCAAATTTTTCAAAAGGATCCACGCCCTTCCGATTCGGATCCGTAGTCCACAAGTTCTCTCTCTCAATATCCAACGACGTCGAATCCCTCCCATGCGACTGATGCCGCCTCTGGTCCTGCGACGGCTCATAAGTCAATGCAAACTGCAACAACTGCTGCTTCTGCGGATCTGCCAGCGGCAGGATCGGCGGCGTACGGTTACGCAAGAGCGCCCAAGTAATATTCTTGAACCACGGGTTCTGCTTCACATCAGCGGCGCCCGCCCGCGAGCCCAACCTCTTCTTGTCACTCTTGGCCAAAAGCCGCCGCACCAATGCCCGGCAGGACGCAGAGATTACTTGGTGGGTTGGTGGGCCCAAAAACACAATATCGGACTTTAGGATATTGCGGAATGTCGCATTGCGGTTTGAGCCCTTGAAGGGCGTGCTGCCGTAAAGCATCTCGAAAATTAGAATTCCTAGTGTCCACCAGTCAACGGCGCTCGAGTGACCGACGCCCTTGATGACCTCGGGTGCGATGTATTCTTCGGTGCCCACGAATGAGTTTGTGCGCAGGCCAGCTGTGCATGAGCGCGTATCCACCGAAGGCAGGCTGTAGAAAAATGTCGAGTTCTTCATCACTGTGGGCGAGCCTGGTGGGTCGGATTGCTTTGACAGGTCGAAATCAGTCAGCATGATGTGCCCCGTTTCGTGCAGCAGGATATCTAATGTACAAAGAAAAAGATAGGAAAAAAAGAACCATTGTTATTTAGTAGCTGGTCTGTTTTTTTTTTGTTTTTGAGAGCATCAACAAAAATAAAAATGTAAAAAAAAACCACGACATTAAAATGAAAACATTTCGAATGACAGTAACAGTTTGGCAGGCGGTTGTAATTATCCTGAGTGCAGATGAATGGCCCTCCGCCTCATTTTTCTCCCCAACGCCTGCCGCCTCTGAGTCCAATATATGCACGCAATTTCTTGCATTAATGCAAATGCAGACAATTCGCGTAAAGAAGAAAAACATGTTGACCGTCGATACCAAATCACATCACAGGCAACAAGACGCGAACTGCAGGATTATCAAGCAACATCATCGCAAAGCAAAGCAAAGCAAAAAACAACGCAAAAACAAAAAAACACTTACTTTCTGGCTTGAGGTCTCTGTAAATAAACCCAGAGAGATGTAGGTACTCGAGCGCACAGGTGACCTCGGCAGCATAGAACTTTGCGTCCTCCTCGGGAAGGCACTTGCCGGGACGCGACTGCAGCACGCGGAAGAACTCACCACCGATGCAGTAGTCCATGCAGAAATAAAGACGCTCGTCGCTCTGAAACGTGTGGTACAGCGTGACGATGAAGGGGAAGTTGGCCGTCGCCAAGATCTCCTGTTCGGCCAAAACGCGCTTGATTTTATTGCGCTTGATCATCTCAGCCTTGGCCAGCACCTTCATGGCATACAGCTTGCCCGTCTCCTTGTGGCGCACCAGGTACACCTTGCCGACGTCACCCTTGCCGAGCATCTTGATCTTTGTAAAGCTCTTCGGCCCAACCGAAATCTTCTGCACACGCATCGAGTTACTCGAGTACGTCCGCCGGATGGTGGTTGCGCCCGATCTGACCATTGACTGACCGCCAGGCGTCGCTGACGTCGGTGTGAACTGGCTGCGAATGCTGCTGGGGCTATCTATGCTGTCGCCAAATCCAGAGTGGCCGCCGCCCACGGACGACTGCAGACTGCGTACGCTTTGGTTGCTGATGCTGATGGTGTAGCCGCTGTTCAGCGGCGGCGGCTTTGAGAACTTTGATGTCAGAACGTCGCCAGCCATCGAGCTGGCCTTTTTCAGCTGCCCTGGAAGCCGCACCGCCGACGCCGCACCACCGCCGCCCACCAATGATGATGCGGACGCAGCATGGTGTACGGCTGAATTCTTTGTCGAGTGCGGATACAGGTGTGAGCTCGAGGCCGAGGTCCCCTGTGTGTACGCCCGCGCGGGCATGGCAATCGTCGATACGTTTGCAGCGCTCATATCAAATGTTAAAAAAAGGTTTGTGTGTGTGAAAGAAATGGAAAATTAAATATCAAGCCGCCTTTGACAACAACGAGGGAAAACGAAAACAGGCGAGATTGCAAATGCTTGCAATAAAAAAGTGTATGCCGGTGATAAAAAAATATTTGAGAAAAAGAGAGAAAAAGGGGAGGAGTTGAAATAGAACAACGTGTTGTGTATACTAGCTTGTTTGTTCGCCACACGGTTTGGCAGCGAGTGCAGTGTATGCGGGTTTTGTGTGTGGGTTGTGAGTTGCGAGAGAGAGGGGGGGGAAAGTAAAAGTAAAAGTAAAAAATAAATGAGAAAAAAATTGCAATTTTGGCTAAAAGAAGTGAATGGGCCAAGAGAAAGAAAAAATTTACAGTCGAAAGATAAAAAGGATAACAGACAAAGAACAAAAGTGGGGACTTTTGTGCTTGCAACACCCACTTGTAGCTTGGTTTGTTAAAGCTGTAGCTGCCCTTATGCAGACCAAGGCCAAAGGCAATATAAAAAAAAGAGAGGGAGAGAGGGATATAACAAAAAAAACTGGTGTTGCTGATGCTGCTGATGCTGCTGATGCTGCTGATGCTGCTGATGCTGCTGCTGCTGCTGCCGCTGCTTCTGCGCGCTGAAATGAAATAATAAAAGTTTGGTTTAAACAAGGCAAAGGGGAAATAAAGAAGCGGAAGGGTATGTAGGCTTTCACTAATTGCTAGCAATAATAATAAAGCCGAATACGAAGAAAAAAGCGAAAGAAAAAAAAGTAAACTGATATTAGCAAAATGAAAGACGCGCATGTACGCAAATTCTGCTAAACTGCGTCTGACAATCCCTTCTGCCTTTTTCCAAAAATAAACAGGGGCGAAAAATCGTTCTTTTTTGGGTTTTGTCTGAGTGGGGAGAAGAGGGGTCACAGAATGATGTTTTGTTTTTTCATTTTGGTGGGGAGGGGAAAGGTGGAATCGTCCACACAGAAAGAGCGAAGGAAAAGAAAACAAGAAAAACAGGCTGACTGTGAAACGCAAATGGCGCTTGCTCGCAAAGATCCGCCCCATCTGCCAAACAAGGCTCTGTTCGCTGGTTCGATTGCATTGACCGCATTTGGAAAGGACAATGAAAATTTGCTGGCACTTGACCCAGTCTGCATGGCTCCTTTGGGCACAAATGGGTTGGACTCTTGCTGCAGGTGGCGTAGCATCTTTCATAAGATCCAAGGATCTTTGAGAAAGCCAGCCCCCTGGCGGAGCAAGATGATCAACGGAGCTGAAAGCTTGCTGATCAGAGACACCATTGAATCCAATACTCTTGCAAACCCGGACTCGCTTTTAAAGCAAAGCAGTGCTTTTCTTGAAACAGCGGCGGCAAGGCCTGGGGGCCCAATCCATGTGCACCCACATGTGCCAACTGCTATTTCCTCCACTCGGAAGCGCAATTAATGTGCAGATGTACTTGTTCCCTCGCTATCTTTTTTTCCGGGGAGAAGAAAATGCTAAATCATTTTTTGGCATGTGCTGCGGGCGAGCCATACTTGTCGCGGCAGATGCCGCCTCCATATAAACTTTGGCTCTTATGACGTGGGCACCGCATATGTGTGAATCGACGTCGTTGTTTCAAATATTTTGGTTACAATTTTGCCTTATTTTCATTTTATTTTGTGGATCACAGAGCCGGTACATACTCCGCACAGATTAGTCGCACGCACGCATGAATCAAACGCCCGGGTCGTTGCAGCCCTTCAACAAGCTAATAGGCACAATTTTCGATCCGCGTCGCATCTTTTCCGAGACCGGGAGTCAAAAGCAGCCGTCGCGGCAAGGCTCAGAGCCGGAATTGGGGCCGGAACCAGGAATGTAAGTGCGAGTCATCGAGTTAAAAAATGTTTCAGATTGTTTAATTTCCACTACTGCTCTGCGCCTGCGAATCACAGCCCTGGTACCGTTAAAGCAGCGTAGTTCCAATTGGGCCTGTCTGCAAAGGTAGAGCGAGCGCATTGGCTAGTATAGGATCAGAGGCTTGTGACAATCATCAGCTAATGGGTAATTTGCATTGTCTTTGTCTGTCTTTGTGCAATGTAGGGATGCCATGCCAGAGCTTCTCAAGCCGTCAATACAGAGGTTGGTGCATAAATTAGATGTGCATGCTGCATTATTTATAAACAACAAGGATATGCATTTGTTTTCTTTTGCCAAGGGGATGCCGCGCAATGTGCATATGTGCGCTGCCTGTGCAGCATGAGATATAGATTCGAAAGTGTTGTGGACAAGCCAATATGGAATAGGGGAGTTGGGGGAGTTGGCCATCCACCAAACTGGCTTGTTATTTTTGTACCTTTGCGTCCTCTGTTATTGTTATTGTTATTGTTATTGTTTGCGCTTGTTTTTTTGCTCATGTTTGCACGGCTGACAAACAAAGGTACATGCGCCCCATATATATGCAATGCTTTGTCAAATACACCGGCGATCATCACATAAGATTAACTTATTTCCAAAATTCAAGCGCCGTATGCTCACTCGTTCGCTCGGTTTTATTTTTAGATACTCTGCCAGGTGGTCAGCTGCCCAGCAGCGCCATGACTCGACCATTCGAAAATGCAAGGTAAATAATATAAAAGAAAAATTGGACACAGCGTCCGTGCACATGACATTTAACAAAGGTGTTTACACAGAATTTATGAGCGCCCAATTAATTAATCAACTTGGCGAACTCTAAAAAATGATTTTTGGTGCATTTAACGGGCAATAATCTCAACTACAACCCCTAAATCAACTCGTGGGTATCCAAACGGCATAGCTAATCGACACCAAGCTTGGGCAGCTGCAAGTCTCGCTCTGCCAGCATGACGAGTCCGCTTCAAACATGGCCTGCGAAATCAACAGCCTGGCAAGCACAAAGAGACAGCTGGCTGCCGCGAAGTCCCAGGCAGACGAGCTCATCCCGGTGCTCAAGGCACTGGAGCAGCTGTACGCCAAATTGGCCGATTCGAGCACTGCGTGGTCGACCGACCTGGTACAGCAAGAGTCCGAGTTTCGGCAGAGCCGTCACCAGCACTACCTGGATCTCCAGCAGACCATGGACGAGCAGTATGCTGAGCTGCGCCGGGACAGTGTGCACATGCGCGTGGCCAATGCCGAGCGCTCGTTCAAGCGTGACTTGGACAGCTACGTGCAGAACCAGAGTTCGCCCCGACAAAGGTCGCATACAAATGTGCCTCGGGCAGCAGCAGGTAAGATTCTAAAAACATGTGCAAGATCTTGGATCTATCACTTGAAAAAACAACAGACTTTCCCGAGTGATTAAACTATGTGCACCGTTATTGATCTGCATTGGCTTGTTCGTTTGTGAATGTAGGCAGCGCTGCTGCCAGCGTTGCTGATGTCGTGTTAGCACCGGAAAACTGGGCCGGCGGCAGTTGCGCTGACCAGGACTTTTTTGGTGACAGTGACGAAGCAGGTTTGAAATCGCTGGGCACTATCAAGCAAAGGCCCAAAAGCGGCACAATGCCAAGCGCGTTTGGTCGTCTTGCGAGCCGCCAAGGCAAACCAGCCAAGAAGGTAAGAATACCATGTGATAATTTACTTATCGCGCTTGCGGTCCGTTACCAAGAAGCACGGTGTAAAGTTATTTGCTTGGGTTTAAATGGAAACGCAGGGTCAACAGGCAGGCGTTGAAGTTTATTTTTTGCGTGCGTCCTTTTTCGACGTTAATTAAAAATATGTACACCTCTTTCTTGGTTGAAAAATTGCGTATTGTACTCATAGGGAAAGGGCTTTTCGGCGGCAGCTCGTGCCAACTACAAAGACGGTGATGAAGCGAAGATCTTTGGCGACGACGACGATGATGAACACCTGGGCGCTGAATCTCGTATGGGCTTTGTCGTTCTTGGCGACGAGGATTTTTCTGGCACGTAAGCGGAAAGAATATTCAACACCTCAGCCCACCAAAATCACCTGGACTCGTGGGCACATTCCGATTGGCTCGAGTTTGTTCATCTTGGCATTTCTTGGCATTCACAAAAAAAAAGAAATCAGTTTATTTTTGCGCGGGCAAATGCCTGCCAAGAGAAGGAAAAGTGCGCGCACAGAAGAAAAATAAAGCTCAAGCAAAAAGCACGGCTATATAAGCGAAAATGACTTGCAATTTTGCCGTGCTAATACTTGTGCTGACCAAGAGCACTTCATTTCGCTCTTGCTAGAGACGGTCGCCCATTTCGCCCCACGCCGCTCCTCTTCATCTTGTAAAGTCTCATATTTTTTTCGCGTAGTATTCTTTATAGCTCGCTTTTTACCCTTTATTTTTAAATAGCTTGCCTTAGTAGCCACCACAAATAGAAAGCTGACTTCTCTCACTCCCCCGCTAGAACATCGGAAAGAAAGCCAATCTTCTGAACACGCACGCATTTGTTTGTTCGCTCGCTCGTTCTTCATCCCCCAAAAATTTGTCCTTTCTATCTGACAAGTTTTTAGAAAGCCAGACAAATAAGAGAGGAAAAAATAAAGCGCATTTTACATAGCGCTAACCATTTCGCCACCCTCCCCCCTACCCTCCTCGCCCACTCATCTCGCTTTGCCTAAATACCAAACCAGCGCGTCTCGCCAATTTCTCTATTTAACTGCCAGCTCTTTCCTCACCATACGTCCTTTTCTTTTCTACTCATATTTTTTACATACTATCTGCCAAGCATTTTGCTCTATTCAATATTTTATTGCCCAGCTTATACATAATAAATAGCCTTTCAAGCCCATTTTTATAATCCTTTCTTTTTTTTCAAACACTTATTTTGTTTTAACAAAGAGCCCGGCAAAGTACTTTTTATTTAATAAAATACTCCGTTCCCCTTATTTTTTTACTGCCTCGCTCTCATTCACTTACTCACACTCACCCCACCAATACTACTCAGCAGCTCCACAAACTTTCCAATATCTCATATCTCCTATTTCTCTTTCTCACAACTTTTATTTTATTTTACTTATTTTTTATTTTTAAATCCCCTCTTTCACAAGTACATCTCGATACCAGCACCAGCACCAACAATGAGCGACTATGAAGAAGAAAACCTCAACTGCCGCTGGATAAACTGTGGCATTGTCTTCCGCGATGCCGAGACACTATACTCTCACATTACAAATGACCACGTCGGACGCAAGTCAACGGGCAACCTGTGCCTCCAGTGCAAGTGGGAAGACTGTACCATCTCGCGCACTAAACGCGACCACATCACGTCTCATATCCGCGTACACGTCCCCCTCAAACCCCACAAGTGTGACTTGTGTCCAAAGGCCTTCAAACGCCCTCAAGACTTGAAGAAGCACGAGAAGACGCATGCTGACGGGGATGAGGAGGAGCCGTTGGCCATTACTTCCTTCGACTACGACTACTACAACTCCTACGAACAGCCGCTGGAGCAGCAAGAGCTGCAGCTGCAGCAGGAGACGCAGCGGGAGTTCCAGCAAAAATATGAATACCCGCAGCAGTACCCGCCGTACTCGCAGTTGCCGCCGGCCAACCCCCAGTTTGGAACGCCCGTGTACAACAGCGTATCTCCGTATGTCGGCAGCATCGGGTCGCCCGATAGACAGGTGCCGAGTTCGGCCCTTAATAACAACATGTGTAAGTTGTGCTCTCGCCTACCCGCCAATTTGTACCGGGTGTATGCCAACGATAATGTGCATTCAGTTCATATATGTTTTTGCTAACCAAATGGGTTGTATGGGTGCCTTTGACGGTGACGATGATGGTTACGATGATGATATCGCCAAATGTGCACGATTTGATTATGTAGCCCGCAAGCGCCAGAGTTCCCCACAAATGAACCTCGCTGTGTCGCCACACTCTGGATATGCGTCGAACTCGCGCCAGGAGAATAAGTACTACTACCCGCCACCGCCTGCCTCCAACAGCGCGGGCAAGCGTGGCGCGGATGCCATCGAACGGTTCCAGCAAACGGTTAAGAAATGTCGCACGGACGACACTAGCCAAGGTTTGGATTGTCTTGCACATGCAATTGGTCTGCACGAGAAGCATGGCTGCTCCTCTGCCCTGTCTGCTAATACTAACCACAATAATGCATCCCCTCCTCCAAAATATCACTCTCCCCCTTGCAGCGCAGAATTTGACACACCACTGCCAGACTCTTCCAGCTCTATGCCTCTACTGGGTGTCATCAGCGAGGCTGCTTCTGCTTCTGAATCTGAAGCAGTTGGAGCACACATCCAGTCTCTCTCTTTATCATCCAATTTCTCTTCAAAAGCCCCCACTCCAATTGGACACAACAGCAGCAGAATGTCTATTTCGCCTGCTGCGAGCCCTCACTCCCCGAGCAACAGCAGCTCACCGCCCCCGCTCTCCGCTGCTAGCAGCTGGAGCTCAGAGGCGTCTTTGTCATCCATTTATTCATCTTACTCTCGCCCCTTTTCTTCCACTCGCTCTACCACCTTCTGCTCTAAATCGGGCAGCAGTGGTGGCTGCAGCAGTGGTAGTGGTGGTGGCGGCGGTATGAAGGGTTCGCTGCTTGGCATGGACTTTGCTCGGCACTATCCGCGCAAGCCCTCTGTTTTAGATGCGCCACCATTGCTGCGCTCGATGGGTCAACACACCTACCACCATCTGTCTCTGTCATCGGCATCGTCGTCAACATTTGACCGCTTTGCCATGGATGACTACGAATGAGACCGTGGTGGTTTTTTGTTGTTGGTTCAAATTGGATGTCCTAATTTTATTCTTCTGCATTTTACTTTTTTTATTCTCCCATTTTTCAGACTCTTCCTCCCTCCTCATTTTTCGCTGTTAATTTCCTTCTTTTTCATACGCTCTCAAAGCTCCCCCCTTCACTCTCACTCCCACTCTATCTTCTTGTTTATTTTCTCTTCTTATTTACTCGGGATTCATACACATCCTATTTTTATATTTGTCTTGGGAGAGAGGGAGGGAGAGAGAGAGATAAGGAGCAAAGAGGAGAGGTGTTGTTTGTGCGCATATCCAGTATATAGACAAAAATGTGGATAGGGAGCTGCACTGCTTGCAATTCCCTTGGCTTCTCGGCTTTCTACCTGAACCAATGCGCATGTGTAAAATATTTTTTGATGACAATTCATTCGCACGCACATATACGCACTTTAAAATGTTTTCTTTAATACTCTATATACATAGCCATTGTTTCACAACTTTCACTTTAACCACATCTATACTTTTATAGCAGCGCAATTAACCATTTTGTATTTTATGTTTGTTGTTTTTGGAGAGAGAGATACTTGTTTGAAGGATTTGTTTTTTTTGCATTATTGCACTTTTGTATGCTATTCTTTTATTTGGCGCACAAAAGTTGTGGTTGTATTTGGTATTTGGCATTCGCAAGTGGCAGAAGCGATGCGACCACAAAGCCCATGCACACATTCACTTTATTGCACTTCATACTAACTCTTTTTTCCAATTCTACCTTTAACTCTTTCTTTTATTGCACTATTAGGGCAGCAAGCACTGTTTTCGTTCCTCAGCCAGTACCGCGACATTGGTAATCTCGAGTTCATGGACCTGCCGGCCTCGCTACAGTCGCAGGCGGAGCTGAGGCAGCTCAACGAGGGCGTGCTGCAGCTTCTGCCCGATATGCAAGACGTCAGCGGTCGCGCGCTACTGATGGACCACTTAGTGCATCAGCTTGACAGCTCGAACCCAAGCAAGCTCAATGCTATCCTGAACATGGCCAACCCGCATTCCGGCTCAAGCGCCGACCCCATGCTCTCTGCTGCATCGGGCAGCAACTCTATCTACTCCGGCCAATCGCCGCAGCCAGTAAGCGGGGGTGTCGCCGCATCCTTTGACCTCACATCCAGTCCCGAGGACATGCACAGGATGGGCATGACTTCGATGCCGCTGAACTCGTACATAATGTATTCGCACAACTACCCGGGCAACAGCATCCCGTCGTACCCGCCGCTGGTGTCGATGCACAACCCGACGCTGACCGAGTTGGCGTCCATGCCGGCCAACAACAACAGCGCACCCATGCCTATGCCCATGAGTAACCCGTCAGTGCGCGTATCCAGCACCCCTCACCGCATCCCCTCATTGTCGCCGTCCATGGGCCGCATCCCGGATCCTGCGGTGAGCTTAAGGCCCATTGCGCGCTCCCGCGGCATGACCAGCGGCCCCGTGCCGATGGTGCCGCCTCTATCACTCTACTCAAACATCTACACGCCCATGCAGCTGCAGCAGGCCCAACAGGCGCAGTACGACCAGATGCAGCAGAACATGGCCAACCAACAGTACGCCCAGTCGGTAATGTCTGGCCACCGCCCTGGAGCGCCGTCACTGCCGCCACTCCACGCCGGATCGTACTCGAAGAATAAGCTGCCCCTGCCCAATGCGCAGATTGACGACCCCGAGGTGCATAAGGCGCAGATGAACGCCCTGATGGCATACCGTGCCATGGGGCTGCAATGCAAGGCACCAGACAGCCAGGACGACGAGGACGACGGTTCTCAGGAACTGTCCTTGGACGAGTGGCTCGACGCAGAGAAACTCACTGAGACCGAGGTCCTGGGCAATACCAATATGCTGACACCAGCGGCCACGCCCAGCACCACCCAGGTCGACGAGCCCGAGCTTGAGGACGCAGATCTTAGCTCGGAGGCGTATTACATGAGCCACCCGTCCGTCAAGAACTCGCTCTTGGTACAGCGCTCGTCGGGCCAGATGCAGACCAGAACAATTAAGTCTGAGGACGAGCCCGTGTCGTATATGCGCCAGCGCCAGGCACTTGCCGCCAGCAAGGCCGCTGAGAGTGCCAGCGAGAGCATTGATGATAGTGACGGGGGGACCACTGGTGAGAGCGCCGACGAGGAAGTTGAGGAGATTGGCCGTGAGGAGCTTGTCAACGTCGCTATGCAGTTGCTCGCGCGCATCAACATTTTGTACTTGCGCAAAGTGGAAGAAGAAAAACAGCAGCAGCAATTGCAGAGCTCTGAGCACGACGATATAGATGATCTGGAACGCGAACTGGATGCGATGAATATTGGTGGCAGCGGGTCTGCTGCTCCTGTCATCAAGGCTGTGGAGGACAACGGGCAGCAGGACATCATTAACCGGATGGCCAAACTTGGACTGTCAACTAGTACCAACAGTGTGTGCGTATAATTGACACGCAAAATTTTTTACATATATTTTTTCTTTAGCTTTTTATTTTCTTTGTCATCATATATTTCCATTCATATATTTTCATTGTTTTCATTCTAGTTCAAAATTTTTAATAAATATTTAACCTATTTATCGGACTAACCAACTAAATGGATGACTGACAAATTGAATGCACAGTAACAAGAAATACGTGTTACGCTGCAGGATTAACCATCAGCGTTAATATTCCCTATCAAACGCTGATTGACATCAAAGCACGTTTCTATTTGTACGTTGGTATCCACAACCAACAACACAAATGTGCTCATTTGTCTTGAAATGGTTTAAATACCAAGCCGGCAGACCAAGAGTCGAGAAGAAAATTTATTCAGTTTGAATTTTAATCATCTAATCATAAGCATTCAACAGCATCATTCAATACATCAATCCCACACTGTTTTAGATTTGTTACATTGTGAACGATTGATTGAATGATAATGATGACGACATTAAGTGTAATTTAAAATATTGAATTTGTTTTTTTTTACTTGGGAACAAAATAGGTGGGGGGAGGAGGGAGCGTGGGGACCGAGCCGAATGGCACTACACTGCAACAAATCCCCAACCTGTGGGGGGTAACTTTCAAGATTGTGTTTACGCGCTTGCATTTACATTTTGTTAAAAAGTAGTACGTTAAAAATTTTTTTGTCATCGCAAATGAAGGATGGCGAAAAAAAAGTGCCATCAGGCAGACGGAAGTGGAATAATCATGACATGGTTGTGGTGCTGAACTTTCGCATCATCCTCAACCCTCTGCTTTCAGGCCAGAGGCCTCCCTATTTTTTGCGCAAAAAGACATCTTCAGAGTCGGCCAAACCCAAATCTACAGTGACGCCCGAGATTTTGCCCAAAACTTTGCTCAGGTCAAAGTCCAAGCTTAAGCCCAAGCTTCTCTTTGTAAGAAGCAGGGTAGTGATTAATATCCTCAAATAATAGTAGGCTTATTGCCTCTAGTTTCTAAGTACGCTCTGGGTTGCTATGTAATCAGGATGGGAAGGATGTTGATTTGCAGGATATTTGAATATTTTTAGATATCTTCAGTCTCATTATTTTCTTCGTTGTATTGTTCTGTCTAGATACAATCGACCGGATTCGCAACTCAGAAAGGTCGCTTTGTCAAGAAGGGAATGAGAAAGGGAAGGAGAAGGAGAATGGAAAGCTCGGGCCTTTTTCCTTCATATTTTTTATTTCTCCCGCCGTTGTTATTATTTTTCTGTGTGTTACTATTTTTATTCTTTATTTTTATTCTTTATTTTATTTCATTTTATTCAAATTTGCGAAACCTCTTCATTATATTTCTCATCTCGTATATTTTTATTTGTATTTCTTAGAAAGCGCACTTTAAACAATAGAATGCCTGTCGTCAAAGCGCTCGAGGACAGGGGCCGTACACTAACAGATGCGCTACTAACACACGATGTGCTGGCATACCGAGGGGCAACAGACACAGGGGCGCTTCTGGACACCCTGGTGGCCCTCCACGAGGAACTCAATGAGCGGCAGTTTCTGAGCTCGCCCAATATCAACGAGTTTGTGGAGCGGTACAAGGACTCGGTGGAGGATGTGAAAAGACTGAGACTGGGCAAAAGGGATTTTGAGTTTGTCCGGTCGCTTGCCAGGGGCCAGTTTGGGATTGTGGATATTGTGCGGAGTAAGCACAACAAGGGGGTGTACGCCATGAAGACGCTCAACAAGCAGGCGCTCTTGAGCCAGCGCGAGGCAAGTTTTCTATATGCAAAAATGTTCCGCATGTATCAACTGTTTTGAGCAGTATGCCCACATACTAATACTTAAAACCAATCATTTTTTTTCTGTGTAGCAAGCGGCGTTTCTCGAGGAGCGCGACGTGCTGGTGCTGGGCAAGGACTCGCCCTGGATCCCAGACCTCTACGCGGCGTTCCAGGACAAGGAGAACCTCTACATAGTGATGGAATTCGTGGCTGGCGGCGACCTCTTCAGCATGCTGGACCGCTGCGAGAACGCGATAATCGACGAGTCCGCCGCGCGGTTCTACGCGGCCGAGCTGGTGTTGGCCCTGGAGGATCTGCATAAAATAGGGTACATCCATAGGGACTGCAAGCCGCAAAATACTCTTCTGGATGAGCGCGGCCATGTCAAGCTGGCAGACTTTGGATCTTGCGCCCGTATCGACGCCTCGGGCGCGCATGAGGCGCAGACATCCGTTCCCGTGGGTACCTGTGACTACATTGCGCCCGAGATCTTGCGAGCGCGCGAGCTGGGCAACGGTGGCGTTGTCAGTACATCCTGCGACTGGTGGTCCCTGGGCACGGTTCTCTATGAAATGATCTACGGCGATCCGCCATTCTACAGCGACAGTGTGCCGGAGACTTACGGCAAAATCATGTCCAGTGAAAAGCACCTCTCCTTCGACCCATCACTCGAGGTGTCCGAGGAGGCCAAGGACCTGATGCGCAAGCTTCTTGTTCGGCAGGAGGACCGGCTCGGGCTGCCAGGCATCAAGGCGCATGCGTTCTTCGCCTCGGTTGATTGGGACCGCATTAGGCAGCAGGACGCGCCGTTTGTGCCGCGCATTAGCTCGCCCGACGACACGTCCAACTTTAGCGTCGGTGATGAGGCCGAGGAGGACATGGGTATGGCTATGGCACGCGCAAGCAGCAGCAGGCTGGGCCACGGCCGAGAGTACGCCGGCGAGCAGCTGCCCTTCATTGGCTTTACTTTTCTGCCGCAGACGTTCACCCTCAGCGCTAAAAGATTGGCTCCGCCGACGCCACGCGGGCCGAGGGACGATCCGGCCCAGCTGCGCGGCCTTAAGCTGAGGATCGAGCAGCTGGAGGCCGAGAATGCCAGGCTCAAGGGAATGCAGGCTGAGTGGGAGGAGGAGAGGAGGCTTGTGAAGACAAAGGTTGCTGCGCTTGAGGCCAAGGCGCTGCTGCCGCCGCCCGTGACGCCCCCGCCAATTCCTGTGCCCAAGCGCGACTCGGCGATACAGACTGATGATGAAGAAAAAAAGGAGGAGAAGAATGATGATGCGGACAAGGATGCCTACGCCAGACTGGCAGAGAGCCTGGCCGTGCAGTTCAGCGGGCAATCAGAGCATCTCACCAAGCTCGTTGCAGCCGTCAACGGGCTGGCCGAGGTGACCGGGGACAAGCTCGACGAGGGCCTGCAGATGCAGCGCAAGGAGATCAGCGCATTGGCCAGCCTCATCCAGCCTGGCGCATCCACACTGCCACGGCTCTCCAGCAAGGCGTCCATGACACAGGTTTACCAGGCCAACGGGTCATCGGGGCGCCTGAGCGTGGGCCAGACGACGCGTGCGCCCAGACGCTCGATCAGCGCCAACGACGATTCCCTGGCGGACACGCACCCTACGGTGGTTGCCACGCTGGTCAACGAGACGCGCTCCGCGACGGACGCCAGCCGCCAGCCCGGGTCGCCGGCTGTTAGTCGTGTGTCGCGTGCCGAGCGCCGGGTGTCGGCTGGTGTCGCCTCAGACGCGCTGTCGGTTATCGGAAACAAGTGCGACAGACTGGCAGCGCTGTTCGAGCAGTACGCCAGTGAGATCGAGGGCATTCACCAGTCGCAGGCGTCGCTGATTGCCATTTGCAGCGCGCTCAAGTCGGCTGTAGAGCCGGGCCGCTCCCTGGCCGACATCCCAGAGGTGGCCACCCCCGAGGGATCCACCAGGAGCCGCCGCAAGACCGAGCAAATTCGCCGTCGCGGAGCACCCGATTTCACGCAGCCTGCTGCCACTCCCGCTGACTCTGCTGTGGATCTCTACAGGGCGGCCACTGATGAGCTGGTTGCCGGGCTCAAGGCGCAGCTGTCCCAGGCTGAGGACGCCCGGGTGGCTGCCGAGGCCCGCGCTGCCGAGCTGCTGGGCTGGATTGGGCGCGAGTCCAAGGGCCGCGCGCTGCTGGAGGACATGATCCGCACGGCGCAGCAGGCGTGCAAGATGGCCGAGGACAAGTTTGAGCAGATGAGCAAGGAGACTGATTCCCTCAAGCGGGCGCTGGGATCAAAGAGCGAGAGCATTTCCAGCCTGCAGGCCACAGTGGAGACCCGAGACAAGGAGCTGCGGCATCTGCGGCGTGCATCGAGGAAGGCGCTGGATCAGCTGGCCGATATCAGTGCACAGCCCCAGCCGCCGCTGCCTACTGCGGAGAAGACCAAGGAGAACATGGACGTGGAGCTGCAGGAGGCTGTCACGGTGCATGTGCGGCTGCAGTTCGAGATAGCCCGGCTGGAGGGCGAGGTGTCTCGGCTGGAGTCAGAGAAAGCACAGTTGGCCAAAGAGCTCAAGCTCAAGGACTCGAAGCTCAGGACTGCAGAGTCACTTGCCGAATCCGACGGTATCCGCGTGCGGCCTATGGATGGTGGGATCGAGGATGATGAGGGCGATTCCAAGTATGGAAGCACGGGGGCTAAATCGCACAAGCGGTTCAAGGTCCAGCTGCAGAACCTGCAGAGCCACGTGGAGTATCTTGAGACCAAGCTTGCACTGGCAGTGAGTGAGAACGAGCAGCTGAAGAAGCAGCAGAGTCCAGGCATTAAGTTTCCAAGTTTTTCGCGCAAGAACAGCAGCAATTTGCAGCAGCAGCAGCCCGATGTGGCTGAGCCGAGGCTGAGGTCAACTTCGATGTTCCCCAACTTGCACAGCAACATGGGGACGGCCTTTGCATCCGCTGCGTCGTTCGATGGCGATCGCAAGTCAACAGAGTCGGCGGATAGCTATGGGACTGCTGGGAACTCCTATTCGCCGACGTCGAGGCCGAGGCCGCCACTGGATCCTTCGAATGGCAGTACCGGTAGTACTGGTAGTCGGCCTCGGAATGACTCGACAACGTCGTCGTTTGAGCGCATACGTTCGCCATTTAAGGGCTTCCGAAAGCATTTCAGCTGATACACACAAAAAATATCCAAAATTTTAATTTTTTTCTCATTCGATTTAATTTCAATTTCAATTTCAATTTTTTACGATTCAACCTTTTTCTTTTTTCTTTTCCTATCTTTTTTCTCTTTATTTTTCCATACACACAAATCCATTCTCTCTTACAAATTCATACATTATATTTAAAAAATGTCGCGGGCAGTGTATTTCTTCCGCAACATTCGCACAAAGCAGGTCCTCGCGACTACGGCAAAGTCACTTTTGACCAAACCCAAGCTGGTTAAAAACCAAATCCCCGACCCAACCCTTCGCCCAACCGTCCTGCGTCCCGACCACTGGACACCCCTCGTCGTAGCTACCGGTTTCGAAAGCAAGCAGGCACAAACCGACGCCTTCAATCTCACTAGCCAACCAGGCCACCCATTCCAGCCCAAAACCGAAAAGGAACAAAAGGAGTATACACTGTTGATGAATAAGAATAAGCGCTTGGCTGATAAGGATTGTGCAGAGAAGCAGATTGCTCAGTTGGCTCGTTCGCTTGTTTATATGGATGTTATGAAGTCCCAGACGGTACCCAAGAAGGGGAAAGTTAGGTTGCTGTGGGAGAACAGGGAGTGGATCAAGAAGGTCGAGGAGGCTGGTCTGTATTGGCCCGCGTGGGTTGAACATGGCGATCTGGACATTAAGCGCGGAAATATTATTATCAACCCCGAGCTGCGCGTAAAGGCCCCAGTTGTTGCCGCCGCCGCCGCTGCCACTGTGGCCAACTAGAGCCTGATTCTTTATTTTTTTCCTACTTTTTTTCTCTCGCTAAACAAAAAATTCAAACTTAAAACATTTGATAGTAAAAGCAAATAAAAAGCTGAAGAAATATCGTTGATACATAAAAGAATATAAAGGAAAAAATTGACCAAAGAAGAAAATTAAAAAAGAAAGGCAAAAACCACATCAACCTACTTTTTTTTACTCCTGAGCAAAACCGACGGTGTTCTCAATAGCAAGAATCAGCTTGGACGACATTGTCTCGTAGTCGGGGTACGGCGGCAGATCAATGCGATTGAAGCACGTGTGACTCTTGGGCAGCGCAATGATATCCCCGGATCTTTCAATAGTAAAGCGGCGCGGGCCATCGCTGCCCTGCAGGTCCTTGAATCCATTGACTGGAATGCGCGAAGTTCCCGTTGTAAACTGCAGCAACCGCGTCTGGTGCTCCGAGTCCATCTCCGCGACAAACTTCCAGAACCACTGCACAACCTGGTCGGACTCTGTGTATCCGCGGTAATCTGTGTGCTTCTTCCAATCCTCGACGTCAATCTCAGCCAAGCCACCGATGAGGAGCTCCAGCTCGCGCTCATCGAACACCTGGATGAGATCCTCGGGAATCAGCTCGTGGAAGCCCGCCTGGAACGCCTCGAACTGGTCCTTGATGCGATCGCACACACGGTACTTGATCCGAAGCTGCACGAACTCCGCCTTGTTCTCCTCCGTCACGTCAATGTCCTTGCCTCCGGGCTTCAGATCGACTTCGATGCGCTCACCAAAGCGGTCGTCGTCCACGGCAAACGTGAATCCCATGTCCGTAACGTCGTTCTCCAAGATCCACTTGAGACTGCGGTAGATCTCGGCGTCGACGCTCTGCATGTCGTCTAGCGTGACGGGCTTCTTCAGGATCATCTTGTAGAATGAAGATGTGAAGAAGGCGTCGAGGAACCGGCGGTGGAAAATAGCCAGGCCCATCGTGCGCCCGATAAACCTGAAGTAGTTGAGATGCTCCGGGTTGATCTCCGAGTTAGGGTTGAACTGCAGCGTGTACTGGTCGTGCGCAGAATACTCGAATAGGCAGTACTGCGGGTCAAACATCTTGTGCGAGAGCAGGAAGAAGTACTCGCGGGAGACACCGCCGTAGTCAAGGCCGTCTTCACCGTCGAATTTGATCATGAGCCGCTTCTTGAGCTCCGACACGGGCACCCGCATGATCTCGTTGTATGAGTCCTCGAATACTGTGTTGCGCGCAACCTTGATGTGGCATTGGCCAGGCACGGGGCGCATGGCAGCCTGCGACCTGAAGTAGATGTACTTGCGGCGGAAATCGCGCTTGTACTGGGGCACATTCTGGTCGAGGTTGCTTGGCAGGCGAGGGTCTATATGTTTGAGCGTCGAATCAATGACACCAGGATATGAGATCAAGCGAGCGCACAAACGGAAAGAAAAAAAACAAAAACACCGACCGCACAAAAAAATAAGATAAAAAATACGTTTTTATTAGTATCGGCATGATTTGCAAAAACATCAGTGCTGTGACTATTTTTAAACCGTGTTTACATGTTGCTGTCCGGTTTTCATTGCTTCTTAGGGTTTTTTCTCTTAGAAAGCTTCCCTAATTTGTTTCTAGTCAATAATCACCACAAGGAAACACCGCTTGGCAAAGAAAAATAAAAAACAACGCAATAGGCCATCCCCAAAAAAAGCGGGCATAACACATTGACAATTGCTCAACACATGCAAGGGGCAGATATAGCAGCAGGAGCAACAAACATAAATACAGAAGCACAGAAGCAAAAGTTGAAACTTACCGTCCCAAGTGGTTGTTTTCGTGTTGTGGTCAACAAAGTACACGCGTCCCTGAGACGTCAGCCGCATCTCCCAACCTGACGGCAATGGGCCAAGACGCGACGCAGTCTGTCCAGCAATGTTCGACACATTGTTATTGCGGTTCGAGCTAGGGGCCTGGCTGGCGCGCAAGCGAGGGTCGTCCCAGGTCGTTGTACGGCTAATGTGGTTGACAAAGTACGGGCGGTTCTCGGTAGTGTACCGCTGCTCCCATCCGGACGGCAGCGGTCCCAGCGCAGCGCCTGAGCTCAGTACTGAGGTCGAGCCGGCCGCTGCAACAGAGCTTGAACCAGCACCGCTGCCAATACTGGCACTGTGGGACGGCGGCGAAGGACCAGAGGCAGCACTGTGGCCCGGCCTAGGGGTTACATTGGCCATGCCCGCATTGTCGGGCAGCGTGCGATTCATATGCCGCCGGCGCTCCCCCTCAGTGGGCTCGGCAACAGGCACAACACCTGCGGCAGTTGGCCTGACCCAGGTGGTGGTGCGCGAGTTGTGGTCAACAAAATATACCCGGCCCATGACGTCGATGCGCTGCTCCCAGCCCTGCGGAAGAGCGTCCCCAGACTCTGCAGCGTTGTGTGCACTTGGGCCGGCTACTGACCCCGACCCAGCACCAGCTGGGTGGCTGTGTGAGGGTGGCTCGGCTCTGCCTTGTGAGCTGTTCGCGGCTCTGAAACTTGGCGCAGAGTGGTGCGGCGGATGGACGTTGCCGTTGTTGGCGCTGCTACTAGATGTCGAGGCTGCGCCCAGCTGCGGGCCTTCGACGCGAGCGGGCTGCCCGTTCCGAGCGGCCTCCCTATTGCGTTTTTGCCGAGAAAACAGTGTGTTAAACATTGTCAGCAGTTAAATTCCGAATTAAAGACAGGTGAGGTTTTTTTGATGTTTTTACAAGAGGGTGGGAATGAGAGTTTTAAAAATAAAAGTAAAAGAGAGAGAGGGAAGAAAAGAGGGGATAGAGTCTCAAATAGAGTAATACAAAAAAGGTTAAGCCCTTTCTTCCAAATATTTGCTTCTCAGTTCAGCTCGGTCAGTGGCAGCAGTAGTTGTGTGATGGTTTGTGTGTGTGAAAATAAATATTGTGTGGAAAGTACAGGGGCACTCGCTGGGAATAGGCACTCCAGAACGATGCTGGTAATATTAAAACAAGAACGAAAAATAAACAATAAACAATATATGAAAAAAAGTTCTGGACAAGTGAGGCAAAGCAAAGTGAAATGTAAATTCGGAATTTGAAAGAAGAGAAGGGGAGAAAAAAGGAAAGAGGAAAGAGGGGAAAAAAGTCCAATCCAAGGTTTTTTGTCCACAATGCTTGCAAAACAAAGCCTTTGCAGCCCAAAAAGGGAGGATACGCACAAAGAGGCTTGGCCCGGCTTTGCCAGAAAAAAAGTGAAAATGCCAATCGTTCACATCCATTTTCAGACGAAAAATAAATAATTAGGTACTATTTTGATAGCCACAAGACCATTTACTGGCATCAGACAAAAGGTGTGCAAAGGAAGAGATATTAGCAGTGCTGAGGGGCTGGTAAACGGGAGGAACACTTGCTTTGAAATGATATATTATTCAGCAACAAAAGCGATTCGCTACTGATATCAGCGCCTCGCATTTACCATACATGCTTCATTAACAAAGCAGACACACTGTCAAATATACATATATTCACTCGATAGACTTACCCTGCTGGAAATACAGGCTGGTTGACGGGCACGTTGAACTGTAGAATCAGGCGGCCCTGCACCGGTTCATTGTGGTTCGAGTTATTGAGATCCTGTGTGACCATGGCTACACACAAGCAAAAAAGTAAGGACAAGAGTGATAGGCCAATTAGTAATGCGGCGGACGATATAGCGCAATTAACAATACAGGCGCTTTAAATGGCCATGCTGTGCACAAAACAACAGACTGACTCGTACCTTCTCCGCCAACTTCAACGTCAATGTGCTGGCTGATTTGCACATTGATGACGCCCAGAAACCCCTGCCCCTGCTTCTTGAACTTTCGCTGGTCAAAACCTGCACTGTGATGACGCTGGTTGGCTTGACCCGCACTTCAAACGTTTCGTTCCAGTACGGGGATAGCGTGCGCTTGAGCGCCTTTGTTGTTAGTGTCTGTGCCCCATCAACCGTCAAAACAACAAACGGATCCGGAAGTCCTAATGCAAGCCAAAGCAAAAAAATAAAGCGAATGTTGAAACAGGTACAAGTATTATTAGAATGTGCAAAATTGTGGACTTGTACTTTGTGTACTGCGCAAAAAACAATACAATGCACGAAGCCAAATTAATAATAAAAGAATAATGGAAGAATCGACTTTGATTCCCACAGCTCATGTGGGGACAGCTGTCAGTCAATTGAGTTTTTGGTGTATGTGGTGTATTGTCTCTTGTCACTTACGGAAAAGCTCGCGCTTGTAGAGGTTGTCTGCGGCAAGCACTACACCAGTACAAAGTTTAAAACAAAATGACATTGACTCACGCACACATCAATATTGTTTAGTTAGTTGCGACTATTCTCAGCACTGCGCCAAATGAGATTTTTTCATTACCACTCTGGTCTACTTTGTGCCGTTATAAAAACAATCCCACCATCCAAAGATCGTTCTTCTGCCCTTTGCGCCAACTGCTCGCGAGACTTTACCTGTTACCTTGAGAGTCCTACAGAAATCCATGAGCGACATGCATGTGCATGTATGCAAAACAGTTGTCTTTTAGTTTAAGAAAAACTTTGCGTGCAATGTTGAGTGCTAAGTGTGAAGTAACATGCCCAATGTCTACAAGCATGACGTGTCCAAGAAGTACGCTGTTATGCACATTGTGGTGTCGAAACAAAAAAAGTAACACGCTTGTCTGCCACCTCCTCCAGCTCTCAAGTTCAAGTTCAGGCTTAAGCTCATTGCTTGCATTGTGTGAATTGGCGGTGCCGTACCTCGTCCCGTCGGCCATTGCACAGATTGTAGCCTAGTGTTTGTGCGCGCACTGGAATTCGAACGAAATAAAGGGGGTTAAGCGAAAATGAGAACCGTTACCCTGTTGCCACAAAATAACGAGACAGAGCGATAAGGAATAAGAAATATTAAATTCGAATAAACCAATAAATAAAAAAGCGCAGCTATGAAGAAAAAGAATATAAAGACGAAAAAGATGCGGATAATTTGAACAATCCTGGACAAACCGGAAAAATGGAGGGGGGTGGATGAGATTAAGTTGAGAAAATCGGCCCCAAACCTGATGGAAAAAAATTGTAAAATGTTTATTTTATTCAACACACGTCACTGTTTATACACCAAGCCCAGCCCCCCACCACACCCCTTGACCCTGTCGCTTTTTCAAAAGACCAATTATTTAACTCTTTCCTTCTTAAAATTAATAAAAAATATATCACATAATTAATAATTGAAAAAGACCGGCATTCCGGCCTAGCCTGTTCGTGACAAGACCACATTTTTAATAAGGTTTGGGCCATAAAAAAATCAAAAAAATTCAGTTTTTCTGCAACGCTAGCAGATCTTCAATGTTCTTGCGTCCTTGATCAAAGCCCGACTGGTACCCGTCCCTGAATCCAGCGTCAAACCCGATGGCAGCCGGGTTTGCATTCTTCTTCTCAGCCAAAGAAATATCATTCGAGTCTGTGTTCTGAGACTTTGTGCCATCTGTGCTGTCGCTGAGATACCGCTGCCCTGCTGTCAGAAATAACCTACATTCCTTCGTGTGCCTGCATGTCAAAGCACTCGCAGAAAATACTTTAACCGTGCGCAGTCTTGCTGCTAAAATCATTATTTTTTGTTGTTGACAAAAGTACAAGTGAGAACAAGTGAATGTATAATATTTTAGAATCGATCGTGAGTGTTTGCAAAAAAATACTTTTTTCAAAGTTTTCTGGCCAACCAAAAACAACCAAGTTATGGACTAGTTGCGCATGCAATATGAAACAAGAAAAAACTTTTTTTTAAAAAGGATGTAGTCCTTAGTATTTATTGGTTCTCGCTTTATACTACAAAACACAGCACAAAATTGTTTTATGCCTTGTTAGCCATAGCGTCTGAGAACCCCTGGCGATAACCCTCAGAGAACCCCTTACTGAACCCATTAACATCACCAGAATTACTGCCAACACGTGCACCATTAGGAGTATTAGGACCAGGAGCACCACGTCTGCTCCTATGCTTCGCATAGCCCACGACAACCGTCTGCCCATCAATAACCTGATCCTGGCGCTCCTCCACTGCCTTTGTGATCGCCGCCTGAACAGAGGCAGTCTCCTCCTGAGTGGGCTCAGCCTCCATCATATAGTACGACTGGCCGTTCACCTGAGGTGCTTCACCGGATGTAAAGTAAATGTGCGCGTACCTGTAACCCTTAACGCCCTCGTTCATCCGGACACCACCAATGTGGCCGTAGGAGCCGAAGATCTCCCGGAGGGTCTCAGGCGTGGTCTTCTCGCTGAGATTACCAATGTAAATTGGAACGGACGCAAAATTGCGCACGCTAAGAGTACGTCCGGTGCGGAGAACCTGCTTTGAAAGTGCAAACATGTTTTTTTATATAAAGTTAAAACTAGATTTGACTCGAAATTAATATTTTAAAGTCGGAAAAAGAAGAGGAAAAAAAAAAGCTCAAGAAAAAATAACATGCGTGTAAATGTGATAAATTGTGACACCGCATTGTTTCTGATATCGCTGCCAATTTCTAATCTTGCCCAAAATCAGTTAATCATTTCATTTTCACATCTTTGAAGTTTGTCATACTTTTTATTTTGCTGGCAGTAAATTTCTAACAAGCAAACAAAAAAATAAACAAACACTCATTACTGCTAAAAGTACCTTTTCTTATTTACTTTTCTTTGTCTTGAACAATGCAAACTAAATGGATATATTGGATAAAACAAGACAGATAAAAAAGATGATATTTTGTGGTCTTTTGCTATTAAGGATAGGGCTGGCCATGAGGATGGTGAGGCTGCTGCATATGGTGCTGTGCATGGGGGTTAATGTCATGCTGCTGGAGCTGCTGAAGGTGTTGCTGCTGTTGCTGAAGCTGGAGTTGTTGGAGCTGCTGCCTCTGCTGCAATTGCTGTTGCTGCAATTGCTGGTGCTGAAGGTGCTGCTGTTGCTGCTGGAGACGCAAGTACTGCTGCTGTTGCTGCTGCTGGTGTTGCTGCTGCTGCTGCTGTATATGCATCTGCTGGAGTTGCTGCTCTTGCATCTGCACAGATAAATGCAAGGGATGGTGGACCTGCGGCGGCCAGAGGTCCTGGAAATAAGGGTGCGTCAGGCACTTGCTGGCCTCCCACCTCAAATCGGGATCATACACCAGCAGTTTCTTCAGCAGGTCAATCGCATACGGGTCCATCTGGGGCAGGTGCTGCTCGAGTCTCTGGGGTGGATACATCGGCAGATTGTTTTTCCAATTAGGCAGCCGCGATACCGATGGCCATGTGGCCTCGGACGGCGTCCCCATGATGCGGAATATCTTGACCAGCTGGTCATCATTGCTCGACCCGGCGAACAGCGGCCGACCAGTAAACATCTCGGCCATGATGCACCCAGCCGACCAAATATCAATCGTATTGCTGTAGTTGCGCGATCCCAGAAGAACATCTGGTGCCCGATACCAAAGCGTAACGACCTCGTTGGAAAACGTATTGACCGGGATACCCACCGCGCGAGCAAGCCCAAAGTCACCCAACTTCAACTGATTGCGTGAGTTAATCAGCAGGTTTTGAGGCTTAAGGTCGCGGTGCAAAACGCGCATCTCATGGCAATACTTGATTCCCTTGAGCAACTGGTACATCAGAACCTTTATAGTCTGCGGCGGCAGCGCTCCGTGGTTACCGACTGCGTCCATGTAGCGCTTTAGGTCCTTGTCCATAAACTCAAACACTAGCATTAGCTTGGTCTCTGTGTGCACGACGTCAAGGAGCTTGACGACATTCTCATGGTCGAGCTCCTTCATCAGAGATATTTCGCGGATGGCTGTCGAGGGTGCGCCCTCCTCAGGATCCAGATGGATCTCCTTGAGCGCTACAATCTCGCCCTTGGGCGACCTGCCCTTGTACACTGTGGCATACGTGCCCTCACCGAGGTGCTCCAACCGCTGGTAATTTCCTTCCATATGCATGTTGCTTATTCTGTTTTATTTGGTCCTTTGAAGGGGAAGAGGAAGAGGAAGAGGTTGCAACCGAAAATGCGTGCTATGTTTGTTGCTAATGAAATAGAGAGATGCCAATTTGGTGTAGTGCAGATGAGAATAAATGTAAAGAAAAGGTGGAATAATCAAATAATAATAAAGAGGGCTTGAGAAATAAAAAGAAAAGGAGAGAAAGAAAGAGGGAAGAAAAAATAAAGACAGCACGCTGCTTTTACTCTATTTTTTTTATTTGCACGCGGAACCTGAAAAAAGGGAGATGGACAAAAAGCAAAATCGCGCAGTCGTCCTGTTTTTTTTTATTGGCATTCATATTTCATTTTTTCTTTTCATCAAGAGACCACCCATTTTCTGTAAATATCATGCGCGATAAAGAAAAGTTATGTGTGCGAGACAATATTAGAAAAATGTATAAATTATGCGCAGCGCAAACAACAAAACAAGAAAAGAAAAATATGCTTCACATCTACACTGAAGAAACAATAGTGTCAGCCTTCTTCAATGCATCAATCATCTTCTTGCACTCATTACGGCGAGCAACCGTCGACTCGCTCTCCTTGAGCAAATCCGCGAGTGCCTCAGGGTTATACAGCTCCTTGAGCAACTCACGCTGCAGGCCCTCCTTGGCAAAGGCAACAAGCTTAAGCATAATGGATTTAGGCACCATGTCGATTGTCGTGCGCTTGACAATGTTAAAGTATGACTGGATCAAGAGCTTGATGACCTCTGTCTCCTGCTGCTCGCGCTCAGACAAAGTGCCCGAGGCCTTGAGAACCTGCGGCGGTGACTCCATCATTGGCTGCCTCTTCTTCTTGTTCTGCCAGAACGACCCGAAGAACCCACCATCCTTGGGCACATTCATCTCATCATCCAAGCTGCGCTCGTTGATGGACACGGACTGCCGCCCGGTGGCCGGCGCACCCGGCTGCACGGGCTTGGGCGGGTGCATACGGTCATTGACAATGGCGATGGCGCGCTGGCCGCTGATAAAGTCGGGGTGCGCCGTGTTGATGTAGCACTGCTCCATGGCGACAAGGTCCTGCACAAGCCTGTTGGTCGGCAGCATGGCGTTCTTGAGGAATGTAATAACGACAGTATTGAACTGGTCGCGCAGCTGGGGGAAGCGCTTAAAATTGGGCTTCATCAGCAGCTGGTTGACAATGCGCACGAGCTCGTCGTAGGTCATCGACACACACTTGAGGCAGGGGTCCTCGAGCCGCCTGATCTGCTTCTTGACAATAACCTCAAACGCGCTGGTAGCGACAAACAGCGAGGGCGACGATCCCGATGAGTTGTACAGGATTGTCCGAATATCTCCGTCCTTGACGTGCTCCAACGGGTCGATGGACTTGACACCGTTGCAGAAGATCTCGTGGAACACAAAGCTGATACGCGCGCCGCCGCTCAGCTCATACGTCGAGAGGTCCGTCGACTGGCCCTCGAGTGCGCTGCGGAAATCAGTGCAGAACTCGGTGATGATACTCAGCGTCGTGTTGGCTGCCTGGCCGGCGGCATCTGTCAGTGGGTCGCCGAGCTGCTCGAGCTCGCTGCAGTACTTGGCCAACGCTGCTGAGATCTTGGACTTGATCTCGGGAAGCGTGATTTTAATGTGGTGCATCAGCAGGAGATTCAGCTTGCGCGCGAGGAACGGCGTCCCGCAGTACTGCGACTTGCTCTGGTACGAGCTGTGTCTCTCGAAAAAGTTGCGCTCATTCTCGAGCGCCGACTGGATAGTGCGCTTGGTCTGAATGTCCTTCTGGCCGCGGTTGACGACGGGAACGTAGCCCAGACGCAGCGGGATGACGCGGCCGGCCAGAATATCAATGACATCTGTGCCGCTGTCCATGAGGTCCACCTTGGTAAGAACGCCGATGGTCCGTGTGCCGTCGGGGTCGACCTCGCGGGCCATCTTCAGGCCGTCAGAGTTGGCCAGATCGGTGTTGGCGCCGGTGACCGCCAGAATGATGGCGTTGGGCTTGGTGATGTATGTCAAAATCATGTCGCGAATCTGGCGCTCAATGTCCTTGGGCTGGTCGCCAACGGGGACCTTGGTCAAGCCGGGGAGATCCACCAGCGTGAGTGTCAGCACATTGGGCGAGAACACGCGCAGGTTGATCGGGACAGGGGAAATGCCGAGATTCTTTCCAGTCTTTCTCTCGGTGTCGTTGACAATCTCGTCGCGGATCTCGTCAAAGTTGTAAAACTTCTTGCCAGGCAGATGCAAAAACTCGCCCCACTCGTTCGGGTTCTCCTCGCCCTTGCTCTCCTCGTCCTCTCCCTCTTTCTTCTCGACAACCACTGTCGCCGGACGGTTAATAAGCTGGAGAACGAGCGGGCGGCGGGTCACAATGCCCGTACCGCGTGGCAAAAAGTCGCGGCCAACAATGTTTTCGAGCACCGAACTCTTTCCGCTGCTCTGGCTACATGGCGGTGCTTTAAATGCAGGGTACAAAAGAAGAACTAATTTGTTAGAAGCTACTCTCTGACTTTTGCATAAACTCAAACAGTGCCTCATTCAACTTTGCATAAAAAGAAATAAAAACGGAATAAAAAACGTACCTTCCAATTACGACAATCTGCGGAAGGTCGACTGGGTTGTGCACGCCGACCGTCGAGAAGGCGTCCTGCAGTTTGTTCACGGTCTTGATAAGTTGCTCATCCATGGTTCAAATGGCGGTAAATGTAGTTGTGTACTTGTCAAATAAAACAAAGAGAGTAGGTTAACTTTGATGCTCGCGGAGCTGAAAATGTGTGGAAAAAATAATATTAAAAAAACGAAATGCAGTTTTGAAAGAGTGCGAGGGTAAGGAAAAGAGAGAGAGCGCGCACGCAATAGATGGGGGAGGGGAGGAAAAGCGGGCAAAAATATTATACGCTTCGTTTTTCTCTGCAATGTTCGTCGCTCGCATCTTCCCTTTACAATCGCACATCGGCGCGTCACATGCGCTTTGCCTTCTCGCACGACGTCACGTTGCCGGCTTGCCGCCACCCCAAAAGGCCCCATCACCGCACTCTCCCTGCCTCTCGCCCACCCCCCAAAGGCGCCCTTGCGCCGAGATATCGCTCGTACGGCGCCGAGAATGTGTCAAAGTTCAACAGGCCACAAAGCCTTAAAGAACACACAAAACCGCAGCTTGGTCTTTCTGCCAAGACCTTTTTTATAAAAATAATTACAAGCGATAGTGTAAAAATACACTAACTAAAAATAATTTTTTTTCAGACCTTGCGGTATTGCGCGACACGGATAGTGCCGTCCTCACTCGCAGACAGCGACCGCTCGGCGGCAAAATCAATGCATGAAATCAAATCCTTGTGCCGCCGTGTGGCATCAGTGAGCACAGCCGAATCAACATTGAACACGAGGCATTGTTCGCGAGGAGCAACGACAATGTTCTCTCTATCAGGCGTAAAAACCACACGGTCACAGTCCAAGCGCGAGTCGGCAGCAGCAGCAGCAGCAGCTCCGCCCTCAGAGCCCGCAGCAATGCCCAGACTGGACTCGGCGAGCATCTGGTTATTCTTCCGCAGCGACCACTGCGTCAGCCTGCCCTCCTCGGTGACCGCCATTAGTGAGTCCTCGTTGAGGCTGAACTCGATTGCGCACAGGTCCTTGCGCTTGGTGTCCAGCTTGGCAACCGTCTCCATGCTCCGCGTGTCCAGTACGCGCACATGGCCGGTGTTGTACGCCAGCGCAGCCAGGTACCCGTTGTGATTGAGCGCCGCGCTGATTCCCTGCGAGTCCACACCGCCGCTGAGTCTTTTGGTGCCCAGGGTTTTGCTGGAGCTTGCGTCCCAGATCTGCAGCAGCACGTCCGATGTGCCCTCAGGCTTGGCCGAGTTGACCGTCAGCAGCGCCGAGCTGACCGAGCTCGCCAGCATAGCCTGGATCCACGGGTGCTTCTTCTCGAATACCAGCTGGCGGCTCATCAGGTTTGTGTTGGTGTTGAGCGTGTGGATGTAGCCGTCCTCGTCGTACAGATACAGTAGGTGCGCATGCTTCTTGTCCCATGCCATCGCGTTGACGGTAAAGTTCAGCTCGTTTTTCAGTCTGGCTGCCGCAGACAAAGGCTCGGGCGACCAGACCTTCAGTATGGATTCGTCGTCGTAGCTGGCAATGAGATCGCCAGTCACCGAAAACTTGGCCAGGCTGATCCCAGAATTGTGCTCAAGGAAAATGTCCTCGCGGCTGATCTTGAGCAAACTGACCGGCTCGTTCGTCTGGATAATGCCGATGGGCTGGCCAATGTCCAAAGACTCCCTGGGGACAACCACAGTTTCTGCAGCCTGCATGACAGGGCTTTTGACCATATCCACGCTGCCAATGTGGTCCTCGACAAGCCCCGAGCCGCTAGCTATGTGCTCGAGCGACTTTATCCTGGTCTCGCCGTTAAGCTGGTCCTCGTAGAGTTTTATCCTGCGCTGCAGCACCTCTCTTTCCCTGCGCTCCCTGTCAAACAGCATAATGCGCGGCACTGCCATTGCCGGAAACACGGTTTGCACAAAGTCAACCAGCGCGGTGCGCAGACTTGTATACCAGTCAGGGCTGAAGTACGCCTCGAACTCGGGTCGGCCCATCGGCTTCTCCACATACTCAAGCCCCAGCCACGGAATCCAATCCCCGCCCTGCTGCCCGAGCACATGCCCGTGCACATCCATGAACTCGCGGATCCGCCGCCGCTTGTCTGCATTGACGGCCGAAACCAGGAACAGCCGAATCAGCCGCTTTTCAAACATCCTCGTTGTGCGGTGGTACTTTGGGCTGAGGTGCGAAAAGAACCGTAAGGTGAGGTACTCCCAATATGAAAGGAGCTCTTCGACTTTGAGCTCTGTGGCCATTGTCAGTAGGTCGTCGACAATTTTGTCCGCCTTAAAGCCCTTGTCCTGGTCGCGCGCTAGGTCCTCCTCCAGTGTCTTTAGCGTGCTTTTGAAGCCGCGAAACAAGAGGTACTCGCGAATGAGGTCGTCTATGTGCTCTATAGACTCGATACCGGCCTTTGCTGACTGCACGTAGTCGGCCACGCTTGGCGATAGTGGCGCCATTCTCGGAGAGTTAATGCAGAAATAATATTATTAAAGTAAATGTAAGAGAGTATATGCTTGTAATGTACACAGGAATTCAAAGCTGGAAAAATGACCAAAGAAAGAAGAGAGACGCATAGCCGTCGCAGGAGAAGAGCAGCATCCAAACCCCGATGTTTCGCTGGAACCGCGTATTATTTTGAATAGGGAGGAAAAAAGCTCCGCCGGGAAAGGCACGTGAACCTCGGCAACTATGCCACGTCAAGCCGTGTCAAGCCGGGAGAAAAGCGCCATTGCCAAACAAACGCATTCGGACATTGAAGCAGAAAAAGAAACATTGTGTATGGAGTATGGAAAAAGAAGTCAAGGAAACTCTAAAAGAAATATGTACTAAAGCTCGATGTGCCTGGTCTCCTTGGGCGTGAATCCGACGGCGTGCGACGGCGCCTCAAAGTAGACAGGCTTCTCATCAGCGGCACCCTCAGCGACAATCTCGGCATGGTCATCGGAGTGCACGGCGTGGTCCTTGATGAACGCAACAAACGACTTGTGCGTGCGGTTGCCCTTGTACCGAACAATACGGTTGTCGCCGGCGCGCACAAGAACAATAGTCGGGAAGCCTGGGAACTGAAGACCAGGGTCGGACGAAGGGATGTCATTCTCTGTAGCATCCATCTTGGCAATGACCATGTTCTTGTTCTCCTTGAACGTCTCGCCCAGCTCAGTGTACGCCTCAGCCATGCGCTTGCAGTAGATGCACCAAGGCGCGTAGAACTCGATCAGCACGTCCTTGCTCTTGTCAAAGACCACCTCTTTGAACTTTGACGCGACGAGGTTGTACACGCCATCGTCGTTGGGCCCAAAGATGACCTGCGTCTTGTAATCGGGCTCAAGCTTGTCGTTGAAAAAGTCCGCGACAAAGTCACCAACAGTGTCCTTGGTCAGCGGCTTGTCCTGTGGGTGAATGTACTTGAACTGCTTGTTAATGTCCTGGATGGCAAATGCCGGCCACTTCTCCTTGAGGTTGATGCTCTTTGCATGCTTGCGGTAGACATTGGCGTCGACCAGGGCCATGCTGACCCACCGCCTGTACCTGGTAGCCAGAGAAAGCAGCTCGCTCTCCAGCTCCTTCCGCGACTCAGCGCTGTCGTAGAACACCAGCCCAATGGGGATTCCAGCGCGCACATAGGTTACAAAGGTCTGCGCCGAAAGCTCTCCCATGAGCGGCACCGAGCTGGACCGCACGCTAGCCCGGAGCAGGCTCACGTTGGTGGTCGCCTCGAATTCATCCTTGCGCGTGTCAAAGTCTTTGTAGATGGCCAGGCCAGGGAAAGCCACGCCCTGCTTGGTAGCCAGAGTCTTGTCAGTCGTGTACCCAAACGTGTACTCGTCCCGGAGCTCATTGGCGACTGTCTTGAGCGTCTCCAGCTCAGCCGACTTTTCGGCAAAGAATCCCACGACGACAATGTGGCCGCTGCCGGTGAACTTGTCAAAGGTCTTGGACGTCACCTCTTCCACAGCAGGCAACTTGCGCTTGCGCATGTACTCAACTATCGAGTTCTGCTGCCGTGTGCCGTTGTAGGCGGCAAATACGCCATTTTCAATCACTTTGAGGGTCGGGTATCCCTCGATGTTATGTATGTCGCAGATCTCCGACTCTTTGGTGCAGTCCACTTTGGCCAGAGCTACCCCATCGTCCTTTAGCTCTGCGGCCGCGCTCTCATAGCCCGGAGCCATCGCCTGGCAGTAGCTGCACCATGGGGCGTAGAACTCCACGAGCGCCAAACCCCGCGTTGCTGTCCAGGCCTTGTAGTTCTTGCTGTTAAGATTGATGACTGCAGCCTGGGCGGTCTTGGCGGCGTCGGCGGCGGAAACAATGGCAGCGAGACCGGTGAAAGCCAGCGTGACCGCGGTCATGGTCCGCACTACGCGCAGTGAGTCAAGCTTCATAAAAGTGTATCGGTAACGTTTGTGCTATGGAAGTATGTTTTTTTATTTGAGTGAATGACAAAGTGATAATAAAACAAGAAAAATATACAACAGAAAAATATATAGATAAATTGAATAGAAAATGGAGAAACAAAAGTTGAGCAAAACATGCAGTCCGTATTCTGAGACCACAAACAATAAAAACTCGACTGATGGAAAGCGCCCCAGCCAACGTGCGGTGGCAAATATTTTAAAAAGGGGATACCAAAAAGAGATGCAACGTGATAAATTTAAAAAAGAGAAAAGGGATGCAGTGTGCTTATTCTAAAAAATAAAAAGATGGAAATTTCTTTATTACACCCCTTTATAAGGACAACATATATATGGTACATCCTGGCTACCATCTAGGCGTAGCTATGTCCGCACCGAGGTCTTACTCAAACCACATGCAGGGACTACAAAAACTAAAGTAGCTGACGTAGCCCCCCGAAACCAATCTGACTTTATTGTGTTGGATTTGTCCCTCTACCCTCTATGAGCCCTGCCTTTTTTATCTTGCCGCAGCTCCAGTCTCTGACCAGCTTGTGACACGGCTTTGTGAACTCTGCAGCCTGTCCCTGCACGGCCTGTGGCCACTTGAGCATATCCCACTTATGCACTCTAATAGCGGCTGCTCCATCCTCATGCACTGCCATTGAGTTGCAGGTTATATTCGCAATGCCTCCTCCTTCGCAACCTGCGCCGATGTTATCCAGACCTGGGTCCAATTGCCTGGCGGTGGAGGTTTGTCCGCCAGGGTGTCAGTAGTATTAAACTCGAACACTCGATCTGCCAGCTAGAGCGTCAACCGTGTTCAAGATAGCTGATGTTCGGAGTGGACTCCAAACAAAAAGATGTTTTGTTCCAAAACCCTAAATAAAATGAATACCTTAATTATTTGGCCAAATTAAAAAAGTTAAGCATAAAGAAAAAGAGTGGCAAGTGCCTGCTTTGTGCTATCGAAAAGCACCCGGCCTGGGAACACAAACACGTGCCCTAATGGAAAACAGCGTCGTCACTCGCTCAACAGTCGCATCAGCACGTCGTGGTTCATTACTGGCGGAAGCTTGCGACCGGAATCATCCTTGACCGATACAATCTTCCCCAGCACATTGAATTCAACCAAAATGCGCCTTCCCGACATTGCGCCCACGCTCTCGCCAAGCGTCAGCATAAGCACGTTATTCTCAACCTTAGCGCCAACAACCGGCGCAATGCTGCGAAGCCAGCGCTCCACGAGCCTCTGCTGCTCCTGTTTGTCCGCGTCGTTCATTTGGCGCTTCTTCTCGTCACTCTGCAGCCGCTGCAGCCGGTCCTCCAGCCGGCTCCGCTCGCGGTCCATTTCGTCCCGCATGGCGGTCTCGCGCACCAGGTCGTTGTGCGCAGCTTGGAGCTCGCGCGTCTGCTGCTCGACTATGCTCTTTTCGCGCGCTTCTTTCTCTTCAAGCTCTGTGGTTAGCGTGTCGAGCTCAGCTTCGAGTTTTGTAATGCTGTCGATTAGTTCTTCGTTTTCGCTTGATAGGTCGGTTGCTTGCTGATACTCCCGGGCCTCAGCGTCGATCTTCTCATTGGCCTGCCGGACCTTTTCGCTCAGCCGCAGCTGTACCTGCTTAACCAAGCGCTCCTCTTCAACAACAGTCATCTCTACTTATAAAAACCAAGCAATAAAAATAGAAACAATTGGCAAAAAAAGTGGAAATGTATTAGTGGCCAGTATTCTGGAACAGCTTGCATCCAAAAAAACTGATCCGTTGTTATTACCGAATAAACTTACCAAACTTTTTGAGCTCGCTCTGGTCAGGGATAAACGCAGCTCCGCTGATGCGTTCGGCAAACATCTCGCGCGCCCGATATGCAGTAATGGCCTCGCGGTTCTGAGCGTATATCTCACTATAGTAATCAATGTATGCGTGGATGTTTGCCGGGAACCGCTCAACGTCTGTTGGTAGGTCTCTGGCGCAGGCCTTTACGTGTTCGAGGTACTGACTTTTAAGGTCGTTTATCCATAGCTTGCTTGTGAGCAACTCGTCACGCTGGCTATAAGGTTTTTTTTGCAGTGAGTAATTCGTTGAAATTAAAAATTAGTAAAGTATGGCAATTGGTGCGCTGTACTACTGTATCTATTCAAAAGAGGGGGAAATGCGGACGAGCCTTACTTTGCGCATTCTTCAAAGTCGGCCATTATTTTAAATATTAATTGCTAAGCGTATAAATTAGGTTGATTGAAAGTACAAAATGAAAGAAAGAGAAATATGACAATGAGCGAAAAGGAAGAAAAAAATAAAACCAAAGGGTGCAAGTTTTAACAAAACCTGATTTCCAAAATAATAATAAAAACTGTGTACCAAAACACTCTGCAGCCAATCAAAACACAAGCAACTCGCCGCCACTGGTCCATCCGCGCGCTTATTGTCCTGCGACGCCAATTCCGCGGGTTGTCGAGAGGATTGAAGTATTGTACGAGCGGCAAAGGCTGCATTTGTGGTATACAAAATGGTACTGAGCAACGGATCTCTGGCGGCAGTCGTTGCAGTGAATCTGCGACTTCATATCTTTGTACTCCCGCGGCATGGTGCACGCCTTCATATAGTCCTCGATGGACTTGAAAAACAACCTAGTGTCGCATATCGAGGCCGAGCATATGGGGCACTTGAACGAGTGCTCGGAATACTTTTGCAAGCATTCCTCGTGCATCATGTGTTGGCACTTTGTCTGCACAATCGCCTTGTTCGAGCCAAATATATGCTCGCCGCAGACAGGGCAGTCGCAGTGCAGCTTCTTCTCTGCGCACCCGTGATTGCTTCGTGCTTCGACAGCAACACATGCTTCGCAGATATGGCAGTGGTAGAACTTTGATTTTTCGCCGCTCAGGCATATCCCACACTGGTCACAGTGAAATATGCTCTTTCCGGGGCCGTCGTCGATGAGCCGGCATTTGTGGCAATAGTAGCAGCCCATTTGCTGTTTGCACTTCCGACAGTCCTGCGCAATCGGCTGCTCCTCCTGGCACAGCATGCATTTCATTTCATTAACCGAGAATCTGTCCATCGCATGGCTGTTAACTTCGTCGTGGCAGAAGCGACAGGACACCCAGGAGTCGCAGCACGGCGCAAGCAGCTTTGCCTTGAGCTGGTAGTGGGAGCAGCCAAGGATTGTCTGTGCTTTATCGTTGAATGACACTCTGGCCATTCGCCGGGTTATTTTGTCAACCGTATCATCTTTGGCCGAGGGCTTTCTCGGGCTCATTAGCGACTATGAAAATGGTGTAGGGCTGTAAAATATTAATATTGTGATGCAATCTCTTTTGTCGTTTGTGTTGAGGATATTGGTGTTATGTTGACTTACTTGTATTCTCTTTGCTTTCTCAGACTCTGAAAGCGCTGAATCGCCATAAATTGCCTTGATTTTAGTCCGTAGCATCGATTGCTGGGCTTCTATGGCAGTTTGCGACACCATTTTTGGCTGATATTTGAAGTATGTTGGTACTATGTATAGAGTGGTTGGCAGTCAGTTTAATAATAATAAAAATTGGTTAAAAGACGTGTTTGGAAAGTCTGTGAGAAAATGGAAATAAACGGCGAGATGTAAAATTTCCTATATGTTACGCACAGAGATTGATTCTTTCCGCCCCTGACTTTCAGTTGCTGTTGAAAAGACGTTGCTGTTTTTGCCCTGTGCAGCGCGTCACATGCGCTTCTGTCATTTATCATAAGGTCTGTATACTTTATATTTCCTCTCCAATAGTCATCCGCATAATGCAAATATATGTGACGATCTCTGCCTAGCTGATGCTCCTGTGACCGGATTTACCTTCTTGTTCTCCAGGTCTCCGTCTCTCAGGGAAATAAAATCAGGCAGCCGCATAAGCGTGTGACAGCTTTGTTTGGTACGCAAAGGAAAATAGAAACTTTTTTCTTATTTTCTATATGTATACGGTGGAACTGCACCCACAGGACCTGAATTGATTATGATCAGCGAATTATTATCGGACATAAAAAAATGCATATGTGGCTCGCATCGCCTTTGATCAAACCGAAGCCAATTCCAGATTCTCGGAAACCTAGTCCTATCTGGCTGGTATTAAGACCAAGTTTTTTCCATTTCGATGTGTAATCTGATTTCATTCAGCGATTCTGGTGGTGAGGCGCGTGTACTTTGATTTTATTTTATTTGATCGGAAAATCTTGCATTGTTACTGCTAGTGACCGCAGAAAATCAAATTATCACCGGCGTGTGCACCTCTCCCAAAGCAGCAGGATTAGGCGTGCACTCGCAGTAAGTTTAGGGGGCGGAGGTGCGATACGGAAATTATGTAGGCGTGCCGAAGCCTTTGAAAGCCTCGACTGCTCAAAAAGGTCGAGACATTTTTCTTTTTTCTTTATCAATTGCTGCTCTGTTGCTCCTGTTGCTCCTTTTCCCCTTGTTTTTCATTTTATAATTCATTCAGTCGACAACAAATACACTCTTTTTTCTTACCAAAAAGCTCTCTGAACAACCTTATTATTTTTCATTCTTGCTAATATGTCCAAATCGTCCAAATCGTCCACCACGTCGTTCTCCACAATGAACTACGGTATTGATCGCGCTGCCAAGAACGACATACCGAGCACAATAGTGGTATTTGGTGCCTCAGGAGACCTGGCCAAGAAGAAGACATTCCCCGCGCTGTTCCACCTCTTCGGCCAGAACCTGCTCCCTAAGCGCATGCGCATCATTGGCTACGCGCGCACGGAAATGTCCGAGGAGGAGTTCCGCAAGCGTATAACCTCCAAATTTGCACCCGAGGCCGACAAGGATCTTGTGAAAAAGTTCCTTGACCTGTGCGAATACGTCAGCGGCAAATACGATGTCGATGCAGACTTTCAGAACCTTCGCAAGGAGATTGACCGGCTGGAGAAGGATGCTGGCATTGGTACGGATGCCGAGCGCATCCATGTGTATTACATGGCCCTGCCGCCGTCGGTGTTTGTTAGCGTCGCGACCCAAATCAAGAAGAACGTCTATGACGAGAGCTGTATCAACCGCCTGGTCATTGAGAAGCCCTTTGGCCATGATCTAGAGTCCAGCCGGAAGCTCAGCAAGGATATTGGTGCGCTGTTCGACGAGGTCGAGGTGTTCCGCATTGACCACTATTTAGGCAAGGAGATGGTGAAGAACATCCTTTCTCTACGCTTTGCCAATGTGTTCTACGAGGCCGTGTGGAACCGCCATTTTATCTCCAACATCCAGATCACTTTCAAGGAGCCTTTTGGCACGGAGGGCCGCGGCGGTTACTTTGACGAGTTTGGCATCATCCGCGATGTCATGCAGAACCATCTGCTGCAGGTCCTGAGCATTGTTGCCATGAATCAGCCCAAGTCGCTGGATCCCGAGGACATCCGCGATTGCAAGACCGAGGTGCTGCGCAACATCAAGCCGATCAAACTTGAGGACACGCTGCTCGGTCAGTACGTTGCTTCGGCCGACGGGAGCAAGCCCGGGTACTTGGATGACGATACTGTGCCTAAAGGCTCAACCACTCCCACATTTGCGCAGTGCGTCCTGGAGGTCAACAACGACCGGTGGCACGGCGTCCCCTGGATCATCAAGGCCGGCAAGGCGCTTAACGAAGCGCGCATGCTGATCCGTATCCAGTTCAAGGACATGCCCAACTCGCTGTTCCCCAATCTGGCCCGCAACGAATTGGTTATTCAGGTCAGCCCCAAGGAATCGGTCTACATCAAGACCATCGTCAAGGAACCTGGGCTCTCCACCAACTTGGCCATGTCCGAGCTCGATCTCACATACAAGACCCGCTACCATGACATCAAGATTCCAGACGCCTACGCCACGCTGATACTGGACGTGCTGAACGGTGATTACTCTAACTTTGTGCGCAGTGATGAGCTCGACGAGGCGTGGCGTATTTTCACCCCGCTGCTGCACCAGATTGAGAAAGAACATGTTAAGCCAAAGCCCTATGAGTACGGCTCGCGCGGACCCGAGGGCATGTACGAGTTTGTCGAAGAGCGCACAGGCTACAAGAGGGCTGGCCTGGAGTACCACTGGGAGGCACCAGAGTGAGGAATACCTTTTTTGTCTTATTTTTATTTTGCGCCTTTCGTTTGTAAAAATTTCAATTTTATTGTTTCAAAAAATGCGCGCCTTGCCTGTATGTGTAAGCCCAAAGATATTATTAAATCTACAATCCAGGAAACAGCTTTGCCTGCTCACGCACCTTTTCCTCGTAGGCCTTCATGTTGTTTCTGAACATCTGATAGGCTTCGGTCTGCGCAGGATCGCTGTTATTGGGCTCGTTTAGCAGGCTCTGGACACCGAGCAGAATCTAAGATTATGATGAATAAAAATATTTAATTAGCAAAACAAATATGAAAAATAAATAATTCAAGTGTTTGTTGCAAGTCAATAAATAAAAAACTTACCTGCTTGACGGTGATGGATGGCTTCCAGTCTTTTTCAGCATTTAGAATGGACAAACACACTGTGCCTGACGGGAACACATTGGGATGGAACAGTGCTGGAGTGAACTGGCACTTGGGAGGCGCCACTGGGTAGTCATCCGTGAACAGCAGCACACATTTGTAAAGCCCATTCTCCCATGGCGTATCAGTTTTTCCCGGAATGCCGCACTCCCAGCGCATCAGATCCAGTGAATCGTCTTCTTTCCTCTGCGGGCGCGCATAGAATCCCTAAAACAAGCACAATTTGAATAAAGAAAAATGTGGCTTTAGCAGACAGAACTGGCAGGTTGTTTGCGCATTCGAGTTCTTGGAATCCTGGATTTGTGATGTTACATCAAAAGACGTACATAAGGATGATCCTTTCTCCACTGTTTCCTCTCCTCCATCAGGCGACTGCGGCTGATACCAGACATGCTGAATGACAAATGCTATGACCAGAATAAAGATGCCAGTGAATGGTGCTAAATGAAACAAAATAATAGTTGAGCAAAGTAAGGTGAATTGACAAAGTTAACGAGGATATTTGTGGCCTGCAATTGGCCAAGTGTGACTAATGAAAGGCGGTCTTTGACGGCAATAATATCGGGTATTGGGATTAATCACGTGGATTTTGTTATGACATGTTTGCAAATGTATAAAAATCAAAAGCACATCGTTGCTGTTAATATAAATGCATATGTATTAGGTTGCAACAGTTTAATTACAGTTTACATGAATGATTGCAAAAATAATAAATATTTAGAGAAAATCTAAACTAAGCTAAACTTAATAAATATGATGTACATAAATTGTCGTGCTCTATAAAAATGTGGGTCTAAATTAATATATTCAAGTCTCAAAAATCACTTAAGGAACTGAAAAAGGGGGCATCACTGTGTGGGCAGCACTGTAAACATAATAGTGTTCCTTGATATCACCCAGCAATAACAGAGATGTGTATAGCGGCCATGAGGGCGATCTTGATTCTTGAAAAGGGAAGATAGTGGTTTGAAATGTGTGCTGGGCACCACATAAATGAGTCTACTGAACCACTTGGTGGGGGGTTGGCGCGTAATCGAATGCACTCTGCAATGCATCTTTAACCTTGCTTTCCGAGGGCTGCTTAAACAAATTGGGGTACATGGAGCATAGCGCATCAACAGCTGTTTTCAGATTATCCAATGCGTCCGCCAACGGATCGAGTTCAATTACATTCTGCACAAGGCAATCCTCCTCAGAGCCCAGGTCCAACGGTACCATGGTGTGGATAAACCCGTTCATGATCTTGCGAAATTCAGGCGTCTTTTCCGGCGTCATAGTCTGGTGCTTATTGCCACGACTGATGACTCTTTCAACGGTCGTTTGCAGAATATCCTCCTTTGACGCGTTTTCATGCGACCAATACAGTGCAACTATCTGGCATCCAGGAAACTCCATGCGCACAGCATTGGTGAGTGACTCCCGCATCATTGTTGTATGATTGTTGCGGTCAGCGATCACCACATCGTGGGTTCCAAATAATTTTAACATAGCTTCATTAAATGCAAGGCCAAGGTTCTTCCTTCTCCGTATGTCGTCGCTTTGCACATGGCCGCATCCAAATAGCTTTGACAGGGCCAGCGAGAGCGTAGTTTTTCCACACCCAATGGTGGCGACGGGCATGATCAAAATCGTGTTGGATGCCGTTTCGTTAAGAATTTCTGCCGGACTGCGACCATCCATGGACTGATGATACTCGAGGAACTTTTTGCGCATACCAATTACACCCTTGGTTTCGTAATTTACAAAGTCAGCTGGATTTTTCCTGATTTGGGGTCTCAGCCAGGCCACATAATTCAGGGTCAAGTTGTATTTATACGTCCATGGCCTGTTGGCCAAAATTCGCTTCGTAACATTGTGCCACTCGAAGAACATTAAATACGGCTGATCATACTTGATTTTAAACATAAATGGTTTTGTGCCATTTTCTGTGCGACAACGGACCACAAAGCCTTCAATTGCGCGGCCATCCAGCATCTGGTCTTTATGAATTTTGTCGGCAAACTCGTGCCCATCTGTAGCTGAGTCAAACATAAAACATTCAGTTCGACGAAACCCAAACTCATCTGCTACTTTTGTAACTTCAGAGCTGGGCAGCGTATTCAGTTCAAGGGAATTCCTGTTGATGCCGTGCAAATACAGGCCGCGCATACGCTCAGGGTATTCCATTATGTGCTCCTCAAACTCGTCGTCGCAGAGCTCGAATACAGCAGTGGCTGTGTTTTTGTACAAAAAGGCAGCAAACTCCTCGCGCGTCTTGCCGGCCTTTCCCAGATGTTTGTCCATCCAGATGTAACCTGTCTGCGAGTGCGGTACATTCATTGCGTGCTTGCTGGTCACTAGTAAGTCCTTACCGTCATTGATTCCAGCAGCCAAAATCAAGCACCCATCCTCCTTGATGGTCATTTCGTAGGGGCCCTGGGTGTTCTCCTCAATCCACTCCCAGCGCGTCCATGGAACCTCATTAATATTGAAGAACTTGTTATAGCCGCGGGCCAAAATTGTAGGCTCCTCTGAACTCTCCTCCGGTAGGCTTGTGAAGATACCACGGGCTTGACTGGGTAGCGGGCAGGGTACCTTCTTGTACAAGTAGTCTAATGCTTTCCAGCTTGTCACGTTTTGTTTTCCCTGGAAGTCGTGGTTTTTTTGGCGGACAATGCGCTTGGATGCCGTAGCGATGTCAGAAAAATCTTGCATTTCGCCAAGGAACTTACTAATAGCTTGCTTCTCCTTTTCAGTGAGAGGGTCAAATAAAGTGTTGTTGTTGGTTTGCATAGTATTTAAAAGTTTTCAAAAATAGCCTATTATTGAATATAGAAAACAGCAATGAGAGGCGAGAAAAAGGTTGCAAGCCGGCACAAAAATAATAGATGGAGGGCAATTCTATTTTTTTGTGGTTGCTGCCACTGCGGCTTTATAGAATAATAATAAATGTCTTTATTTCCTTTATTTCCTTTATTTCCTTTATTTCCTTTACAACTGCGCTCCTTGCAGTCACCGCAGCCTTTAAATAAAAGAGCGCTAATTTTAATTAATTTTGAAATTGTCTTTTCTAACAAAAATTAGTCTCGTTTTATTTTATTTTAATTTAACATTCCATTTTAAAATTATATTTCAATTATAGAATTTGACATCAATGTATGGTGAGGAGCACCACACTGTGCCAATTTAATGCTAAAACATATAAAACATATCATTATATAGTAAAATACTAATAACAGATAATCGGTTATAATAAATAACTTTGACAATTCATCCCTCAGCGGATTTCTTGTTGTCGTGAGAGCTCTTCAGCTGCCCGCATGCCGCCAAGATATCGTCGCCACGAGGCGTCCGCACTGATGCATGGATACCGTGGTTGCGTACCAACCCGCAAAACTCGGACACTCGGTCCAAGCTTGATGAGCGGTATATGCTACCAGGCCAAGGATTAAAAGGAATCAGGTTGACATGTGCGGGCATATCTTGAATCAAATCAACCAGCCGGCGAGCATCGGCGTCAGAATCGTTCACACCGTCTAGCATTACGTATTCAAAAGTTATGCGGCGGCTCTGGGGGCTGGCAAGCCTGGTAAACTCGCGACAGCTGTCCATGAGCAACGGCAGCGGATACGTTTTGTTGATTGGCATAATCTCCGAGCGCAGATCATTATCTGCCGAGTGCAGAGAGATTGCCAAACCCACCTTTAGTTCTGAGGCAATGCGAGGAATCAGCGGCGCCACGCCCGATGTAGAAATTGTGATCCTCCAGGGCGCCATACCAATGCCCTCTTTGTCTGTCAAAACGCGGATTGCACTGCTCACGTTGCGGAAATTGTAAAGCGGCTCACCCTGACCCATAAATACAATGTTGGAGACGTTCGGTTGCTGATTCACAGTGCGCGGAAAGTCTTTGGATAACCAGGCTGCAATCATATATTGGCCGGCAATGTCTGCTGCTGTCAAGTTGCGATACAGTGCCTGAGTCCCTGTATGGCAGAACTTGCAAGATAGCGAGCAGCCAACTTGCGAGGACACGCAGAGCGTGCCGCGATGTATCTCTGGAATGTACACTGCTTCGACGGTCGCCTTCGAATCGCCGTTGAATTGTATAAGCATCTTACGCGTGCCATCGATCGACAGCTGGCTGTCCATAACGCGGCCGTAGTCGACGCAGTATTTTTTATCCAAGTCCTTCTGCAAGGTTTGTGGTAGGTTGGCCATGTCCTGGAACATAGTTGTGCCCTTTGTGTAGATCCATTCGTAGATTTGTCTGCCGCGGTATGCTGGCAAATTCATCTCCTCGGCAACCTTTACAATGTTCTGCTGCGATTTTCCAAACAGGTTGATCTTTCCGTCTGCCCGGTTCCCGCCGTTGTTAATATCGATGTTATTGCTGCTGGTGCTGCTGCTGACTAATCGACGAAAAAGCCCGGCAGCCGATTGTGGTACCCGGCCAGCATGGAGCTAGGCCGAAGAAAGAGAGAGTTCATTAATCGCGAGGTTGAAAGAAAAAAGCAATTGTAAGACAGGATTGGAAGTTTTTTGAGCCGATTTCGTTATCCAATCACAAAAAATCTGACAGCCCTCAGTTCTCGACAACTGGAAGACTATGGTACAACATGTGGTCGTTCAAATCCAGCCACAGTCCCAGCGTCACGAATCGCATTCTCTCCTTGGATAAAGAGGAAATCAAACAGGTACAGACATCCAGAATCCACGTGTGACGACCATATATGCACAGATCTCCGAGCCGCACTATGTAACGAGCCGAGTTGCAGCAAAAAATAAGGTAAACAAAAAAGGCCGATCAGCGGTAAACACAAAAAAATTTGCCATTATTTCTTAGGAATTCACACGCCATAAACGCTCGGATACAAAAGCTGGCTCGAGTGTCGAGAGTAAACACTGAAAAATAAACATTTGCCCTTTTCTGCCTTTTGCTTCTTTTTCTTCTCGACCTTGTATTTATTTACTTTAATCAATTCTATTTCAGCAATTTAAATCATATACAATCAACAAAAAAAAAAGAAATGACAAAGCCTCGGAATTCAACAAGACGAAGCACAAACGGCAGCAAGCATCGCGGCTCTGCCCTGGCAACTCCTAAGCGGAATACCGCCACATCTGCAGCATGCACTCCAAAGGACAAGGGTGGCAACAGCGACAGCGGTGTTCGCGATATGTGGGACTTGGATGCACCCAAATTCTACGACTTTGGAAACTCAAAGACGCCCGGACCCAAGCCCGACAAGTGGTTTGGTAAGTTTTTTCTCTTCATATCACAAGTTGCATGCACATGGCAACACCAACATTGACAGCTTTTATTAAATTATCTTGCATTTATTGGCTTTTGCACTTTTTAGATTACGCCCACCCGACGCCGGCACTTAAGAACACGAGACTATCGCGGCTCAGCTTCTCGTCTACTGATAGCTATGAGAGCTTGGTGCCAACTAGGCTCTCTCTGTCACCATCGCGGGTGGTGATGGGCGAGAACGGCAGACTGACACTTGACAGCGAGATGGTTTCGAAAAGTAAGTCAAGTCGGCCACGAATTTCCTCGAAAACGACGAGTTTTCAGATCCGAACGATGAGATAGAGTTTAACAACTGGAAGCGGGACATATCTTTGCCTGACGGTCGCAATACGGAAGAGCTGGCCAATTGCCGGCGGGACACAATCGGCATAGAGGAGGTGCAAAGCAAACAGAGCCTGCTCCGACTAGGTTGACATTGAGTGGACAACTGAGCGCACAGCTAAAAGACCGGCAGGCAGCCGGGAAGCTGTTAAGAATTCCAGCCAGGTTGCATCTAGCAGGGTTGCATCCGGGAGAGTTGCGAAGAAGACAGTAGCACCAGCTGCGCGCCCGGCAACTAGGGTGGCTCCAGCCAAGCTGACAGTCCCCGTAGAGGTGTGCGGATTTATGCGCCCGACAAAGGTAGCTTCGCGGCGCGTGTTGGTGAAGAAGCGCGAAAAGGAAAACCAGCAGCTCATCGCCGAGGCCATAGCCAAGTCAATCAACCGCCGGTTGTCGCATAATATCGGATCCGGCCTGACTGTGCCCAAGCCCTTCCACTTCCACGATTCGAAGCACAGCAGCAACGACGAAGTATCTGCAGCAGACATACTTGCAAGCGCAGCCAGCATGCCAAAAAAAAGCTTAGTAAGGAGGCACATGCGTCTTTACTCGCCAAACTAACGGCCAAGCGCGTCATGTCCGATGAGGATATCAGCGAAACCAATGAGGCTGATCCGGTGCACGAGGCCACGCCACACAGGAAGCAGGGTGCTGCGAAGCTGACATGCACAGTCCCGGTGACGCCGCAGTTTGCAAAGAGCAAACGCAGTCGCGAGAGACCGAAGATGTGCCGCCTGATGCCGCGCGCAATGAAAAGGCCCTGGACATTGAGAAGAAAGCTGCAAGAATATTGGCAAAGGCCCGGGCCAATAACTCACAGCAGCTTGTTCGTGCGCAGCCGCCCAAGCGAACGGTGCCGCAGCCATTCACCTTCCGCAGCGACGCTATTGCCGAGCGCCATTTGATGAAGCTGCGCGAAGAGATTGCTATGCTGAAGGTCGAGGAGAAGGCATTGCGCCAGTTCCGGGCGATGCCATTGCCGGACTTTCCAACTCCCAAGAAGCACAAGCGCGAGGTTCCTCAGGAGCCCATGCACGCATCGCCATTCCATCTGCAGACCAACTCGCGTGGCGAAGCATACCAGAGCCAACTGAAGGCGCGTCTGGAGGAGCTGGAGGAGAAACAGCGTGAGCGTAGGGAGTTCAAGGCTCGGCCGATTCCTCCCTCGATCGACCAGCCATTTGTTCCCCAGCCGTCGACCATTCCTCTGACTGCCATTGAGGAGATTCTCTTGAGCACAGAGCTGCGCAGCGAGGAGAGACGCGCGTACGACGATGATCGCATGGAGCGTGAGCGCATCCGCGAGGAGGTACTTGCGCGCAAGCGGCTCGAGGATGAGCGCCGGGAAGAAGAAGAGATCAAGCGTCTGCGCAAGATCCTGGTCCATAAAGCACAGCCCATTCGGCATTACAAGCCGGTTGACATCCAACCCTCTGATCGCCCGCTGACTGTGCCCAAAACGCCCCAGTGGCATATTCGGACACGAGACCGGTCGACCACCACACCTACACCCATTCCTGCTCCTGCTCCTACTCTTGATCCGGCTACGCCCACACCCATGCCCTTGAATTGATGGATCAAGCCTCTGCTTTCCTGCTAACTCCTTGAGCGTGTGCTCATGACGTCAAATTGGAATAATTGCTGTTGTTTCTTCTTTCGTGTCTTTTTATATACAATGTTTCAATACTCTTATTGTTTGCAGTCATGCCAACCTGAATGGCGTGGTGAATGAATGGACGAGTGGATTGGTATAAAGGCCAGATCATGATTGGCTCTTAGATCCGTCTTTCAAACCAAGCTTGAATCCCGTCATGAACCCCTGCCGGTAGTCATCGTCGGGAGTGCGAGGTGGCTCAGCAAACGGGTTGATTGGGAACAAGTCATTGTGCCTCCTAGGGACTGCGGCCGCCTGCAGACCTGCATGTCCTCGTACCACTCGTGGAGCTGCGTCGGCCTTTCGTTATCGGGCATCGTCACGCGAATTCTAAACCCATTGATCTCCATCCTATCCAGCCTATCAACAGCCGCTTTGGCTGTATCCGACACATTGCGTACTTCGCTGTCTGTGGGCGGCGGGAGCACTGGCGCAGCATCCGGGGTGCTACCTGGTTGATATTCGCCGTCGTAAAACCGCACGATCGCTTGCTTCAACAGCCGCCCAGTGATTTTCGATTCAACCGGTATTATGTCCCACACCTTGCCTACTTGCTCAAACGCCTGGCGCAAGTTGTCTGTCGACGTTTTGAGCGTGCCGTAACTGACATTTACAGACATGCATGCAAAGTGCCGACCTATTTGGTGGTTTGCATGTCGCTGAACGAGAGACACAAAGTTTGGTTTTAAGCGAGCGAGCATTTGTATTCGTGTGAAGCGTGTGGGCTGGCGAGAAGGTTATCAGGTAAACTAGACTAAGATAAAAATTACAACAGCAACGAAAGGATGTGAAGAGCAATTGGACCTTTGAATTGGCAAAGTTGCATTTGCCTTCGTCTTGCCATTCTGGTCCGCCTCCACGCTGATCCGCCGCGATACCTTGATCTAAGCACGATCGAGAATGGAAAAAATAATTTGCGGAAAAAAATGATTACGCTGAGATCAAGACTGTTAAAAAAATGCATGCGCGAACACAAGTATTGCCATGCACGGAAAAAAATGCAAATAAAGAAAAGTTTCAATTTGCTTTATCTCGCATTTTTTTCTTGCTTTTATATATTTTTTGTTTCGACTTTATTTACAAACTTTTTTCTGTGAATCTGTCAGCTAATTTTTATCTACAATATAATAAAAATGTTCCGCAACACTCTCGCCCGTGCCTCCACTATCAAGCACCTTGCACAGATGCAGCAGAGCCGTAACCTGGCCTGCTCCGTCATGTACGTCAAAAACCTGCCCCTGGAGTTCGACGAGGCCAGCCTGACGCCCTTCATTGAGGAGTTCGGCCCGGTCTACCAGACCAACTTTATGAACAGACGTCCCGAGGACCGGTTCTCCATTGCTTTGTGAAGTTCTACAGCGGTGAGCTCCCCTCGACTGTCGAGGAGCTGGCTGAGCTGCCCGCACCTACCCCTGAGGAGGTTGCCGATGTCAACAAGCGTTGCTCAGCGGCAATCAGCGCCCTGAACGGTGCTACGATTGGAAGCAACACTGTCAACGCCGCTTTGGTATCAAGAACCTGCCCGACGCCATCCAGTTCAACGCCAGAATGATGGTCCGCAAGGCCAATGATCCCATCTTTGCCGCCCGCATGGACACCAAGGTCCGGGCTATGCAGAACACCAGGAACGGTAGCGAGGACGGCCGGAACCCCCAGTACTTGAGCGGCTACAAGAACGGCTTCAAGGAGGGCTTTGAGGCTGGTAAGCAGGAGAGCAGAGAGTAAATTATATTTAGTTTACTGAAACCGAGATTTGCGATTTGCGATTGAGACTTGGCAAGTCGCCCCCGATGCAGAGAGAAGTGAACATACTATATATTTTTTGGTTGATTATTTTTTTGATTTAGCTTGCGAAATAAATTGCGCTCTAGCATTCACATTATCTATACTGTTTATTCAGTACTTGAGTGGCTTGTTTCTGATAGTGCGAACAGTCAATGGCATCAGTAGTTCTACATTGTATTTTTTGTATATTGTATTAAAAGGAAGAAAAATATATGCAGATAAACAGCGGCACTATTGGGGGAACTATTGCGTGTTGCACTCGGGCACAGCATGTTCGTGCCCACTATAGGCGTACTCGTCTTCAGGCTCAGGGATGTCGCGATCAACGCGCCTTTCAAACTCCTGGGTTGTGATGGCCACACCAGCGACAGTCCCTGTCTCGGCATCAGTGCTCGGCGTGACCTTAGGCCATTTCGTTTCGGGCAGCAACGATCTGAGCGCGGTCACATCGGGCTTCCAGCCCTGAGCCGGGAACTTGATATTGATCTTGATATACAGATTTCCGCGGCTACCGGACTTACCCGCGACCGGCATGCCCTCGCCCTTAATGAACAGCACATCGCCAGGCCGAATGGCGCCAGCTTTGTGCGTGACCTCGATGGCGCGGCCATCCAAGTGCGTCAGAAGCACCCTGGAGAACCCGCACAGGGCCTCTGCCAAATCAATCTCGGCAGTTGTCGTCAGATCAGCGTTGTCGCGGGTAAACACGCCATGAGCCTTCTGGTTAATGACAAAAATTAGATCAAGTGGATCCATACCCGGCTTCTGGTCGCCCTTGCCCTTGAGCACAATCTGTGCGTTGTTCAGCTCTCCAGGCTTAATGACAACCTCCACGGTATCGTTCTCATCAACAACACACTCGCCCTTGCACTTGCGGCACCGGCTCTTCTCGGGAATAATCTTCCCCGATCCCTTGCACCCATTGCACTTGACCTGCATCTGCGACAAAAGCCCTGGGCCCACCTGCTGTGTGGCTATACGGAACCCCTTTCCGGAGCACTCGAAGCAGTCCTTGAGCACTGACTTTTTGCCACCCAGGCCCTTGCACACCTTGCAGGGCACTGAGCGCGTCAGCTTCATGCGAATCTTCTTTCCGCGGAACAGTTCCTCCAGGGTGACAGAGAGCGCATGTCTTTCAACCTGCGGTGCTCTTTGCCGTCCACCGCCGCCGCCGCCGCCACCAAAGAAGTTTGCGTACATGTCTTCCATGCCGTCCATATCACCGCCGTCATAAAATCCGTCGAATGGGTGGCCGCGGTGTGGGCCCTCTGATCCGTACTGATCGTATGCGGCGCGTTTGTCGGGGTCGCTGAGTGTCTCGTATGCGTGGCTGATATCCTTGAACTGTTCGGCACCCTCTGGGTTCTTGTCAGGATGATACTTCATTGCCAATTTCCTGTAAGAGCGCTTGATCTCGGCATCAGTGGCCGAGATTTCGACCTCCAAAAGCTCGTAGTATGACTGCGATGCCATGACTGTTTGTATAAGTATGAATAAAAGTCGGTCTTTTTCTTTTGTTTTTGCTCAAAGAAATTTAATACAAAAAGGGGTATGATATTTAGTAGATGCTGCGGTAGATTGCGGGGAAAATTTTTGTATTTCCCATGAATTTTTTTGACCCCAAAAAAAAGTTGAGTTCCTGCAAGCTTAATTGGTTGTCGCCGATGTTGTGGGGTCTGTCAAGCGCTGATTTGTGCGGACGGATTTATCAAGCAGATTACACTATAATAAAAGAATGAGGCTACAAATATCCTGCAAATTGACATCCTTCCCACAGATTGCATAGCAACCTGATAGGTGTTTAGAAACTAGAGACAATAGACCACTATAGCTGATGATATTAACTAGTTCGATGCTTCTTTTGAAGAGAACAAGAGAAGATGGATTCTTGCGCACACGCTTGGGCTTGGGCTTTTGCTTGAAAAAATTATTGGGTATCGCTGTAGACTTACTCGGGTTCGGTCAACTCGATTCCTTTTTGCGTGAAAAATGGGGAGGACGATTGCTTGTAAGCAGCACATTGAGAGTGATACGAAAGTTCAACACTGCAGCCATGTCGCAATTCCGCTTATGTCTGCCTGATGGCACTTTTTTGCCATTCTTGATCTTGGTTCCATCAGCCCCAAAGGTTTCCAGGCAGTTTTCCATTGTGCACTGGAGCAAGCCATGGCATAGAATTTGGTGAGGTTTTTTTACTGCTGGAATTGTATTAACGCCTGTTGCAACTACCTGCTCCTGCTGCTGACCATTATACTGCTGCTCCCGCTCCTGCTGCTGTGCGGCCAACTCGTCGCGTATCCTCTATTTGATTTTGCGCTCAATTTTGCCCTGCAACCAGCCGTTCAGCCTGACAATGCGCTTGAGATTATCGGCAGGCTGGATATTGCTGTACTACTTACGATTTCGCTATTAGGCCTGCCCCTTTTTTCTCCCATCCACCAGATGGTATCAGCAGACTGGGCGAATAGGCATCCACTGGTCGCGACTCTGCTGTGCACTGTCAATAATAGATGCGGCATCGGCGGCAGTTGTGGCTGCAACAGAAACGGCTGTGGCTGCTGCTGCGACAGAATCAGCAGCAGCATTGGTTGCGGCTGCGACAAAATTGGGTGAATATAATTACATCGTCAATCGTCACGTTTAACTCACAGCCAAAGCACCAGTCAGATACAAACGTTAAGTACTTCCTGTATCTTCAAAAATCTGGACTTTCTGATGTTTTAGGCCAAAAACTGGGGGGAAACGGGTTTTAAAAATCCCCCGCTTAAAAATCTAGAATTTCGCTATAAATATCTGGAAATTCCAAAAAATTTTCACTAGTGTATATAAGAAGTCAGCTGCTAAAAAGTTAAGAAAAAGGTAATTCAAACATTTTCTCTTGCTTATTATATTCTATATAAATATATTTTGTTTAATGAATAATTATTATCCTACATTCGATTTATGAATTTAATCATTTTAATAAACATTTCTACCAAATTCTAATGACGCCATTATAAACAATTACGCGTGTATAATACCTGTTATTATACAATAAAATCATTTTAAAATATTAATTTGTGCACTATTCCATCAAATAACCTCGATTTTTTTCACTGACATATGTGTTACAAGTGGTAATTACACACAAAATATGTTTATTTCTCCACAAGGAGAACAAGGGACGGACCCCTTCATCTCGTCCCTTTTATTCGTTCTCCTACGTGGTAAACACAAAAACAAATAACTATTGATTCCTTTGCTGTTAATACTTAGAACAGCTAAAGTTTTAACCAAGCTATTGTATTTTTATCAAACTCTGGTTGTAATATATGCCAGAAAATTATTTGATCTATCAGCATACAGAAGCTTGTTTCATGGTTCTCGACCTCAACATTCACTTCCATATCATCGGGCTGCGCAACAACAATTTTACTATGTTTACTAAATAAATATTTTATTGAGACTACGAATAACACTAAGAAAACCCACTGTGAAATCGCAACGTGCGTACAATATCAAAAAAATGAGATTATATGCGCCAGCTCTGTCACGTGATGTGTTTTAATTTGGCATCGCGATTTTTTTTGATGATCAACACCCAGCCAAAATACAAAAACGGCTGAAACATAAAATAAATGCGTTTCTTTCTCTTCACTTTTCTTTTCAGATAATACATTTTTAATCGACCACCAACATGCACACTTTCAGGTAAGTAAATTTGCACATATATTTGAATTTTTACACGTTCTTTTTTGGCTTGTGTTTATATTATAATTAGCAGGTAAGCTGACAAGCGAGAAAGATGGCAGGCGGGCGTACTGGCTGGCTGGCTGGCTGGCACCAGTTGCAAAATTTATTTTTTATTTTTATTTTTAATAAATGAGCGTACCATTTTTTCAAAACCAAATTCCGAAAACCGAAAAAATAAAAATAGTGGACGGTAGGTTGCTGCACCTCACAGAAGGCAATAGGGCGCGACCCAAATAATTGCCGACCCCAAATATCAACAGTGGATATTACTTAGCGAGCTAAGGGTATGTGTTGGATTTTAGCCATAAATTTATAATACCATGCGTAGTCTGGTTAAATGGTTGGTGTCGGTGGATAATTTTTAGTCAGAATTATCTAAGGTGTATTGAATTCCAATTTTTTGCAAGTCACAAGCGGTGAGGCCACACACTGACAGAGAATGTGGAAAACTGCACGCAAAGATAATAAAAAACACGTTTTTCTTGTTTGAGATTTCCGCAACTCTTAGAAAAAGATAAAGCGCTGTGCGGAAATTGAGAAGGGTAAGCACATGTGGCGCCACTTTTTTATTACTCTTTCGCAAAAATAATAATGGTGACGGGATCTAGAGGTATACAAAACCGGATCTGCTTTTTCAAAGCGCCATTATGCATTTGACACGATAATAGAAATCATTTTGTAGGTTGACGTTCTCCACTGAATACACAAGAAAAAAGAGGGTAATGTAATGAGCAAATCCGGCGACAAGAAAAGAAAAAGAAAAAGGAGCTAGATCTATAGAGCCCAAGTGTATACAAAGATACCAAGGAGCAACCCATTTTAGTCATGCTGGACAAAGCCCTTGCCAGAGTAGCCCTCTGACGAGATACCGCTGATGGGATTGATGTTCTTCTCGATAGCGATGGCGTTCGAGGCCTCCTGCCACTCCTTGGTGAGGGTGCGGGGCTTTTCGACTACAAGCGATGAAATAATAATGAAAATGAATAAGTTAGCAAAAATGCTTTGTGTGGGGCAAGTACAATTGCAAGTTTGTGTTGTAAGATTAGCAGAGTCGGGCTATAATTCGCCCGCACTATCAGTGATTTTGTGCTATCAATCGCATCAATGCGCTCAGATACTTACCCGACTTGCGAAGAAGGGACGAAATCGTCAGGCTGAGAGCAATAGTGCCAACAACGCCAATAAGGACCTTCATGCCATCTCCAGGCTTGGTGTGGGGGCGACGACGGTTGTGTGCGCCGTAGGTGGCAAAGTAGGCTACAAAATCAATAAATATTAAAGCAGGTGTGTTCATTAGTCGGTGTGCTCGCCACTTCATTTTTTATTTGGCTCCGAGATTTGGAGTTAGTCGAGCTGATACAAGGTTGCTTGCACACAAGCAGAGCAACCGAACAGAAGGTATGACTCGCCCTTGCGTCCATTTCCACCATATCTTGTTCGCAAATCCAAAAAAAACAAAAGCTGATTTCCCGAGATTCAACCTTGTTCGTCTCAATTCACGAATCATTTGGTGTGTGTACTTACCAGCCCGCTTGTCCTCAACCGAGACTTTGTTCCAATCGGCCTTCATGACCTCGCTGAGTTTGTTATACACCTCAGTTTGCTGCTCCTTCGGGAGCTTGGCAAAGGTCTGCTCGGCCTGGACCAGGACAGGTGCAGAGGCGGTCGACTGGAAGCGACGACCTGAAAGCTGGGCAGTACGAACAGCAGCGTTACGGAGCATTGTTATTTACTCTTACAAAAAATTAACGAAATTGAAACAAAAATAAAAAAAGTCAAATCTCGAAAAGTGAAACAAATGAAAAAGAAAAAAAAAGAAAACCGTCATAATTTTGTTTAGGTTTGAGCCGAGAACTAATTGTTTTTTCATCGCACTCTTTGCAGCTTGCTATTTGCTGCTGATAGTGGGGTCCAAGATGGGGCAAAAATATAAAGCATCACAGTGAATGAGTGATCGGATCTAATCTACTTTGATTAATTTTTTGCGGATAGGCGTGAAAAAGAAAAAAATCAATGTGTCCTCTTTCCCATGATTTGGAGTTTTGGAATAAGTGGGCTGTGTGAGGTCAAAGAAATGGCATTTGAGCGCAAGCAAATAGACGGGCATTCAGGAACTGAGCCTTTTTTCCACCTTTATTCTCAATCTCTCTCCTGATAGACAAATTTATTACATTCACCGCCCGATATTCCTTTTCCCTCTGTTCTTGTTTATCCTGGCTCTTTGGCTATTTAAAAACTTTACATTCCCTTCATATTCTCTTTGCACTACGTTCAAATCTTCCCTACCCAGTAAACTGTTTCTCGCATACAAAGTCGCGAAATAAAGGCAAAACAATTCACAATCAATAAGCACATTCATTAACATTAAAAATGTCACCAAGCTGGAGCGATATAACAAAGGTACGCAAGCACAACAGCTCACTATTATTATTATTATTGTTGTGATGGTCGCCATATTTATTCGTTGCCTTGAGCCAGATTTTTGCTTTGGACTTTTACTGGGCGGCGTTTGACACTAGTCTTGAGTTTTTTATGCTTACTAAGACTTTTTCTTCCTTGGTTTTTATTCTATTATCGTTTTTATTATGTGTAGAGCGGCTTGCCAAAGGCGCCGCCGTCAACCAAACCACAGTCCAAACAGAGCGAACAGGGGAAAACAAAACACACAGAGGAAGCACAACCCACAATGTCCAAAGAAGAATATGCATCAAGCGTAAAAATACCCCAACTCGAAGTAAAAATGCCCAGCCAGACGATCAGAATCGGAGATATAGAAATTGCACTAGAAAAATACAGCCGAGAACTGAAACTACCCGTATACATCTCCCAAGATCCAGAGGAATGGAATGATCCGCGCAGCAAGCGCCGCGGCCGAAGAGATTCCAAGACATCTATACCAACCATAGAGATACCGCCGGCAGTGGATCTGTCTGTTGAGCAACCCCAGACACCCACCCAGCCCGATTCTAACCCAAGCCCAAGCCCAAGCCATCCTCCTGGGCGGCACTCTTAAAGCCACCGGGTGGATTTACAGCGGCCACGAACAGCAGTAGCACGGCCAGTGCCAAGTACGCCGAGGTTGACAGTAACGGCGTCGTAAGGCACCAGAAATTCAAATCACTCGAAGACGCGCTGCAAAACCTGCAAGTTGTATTCAACCCGCCTGCAGTGCAGCCGCGCGGCCTGGTTAACACAGGCAATATGTGTTTTATGAATGTCGTTTTGCAGGCACTTTTGTACTGTGCACCGTTCTACAACATGCTATGGAGTATCAAGGAGAACGTGGCCTTTAGCTTCAAGGCAACGACGCCGCTCCTCGAGGCACTACTCCAATATGTTAACGAGTTCAAGCCTGATACCACACCGCTGGCGCAGCTCGAGGACGGGCCTGGAGAACCGTTTGTTCCAGAGAATGTATACGAGGCGCTCCGGAAGAAAAACGTTTTCCAGACTCTGCGCGGTCAGCAGGAGGACGCACAGGAGTTTATGAGCTACCTTGTGGACGGGATCCACGAGGAAATGGTAGGAATCTTGCAGCAGCACAAGTTGAATGGCGCACGCCAGGCTGCCGCCACCAGCCCTAGCGCGAATGATGTAGGTGCGGATAATGGCTCTGATTGGTTGGAGGTCGGTCCTCATAACAAGGCCAGTCTTGTGCGCGACAACAACGAGTCGATCATTCGCACGCCAATTACGCAGATTTTTGGCGGCACCCTGCGGTCAACCCTGACTGTTCCTCACTCGACCGGCGGCGGTAGCAGCGGCACATATGGACAGGGTGCGCTGAAGCCCCCACAGAGCTCCAACCGGGAGCCATTCCAATGGCTGGCCCTGGACATATCCGCGAACGGTGTAGACACGGTCGAAGATGCGCTCAATGAGTTTGTCGCCCCTGAGATTATAGAGGGTTACACGAACCTCCACGGCGAATCAGTCAACGCAACAAAGCAGATTTTGCTCGAAAAGGCCCCGCCCGTCCTGGTCTTCCACCTCAAGCGCTTTGTGTTCTGCTACAACGAGGGCGTGCAAAAGGTCCACCGGTTCATCGAGTACCCGCAGATGCTTTCTATGTCGCCAAAGTGGTTTGCCAAGACCACGGAGGCTGCAAAATACAAGTGCGCGAAGTACCGCTTGGAGAGCGTCATTTACCACCATGGGTCGCAGGCATCGGGCGGCCACTATACTTGCGATTTGAGGCGATCGAAGGATGAATGGCTGAGGTTCGATGACGTGGATATCGAGTGCTTGGACTCGGTTGACGATGCTTTGGCGGAGAAGAAGGACCGCACAGCGTACATACTTTTCTACACTATTTGCAACTAAAAAATATATATTCAATATTTCATTTAGCTAAAAGTTCGCTCTTTTTTTTTTAAAAAAAAAGATATTTATGTCACAAGTAACATAAAATTTTAAAGTATAAAAATAAATATAATAAAAATGCTAAGTATACGTCAAAAGAGAAAGAGAAAAGCTATAAGTTTAAAAATAATAGTTTAAAAAGAAAGAGTGGTGGGTATATGCTGTACAACATTGGAGGACAGATAACAGTGGTGGCAAAAGGGAAAAGAACAAGTAAAAAAGAAGGGGGAAAATGGACGAGCAAGGCGAAAACAAACAAAAAAACACGAGAACAAAAGAAAACACGGTCAATAGTGCCAAATGTTTTTTTAGACAAAATGCTGTGGCGGCGGCGTCAACGACAAATCCATAGCACCTGTGCTGACGGGAGGTGCGTTGTGGCGTGTCTCATCAGTCGGTTCCTGAACCGGGCTACCACTGCTTCCTCCACCAGGAATCGGCGAAACAATAGCCACCGGCGATAAGCTGCTCGCAGAAGAGGAATCGTCGGACATGGACACGTTCGAAATACCCTGGTGCAGCGCAATCGACGACGTCATCTGTATATTGCTAGGCGACATGTCGATGCCTCCGTGGATACTGCCGTCGTGACCCACGTAGTGCTGCTGCTGGTGCTGGAGGTACGCTTCCGACGGGAACGCGTTCGATTGCAGCGGGGTTGGCACAATGGGGTTGGCTGCCTCCGTCGAGGCCATTATCGAGCTGGCGTAATCGACGTGCATGCTTGTTGGATCCATGATTATGTGCCCATTCATCTGGTCGCTACCATTTGCCATGTTCTGCAGCATAGCCGCGTGCTGGTGCTGCTGTTCGTAGTGCTGCTGCTGGATCTGCATCTGCTGGCTGTACGAGTACGCGTTCTGGCCAGCCGCTCCCAGCACCTCGTCGACTATTCCCGAACCGTCGCTCTCGTCAAGCATCATCATGCCGTTGGTCATGGAGCTGTCCGGATCCTCGGCCTTGATTATATCAACAAACTTGTCAAGCTCGCGGATAAACTCGTCCTCCTCCATCTCGATGTTCATAGTCTCTGGGTCATCCAGCTTGCTCATGGGCATTTCAGAAGGCAGCAGACCCCAGCGGTCGGGGACTTCGGCAGCGGCCTTATTTTCGGATTCGCTGGTTGCAGGCGGAACGCTCCCTGGGGGCGTAACGTCTTTGCTCAAGTCCCCGGTGGGAGACACTGCACCAGAGTCTACGGAATCGGTCGTGGCAGCAGCAGGGATGGTCGGACTGGCGGTCGGATTAGTGGTCGGATTAGCAGGGGTGGCAGGGGTGGTCAGAGTCTGTTTGAGCGAGGCGTCCACATTGAGCGCAAAGGCATTGATTGGCGATGTCGGGTTCGATGCGGCCTTCTCCATGGCGATCTTCTCGACGGCCGTCCACCAGTTGACATTCTTTATCGCCCGCTTCCGCTCTTGGTCACGCTGGTGGCGGAAATCAGACAAGCACTGCTCGAATAGATCCTCGTTAACATTGACAAAGAAACGCAGAATCTGGTACACCTGGTTGTGGATGTTGCGGTTCCAATGGGAGCGTGAGTGGCGGTAGATGCCCGACAGGGCGATTGGCAGGATCAGGTGGATGTTGTCGGTGATCAGGTTAACAAAGTAGTTGTTGCGCCACATGCCCAGCGTGCGCTCGGCGATTTGGAAGTGCGGGCTGACAATGCACTTGACCAGCTGCTGAAACAATGGCTGGCAGATGCTTGTGAACTGCGCTGGCTCAATGACATCCATGATTCCCTCGAGCTCGTTGACAAACATGACCTCCTTGGGGCTGTTGACCTTGGGCCAGTACCGCAGCAGCGACTTGATTATCGTCTCGGCAAGCGTCGGGTCCTTTTCCAAGAACTGCACTGTACAGTACGCCAGCTGCGCGTAGTACAAGGTCATCGGCCGCGCCTTGTGCAGCGGGAGCAGCACTCGGTGTAAAAAGCTCACGTGCTCATCCTTGAGAGGCACAGTGAACCCATTGATGATGCTGCCAAGAATCTCCAGCAGCTCCGCAATACCGTTGTGCCGCTGAGTCTCGTAGATGAACTGCAAAAAGATGTTGTTTATCGACCGCCGGATGAACGACCGCATGCCAAGCATCTTGCCGTAAATACGGTGCAGCACGGTCTTCAGGCTCTCGCGCTCGCGCACATCCTCGCAGTCGAAGAGCTCCAAGAGCTGCATTGTGAACGCCTGGTCGATGTGCGGCCGAGCTGCGTTGTTGTTAAAGTCGCTGGACTCCAGGAAGCGCAGGAAAATGTGATATACCAGGCAGAGGTGCAGCCAGGCGGGCTCCTCCCTTGGCTCGTCCTCCTCGGGGTCGAACGGATCGCCGAACGCGTTGATCTGGGGAGGTATGGTCCGAAACAGGTTCGCTGACACCATCGCAAACAGGGGCTTGTACATGTCGGGCGTAATGACGCCTGTGCGCTCGGACATGTAATCCAGTATCTCTGCTAGCGTGTCCTTCTTGGCATTCTTGCCCTCAGTGTTCTCGCTGGGGTTCTGGAAGTCGAATATCATTGTACACTGGATGAATTTCTGCGTCAAAAGCTCCTTGCGCTCAATGTCTGTCAGCCCCTCGCCTAAAAGTGATGCAGTATGCGCAATGTCACGGGTATCGAGTGGAACATGCACAGTGGTGCCGCGCGGGTGATTAGCAAACATAGTTTTGTGCATTGTTGGAATAGAGCGAGAATGAGAAATGAAAAATAAAAAACGAAACAAAAATGAAAAGTGATGGAATCTAGAAGTATGAACGTGGTGTTGTGAATAGGGAAAAGGGGGGTGGTTCTAAAAGAGAGAAGAGAAAGAGAGAACCAGGCAGGTCGGCGTGTTCCTGGCGATGCTACTGCACTTTAGATTGCCCTACTGCGCGCCATGGGCAGACGCACAAAACAGGATTCGTCTGCCCCTTTTTTGGCACTATCCAAATGCGTTTTTTGGGTTTGCACATCTCTGAATTGCGCACGCATGGGGCACGCGACAAAATAAGGGAGATTGGGGGAATATGGCATCAGAACAGGACAGGATAGGACAGCAGCAGCAGCAGACAACAACGATGAACTAAAGGAGAACAAGCGCTTGTTTGTCTTTTTACATTTTTCTTAGAGCATATATACTTTGAGTTGAGCCTAATAGTGGCATTGATAGTACCATTGTGGCTTTTTCTCCATTGTTGGACCCATTCATGCAAGCCAACGATAATGAGCGATGCCTTTTGGATTCAAGGAACCGGGCAAGGAGGAACTGGAATTCATAGAAAAAGATAAACCCGCCCACCACAAAAACAAAGTGTCCCAATTAGGAGATCACGCCATTATTGCTTGCCACGGCCAAGTTTGCTCGTCGCGCTCGCTGCAGTACATTCAAGGCGTTGCAGCGTGCGCCACGCAAGCTGGGAGATGCGACTCGACATCACAAAAAGAGAAAGAGAGCAAAAATTATACGTGCAAAGAAGGAAAGAAAGAGGACAATATATCCAAGGTCAATACTTACTCGTCAACGGAGGCAGCAAACGAAAGTCATATGTGCCGCTGTAGCTGTGTCGCGCCGACGACTGCGGTCTCCTTAAACTCCGGTGACCAACAACCTCGTCAACCTGTGCTGCAAAGATTCGCTCTGCCGCCGTAAAGGACGGCGAAGATTTGCGCGCTCTAACCATATCTATAGTTGGTCCTGTTGCACGACCCTACACACAATAAAAACATAGAGAGAGGGACCAGGTTTTTAGTACGTACGACAGCAACAACAACATACATGGTATATTAGCGCGCATATCATTGCAAAAGTTGGCCCACAAGGGCTTTTATGGAGCATAAAAATATTGAATGGGGAAATTTAAAAGAAATGGTGCGTTAACTTGCCCGTACTCTTTTTTGGTATTCCACCATTTCGGGAAATATTTCAATATTTCGTTTTTGTTTCTCGTAAAAGGGCACTGTTTAATTCTCTGCTCTTAATAATCGTGATGGTTCGTAGTGGCAAGTGTTCCTGTGTCGAACAAAATAAAGATATTGTGTATGTGTGTGAGGTCAAATGGCTGGACAGGTGAGACTAATAGTCAATTTATATCCTGCTGAAACAATTTAATGTTGTTCACACGTGCTGCGCTGCACTTACAAAAAGAAATGACAGGCTGGCGTAGAAAGAGTAAAGCAAGGCTGGCTGCGCTTCAAATACTGCAGCGATATTTTTTTAAAAGTCCTTGCAATGTATCGGAAAAGCCAAAACTGCCGGTTGGGTGCAGCTGTTGTTCGTGTTGTATTTTGACCTTGGGAGTCGTGCGTACGTGGGTGTGTGTGTAAGAAGACAAAAAAGAAAAGAAAAGACTGGAATTGAACAAGAGAGTTGAAGAGAAAAAATGAGTATGGATGAGCTAAAAAATAGAGTAGAGGAAAAAGAACGAAAATTCGCTAATGCGGCTTTATTTTTAATTCCTTTCTTGACAAGCTTGGAATAAAGCAAAAATAAAATAAGAGTGTGGAAAATGTATGCGCAAATATAAATTCAAACTGATGTAAAGCAAAAGCTAACAGGCAAAAAAATAAAAAAAGAGAGGGGAGGTGCCGGCGGCAGGCAAAAAATGCAAGTATTGCGTGTGTTCAAAATCCCACTCCTTCCGAATAGAAACCACAAATAAAAAATAGGAAATACACCCCTCCCGCTCTTTTGAGCTTTCTTAGGTGTGGGTTTTTTTTCCTCTCAGATTTTGAAGACTTTAAATGCTTGTTGAAAAAGACGGAAAACTGTTTTTCGCATGGAGAGGGTACAAAGGAAATAAGGCTTTCAAAAGATTTTTTAATCTGGCGCATTCTTTTTTTTTTCTTTTTCCCATGCAATCTTTTGACTGCAGCCCATGGTGAAGGGACAGGGAAGATGAAAAAACTTGTGTTGACAGGCATATTTTAGTTATAATTTTTTTGTCGCTTGCATGTGTCTAAAATCACGACCTTGTCAATGACGAAGGGCGACGATATTAGGTATTGATACTGATAAATTAATCTTTGAGGAAGGGGGGATTAGGATGATGCCCATCACGAGCATGAATTTGCAATAGTATCAGGCGTCGAGAGTTGTTGTAGGACTACTGCTTTCTTTGGCCCTGCTTTTAAATGCAAATACAAAAAGGCGAGCCAATAATCCAAATTATTCTTCTTGTGCTGGCCAGTCAGCTAAGAATCGCACGCGGTTCTGCGGCCAAATCATTTTTCGCAACTTTAAAGTTTTCTTTTTACATACTGCGCCTCTAATCCTTTGGCTAAAAAGAAAAGAAAAAATAACAATAGGTGGCATGACATGACTTTAAAGATTTTGAAAAAGACAAAATATGATGAAAACAAATTATAAAGAGAATGAAAAAGTTACCTCACGGAGTTCCATCCATTTACGAAACCCAGCTCAAAATTCACACCCATCCATTTAGTCGCTCAGCGAGCGGAACTGCTCCTCCATGTCCCGCTGCAGCTCAGTGTACTTTTCAGCCAGCGCCTGCTCACCCTCAGCTGGATCCTCGAACTTCATGGAGCTCAGACGGTAGATAATGTCACCCATGTTATCGCGGATCTTGGCCCAGGTGATCTGGCCCGAGGTCGACTCAACAGCATGGGTCGCGTGCTTGTAGAACCCAATCATGTTGCGCAACATCCACGTGGTCTTGTAGAACGGGCAGTAGCGGTCATAGTTGGAGTACCCGTTCTGCTGCAAAAAGTCATCCTTGATGATGCGCGCAACTTCGAGCGTGATCTTGTCAGACTCAGCCAGCGCAGACTTTCCGACAAGCTGCACGATCTCGGACAGGTCCTCCTCGGTCTGCAGGATCTCCTTGCACTTTGTGCGCAGCGAGACAAACTCCGGGTCGGCACGCTCGTAGTACGGCTCCAGCGCGTTCATGTACTTGGAGTAGCTGAGCGACCAGTTGACCGAAGGGAAGTGCTTGCGCTGCGCCAACTTCTTGTCAAGACCCCAGAACACCTGGACAATACCCAGGGTGGCCGAAGTGACGGGGTCGGAGAAGTCACCTCCAGGAGGAGACACGGCGCCAACGACCGAAACACTGCCATAACGCTCGGGCCCACCCAGGCACTTGACCTTGCCGGCGCGCTCGTAGAACGAGGCTAGACGGGCACCCAGGTACGCCGGGTATCCCGAGTCGGCGGGCATCTCGGCCAAACGACCCGAGATCTCACGCAGCGCCTCGGCCCAGCGCGAAGTCGAATCAGCAATCATCGCCACGTGCTTGCCTTGATCACGGAAGTACTCGGACACGGTGATACCCGTGTAAATCGAGGCCTCGCGCGCAGCCACGGGCATATTGGACGTGTTGGCCACCAGCGTCGTGCGCTGCATAATCGGCTCCTGGCGGCCGTCAATCTCAGTCGTCAGCTGCGGGAACTCCATCAGCACCTCGGACATCTCGTTACCGCGCTCGCCGCAGTTGTGCACAACAGCCAGGTTGGCCAGCATGAACTGGTGGTCAGATGAGCTGGACAGCGTAAGGCCGTAGTAGTCGGCTGCGGGCAGCTCGCGCATAGAGAAGGCAAAGTTGTGGGCAGAACGCTCGATCTTGTCCGAAACCGGTGCGATATCGGAAATGCCAGACAGCGTGCAGCGAGCGACGACAGCGTCAAAGGCCGCAGAGCTGCCAAGGCTAATGCCGTGCTTATTTCCTGAGATCTGCACAGAGGCACGGATGCCCATTGAGCGCGCCAGGCTGACAGCGCCATCAAGAATGACCTCATACCCGGCGCTGTTGATGTTGGCCTTATCGGTCCTGTTGCTCATGCATCCGGCTGAGTCAAACAGACCAGCCAGGAACTGCTCGCGCACCTCAAAGGTGTCAGTGCGCAATGCCGACGACAGCGACTTGGCATTGCGGCCAAAGCCTTGCTCGGCAATCAGGCGCTTCATAAGCACCGCCAGTTTGCTAGCGGCAGAAGCCTGGCCCTCAATGCGCACACTGATATTGCTGCCACTGCTCTTAGTAATGGCAGCAACGCTGTGGCAGTCGATCTGGCTGGTGTATGCGGCAATGCGCTGGAGCAGCGCCTGGTCCTTGGCATTGACAGCAAGAGTTGGGTGATCGGCCTCAAAGTCCCCGCTGCTGGCCCATGCGCCAAGCAGGTAGGCAACCTTGGGCGCAAGTGTGGCGTCAATGGCAGCTCCCTCGAGAGCGGCGCCCAGGGCAGGCGACTCGACCAGCACTGGTGCATACCGCTGGAATGTAGCAGCACGCACACCGGCACTCATGCGCTCGACATCACGCGCCTCAATAGTCCAGCTGATAGCACTCCGTTCGACAGTGGACGCAAACTTCTCGGCTTTGCGCTGAGCCTCGGCAGCACCGCCATGGGTGCTGTGCTGGAAAAAGCGCCTGTGAACGCCAACCATTTGGATGCTGCGGCCCGATGCCATGTCGATGGCGGTGTCTAGGGCAAAGTAGCTGGCAACCGCCTGCTGCTCGCCATCAACAGTCTCAGAGGACACGCTGACGCTCTGCTCAGTGCGCACAACCAGCTCGTGCGTGGCATTGCATGTGAACGAGATGCCGCCGAGAGCCGGGACATGGGTCTCCTCGGCAACCTCGGTGACCTCGTACATGGTCTCAGTGCCGCGGGGGAGCGCAACAACCTCACGCGGCAAGCCGTCCTCGCCGAGGACCAGCTCGCCGACCCGGACGTCCTCGATGTTGCGCGTGGCACCATCGGACATAAGCACTTCAGTGCCCTGGGCAAAGCAGCCGACGTAGACGATAAAGTCCGAGTTGGAGTACTTTGACAGCGACTGGCTAATGACTGTCTTGCCGCAGCCAAAGGCACCCGGAATCGCTGTGGTTCCGCCCTGCACGCAAGGGAACAGCGCATCGAGGACGCGCTGGCCGGTGAGCAGTGGGTGATCAGCAGCCAGCTTCTCTGCGGACGGACGCGGCAGACGCACAGGCCACACCTGCATCATTGTGTGTTGGGCCTTGACGCCCTCGAACTCGGTCTCCAGCACGACATCAGCCACGGCGTACTTGCCGGCGGGCGCAATGTACGTGACTGTACCGCGCGCGTTCGGCGGCACCATAATGTAGTGGTTGCGCAGCAGCGAGTTCTCGTAGACAGTGCCAAACATGTCGCCGCCGGCAATGTGATCACCGACCTTGACACCCTTGGGCTCGAACTGCCACTCGAGCTTCCTGTCGAGAGCCGGAGTGTCGATTCCGCGGGGGATGTAGATGCTCTGCGAAACCTCCTGGATGGCCTTGAGCGGGCGCTGGATGCCGTCAAAAATGTTGGAGCTGAGCCCAGGGCCGAGCTCAACTGACAATGGCTTTCCCGATTTCAGCACGGGATCGCCGACGGTCAGGCCGGCGGTCTCCTCGTAGACCTGGATGGTGGCCTTGTCGCCCTCAATGCGAATGACCTCGCCAACCAAAGCCTCGTGGCCAACGCGGACAAGCTCGTACATGGCCGATCCAACCATCTTCTCGGCAATTACGACGGGGCCTGAGACCGAGTAGACGTAGCCAAACTCGGACTCTTCTGCGTCCTCGTCGAGATATCTGATATCGCGCGATGCGTTCTCCATAGCGCCGGCCTAATTCAAAAGTAGCAAAGTGGTTGCAATTAGCCAAAGGTGTGTTTCTTGCGTGCAAGTGCTCATTACCCACCCTCAAAAGTCAAAATTCGGCACTTTTGTGATTGCGACTGCTGCTTACCATTGTTTATAAAGTGTCAAGTGATTGCGATTCGGAGCTGCCCGGCGGTTGTGTTAGAGATAAAAGTGTATTAAAAAGATAAGACAATAAGCGTGTGTGCTAATAAATAAGAGTGCAAATTTAAAAGAAGTTAAAGTAATATTACACGGCAATTCAAGATGGGAGAGGGCAATTTCAAAGCTATCATAGCTTGTCCAAAGATCCACAAATAGTGCGATTTTGAACCGCGAGACATTGTTGTGGACATTGATGACGAAATGTTTGTGCATTTTTCAATGTGAGCCGAGCCACACATCCCCGAGTCGCTTGCTCTGCATATTGCGTACGCATGGTGATGCAGAAGGCTTTGAGCGAGCGACTCGCCAAAAAAGCGGATTACGTATGTGTATCCACCGCTGCCGACGCTGCGTGGATAATGTGGGCCAGGCAAAAAATAAAACCGAATTGCATAATTTCATTTCCTTTTTTCGATTATTATTTATTCGAATTTTATTACTTATTAAAGCTCTTGCATCCCTTCAAACATAACGCGGTGCGATTTCTTGTTATTACTACCAGCTTCCACTTTTTACTCTTTTTTTACACACACACTCGCACAGAACATTTAACCAGAGATTTAATTTTCGAAATGCCCAAGCAAGACTGGGAAAAGTGTACGTGCTTATTTTGCGCTTAAGCGCAGTGCATTTGGTCGCCACCTTTCAAACAGTGATTTTGGGTTTTCAGCAGAGTGCACGAGGGTCTTTTTGGTTTGAATTCGGCAACGCATTATAAGATGACTCCAATGTACAAGCGGCGCTAATTACGACTGTATATTTTGCACATCCTCTTATACCATGTAGACAAGAAGCCAATCAATAAAGGCGAAGAGGAGAAGGTTACTGGTAAGTAGCACAATTCTCATTTTCATTGCAAAGCAACGAGTCCACCTATTTGTAGCACCAATAGTAATAAGATGCCACCTATCGTGATTCATCCGTTATTGTAGTTCTCGACGAAAAGGATATTGAGCTCCTCAAGGCGTATGGCGAAGGGCCGTACGCCAAGGAGATCAAGGCACTCGAAAAGTCAATCAAGGACGTACAAAAGTCCATTACAGAGAAGATTGGCATCAAGGAGCTCGACACCGGACTGGCGCCGCCCAGCCTGTGGGATCTTCCGGCCGATAAGCAGATGCAACACCAAGAGCAGCCGCTGCAGGTTGCGCGCTGCACAAAGATTATCGGCGAGGGTGACGCAGCAAAGTACGTGATCAACGTCAAGCACATTGCAAAGTTTGTCGTTGCACTGGCCCAGCATGTGTCGCCGACAGATATCGAAGAGGGTATGCGGGTGGGCGTTGACCGTTCAAAATACCAGATCAAGGTGCCGCTGCCGCCCAGGATCGACCCAACGGTGTCGATGATGACAGTGGAGGAGAAGCCCGACGTGACATACAGCGACGTCGGCGGATGCAAAGAGCAGATTGAGAAGCTGCGCGAGGTTGTCGAGCTGCCGCTGCTGGAGCCCGAGCGGTTCATCAACCTGGGCATTGACCCTCCAAAGGGCGTGTTGCTGTATGGCCCGCCCGGGACCGGTAAAACTCTGTGTGCACGTGCCGTAGCCAACCGCACGGATGCGACGTTTATCTGCGTCATCGGGTCGGAGCTCGTGCAGCGGTATGTGGGTGAGGGCGCCCGCATGGTGCGCGACCTGTTCGAGATGGCGCGCACAAAGAAGGCGTGCATTATCTTTTTTGACGAAATCGACGCGATTGGCGGTGCGCGCCACGATGACGGCGCTGGTGGTGACAACGAGGTGCAACGCACGATGCTGGAGCTGATCAATCAGCTCGACGGATTCGACCCGCGCGGAAATATCAAGGTCATCATGGCCACTAACCGTCCGGACACGCTGGACCCGGCGTTGATGCGGCCTGGACGTCTTGATCGTAAGGTTGAGTTCTCGCTGCCTGACCAGGAAGGCCGCGCTCATATCCTGCGCATCCACGCGCGCAGTATGAGTGTTGAGCGCGACATCCGTTACGACCTCATTGCGCGCCTGTGTCCCAATAGCACTGGCGCTGAGCTTCGCAGTGTGTGCACAGAGGCTGGCATGTTTGCTATCCGGGCCAGGAGAAAGGTGGCCACAGAGAAGGACTTTTTGGAGTCGGTCAACAAGGTCATCAAGTCGTACGCCAAGTTCAGCTCTACGCCCAAGTACATGACTTACAATTAATGTGGGTTCATATGTGTCTGTGTGTGCATGCGTGGATGCGATTGTTGTGCATCTCTTTTTTGTGCTCTCCTGCTCTCTGGTGGGCCCTGGGATTCCTTCTAACTGCCCCCTTTGCTTGCGCACGTCCTCTGGTGTTTTCTTGTAGCCGTTTTGCTCCCGCCTTCTCTCATTCACTATTATTTTTTAAACAAACATTTTTTTGCCTTTTGCTCTTGGAGAAAGCAAGATCACGTATGCACTATCGTTGGCCATTTTCTCTACAGCATAAATCCCTGGTGGCCACGCTTGCTTTCGGATCAACTCTTGATCATTAGGATTAAAATCAGAATTTTTTTGTGTTGCACGTTTCATGCCCATGAGAGACAAAGAGAAAAATAATAATAGCAGTTGGCTGTTTGATTTGGTGTGGTTGTTGTTTTGAGTGGTGCAATTTTTTCACTTTAAATTTTTTTGTTGGGTCTTTTGCAATTTTCATTTTTTCAGCAATTTTTCATACACAGAAGACCTTGACGCGCCGACTGGATAAATAAAAAAAGCAAAGCACAAGATTATGCCTACAGCCCAATATATATCTTTCCTACATTTCGCTTTATCTCCTTCCTCGCCCCCCGTCTTTTGATATCACAGCCATATTTGTTTCAAGCCCCATTTTTAATCCAGAAACCATGTCACCAGGCCTCGCAATAACAAAGCCTATGCTCAAGGCCAAGGCCAAGGCCAACGGCAGCGGCAGCCGCGTAGACGCGCTGCTTGCCAAGCAAGGTAAGGCCGACAAGGTGCTTTTGCGGCGGCGGATAGAGTTCCGAGTGGCACAGCAATCGGACGCCAAAATGGACCAGCTCCGCAAAAAGTATAAGCCAATCAACATGGTCTCCACCAGCAGCTCCAGCAGCAACACCAATAGCAACAGTGCACAGCCCGACACAGCCGGCTCATCACTCGAGGGCGGCTTGCTGGACCAGAGCGTCGATGGGCTTATTGAGAAAAGTGGATTCCGGCGTGCCGCACACTCACTGTTTCCGTCAGAGCGGCTGGCAGCGACCTGGCGGCAGGTGCGCGCAATCGGGCCGGGCCTGAGCAACCTTGGAAACACATGCTTCCTCAACTCCGTCCTCCAATGCCTGACGTACACGCCGGCATTGGCCGAGTACATGCTGATGCGTGAGCATTCGGCGAGCTGCCGCGTCGGGGATAACTGCATACTGTGTAAGTTCGAAGCCCATGTTGTGCGCGCCCTATCGAAGCGCGAGAGCTCGTCGATCGCGCCCAAGCCTATTGTCGGGAGGCTCAAGCTGGTCGCTAAGCATATGCGGGTTGGGCGGCAGGAGGATTCACACGAGTTTCTTCGTTTGCTCGTTGAGGCCTTCCAGCGCAACTTGCTGCACGGGATTGATCCCAAGATCGACCGGCGGATCCAGGAGACCACACTGGTGCACCAGGTGTTTGGTGGATACTTGCAGAGCCAGATCAAGTGTAGCCGCTGCGGTCATGATTCTAATACTTTTGAGCCGCTTTTGGACATCAGCCTGGATATCCAGCCCGGCAGCGGTACCATTGCCAAGGCTCTGCGCGCCTTTACGCGGCCCGAGATGCTGACTAAGAGCAACCGGTACAAGTGCGAAAAATGCGCTAAGCTTGTGGACGCCACCAAGCAGATGACCGTCTACCGGTTGCCGCGCGTGCTGACGCTGCAGCTCAAGCGCTTTTCGATATTTGGCGGTGGCAAGATTAACCGGTATGTGGAGTTCCCCTTGTCGCTCAATATGAAGGGATACGTCAGTGGAAATTCGCCCGAGGCCGGCCCCCATGACTACTCGCTGTATGCTGTGCTTGTTCACTCTGGCGGCATGGCGCGCTCCGGCCACTACTTCTGCTACGTCAAGTCGCCTGCTGGTGTGTGGTACAATATGAACGATAGTACGGTTCACCAGGTCAGCGAGCGCACGGTGCTTAAGCAGACCGCCTACCTGTTGTTCTACGAGCGTTGCCAGCCGACTAAGACTGATCGCCCTGTGGCTGCTGCTGCTGCTGCCGACAAGAAGAATAAGAAGGACGATTTGGAGGTTTCTGAGAGGGTCGTGGTGGACAAGAGCGTGTCCAAAATCGCCCTGGCGTCCGACGACATGGAAGCAATCGTGGGTGGGGAGATGAAGGACAAGAAGAAGAAGAAGAAGCTCCGCGATGCCTCCGGCCTGCCACAGCTGCCATCAACTGTCAATGGCGCTGTCGATGGACTTGCGAAGAAGAGCAAGAAAGCGAAGAAGGCCGCCGCCGCCGCCGCTACCGCCGCTATGGAGATCAACCAGATTCTGAAAACGCCCAGCGCCGAACTTGTCAACTCCAAGCCTGTGCCGACAAAGAAGCCCATGGGCACGGCGATCGAGAAGATCACAGCCGATCTGGCCGACTCCAAGGCATCCGAGTGGGTGGTGCGCGAGAAGGCGAAGAGCAAGCCCGTGGGCAGCGACGCCAAGGTCATCAACTGGAACGACGACACCGCTAGCAAGTCGGCCAAGGTCGCAGCCATTGAGAAGAGCAAGGCTGTCACCTCCGGCAACAACAATGGCAGTTGGAGTATCGGTGAGGTGCGCCCTAACCGCTCATCGCAGTACGGCACTGCTGTTGAAGCTTGGACTAGCAGCGATTCCATGGCCGATGTTATTGCCGGGAACAAGAGTGCTGACGAGAGAAGGTCTGATAAGAAGCGCAATCGTCGTCCAGACTTTTATGACTCGGAGTATGATCGTGGCCGCACAAAGAAGGTCAAGCAGCCAAAGGCCAACAAGTTTGCTGCCACTATTAATCCGTTCCAAAAGGTCGGCGAGCGCATTTCCAAAAAACACTAAGTTTAGGGTATGTCTATTTTATCTCGGTCGCTTTTAATTTCACCTTTCACTTTTACTTTTACTTTTTATTTTTAGCACTTTTTCTATTGGAAACTAGCGCGAATTGTCGAAAACGCTTGATCAATCCTTGTAATTTTGAGAAAGCTTATCAAGAAAGATTACCCCTCCGGGGGCTTTTGCTGGGGTTTTTATTATAATGCTAACAAAGAGAGTTAAATTTGAGAAAGCCGTCCCTGCGAGCTCGCGCTCATTTAAACCACAATATTATTTTTCCTCTTTTGTCTCATTTCTGCTTTAAAGTTTTACTTTTACACCCACATTCTACATTTAAAACAAAAATGCTTTCGGCTACCACACGCCAGACATCCCGGCGCATCGCAAAGAGCAACGTGTTCCGCACCCAAGCAATCACATTGCAGCGGTTCAAATCCACCACCAGCAGCACTGCGCAGAAGACACCCACGACGACCGAGCCCAATTCAGCCGTTGTAATGCAGCAGGCGCCCAACCGCGAGACCACGTGGTCGAGTGACCAGCGTCCACGCTCGGAAGTTATTTTGGACCCGCGTTTCGTCCAGGCCGACCTGGAGGCTCAGCCGCGCCCGATGGCTGCCATTGAGCTCATTGCCGAGGAGCCCGTGCGCATGGTCGACCAGCGCTTGGCTTGCTGCGACGGAGGTGGTGGTGCCCTGGGCCATCCCCGCGTATGGATTAACCTCGATGAGGGTAACCCTGAGAGCTGCGGTTATTGCGGTCTGCGCTTCCAGATGAAGCCCCATCACCATTAAGTGGACTCTGGAAAGACCAAATCAATTTTTTTACTAGGCTACTACTTCAATTATATACACGTATCTACAAACACACTCGTATTTATTGAAACACGCCATTGTACACACTCAATCGTCTGATACTGGCAGAGTGCATCAAGCGCCTTTTTTTGCGAGCAAGCGATCGCATTCGTCTTTTGAACACTTATTTTGACCAGCTGTGAATCACGTGTGATTTATATTATTTTCAAAAGGTGTGTGCCGCTTTTTGCTCTTTTAAGGCTTGTTTTGGTTTTCCGCCTGCGAAATATCAACGCTTCCCCCTTCACTTCATAGAAATTCATTTTTATTTCTGCAATTATAATTTCTTTATTACACATACTTTCTAACACACACACACACACACACAAGCACATTCAAATGTCGTCGTACGCATACCTGTTCAAGTACATTATTATCGGAGATACAGGTAAGAAAGAGAAAGTGGCGGAATGACGTTTGCCTCCTCCCCCAAAAAGGGAGGTATGTGGGTCATCCGCTGCTGGCAATTTTAGAATTGTTTTTTTTTGAAGGTGCTGTTGTGCATCGAATGTCCTACGGTCAACTAACTCTTTCTTTTGCTTTGACCACTTGGTCTTTCAACCTTGTGTGTGTATATTCTGCGTGTAGGCGTTGGAAAGGTAAGGAGCTCGACAGCAGCTGGCGAAGAATTGGGAGAGTGGCTTGAACACGGGCCACTCGGGATCCTATGGAACGGAGTGTGACGTATCTGCTGCCGTTTGCTTGCTTGATAAAAAATATACCACACCCTGTACACATATGCACTAACCGCATTCATTAACTTTAACTGAACCGCACTAATTTTTTATTTGCGTTCTTTCTTATTTTTGTTTTTATGTCATCTCGCCACTGTAGTCGTGTCTGCTGCTTCAGTTCACTGACAACCGCTTCCTGCCGTCACACGACCTAACAATTGGCGTCGAGTTTGGCGCGCGCATGGTCAAGGTCGAAGACAAGGACATAAAGCTGCAAATCTGGGACACAGCGGGCCAAGAGTCCTTCCGCAGCATCACACGCAGCTACTACCGCGGGGCTGTCGGAGCCCTCCTTGTCTACGACATCACCCGCCGGGACACCTTTGAGCACGTAGCCACGTGGCTGGAAGACGTTCGCAAGCACTCCAATACAGAGACCACCATCATACTTATTGGCAACAAATGCGATCTCGAAGCTAAGCGCTCGGTGTCGAGGGAGGAGGGTGAGAAGTTTGCCAGGGATAATGGGCTTTATTTTATAGAGACTTCGGCCAAGACTGCGAGTAATGTCGAGCAGGCGTTTGTCCAGACTGCGCAGGATATTTATGAGAAGATTCAGCAAGGTGTTTTGGTTGTTAATGGTGAGCCTAGTGGCGTGAAGTTGGGACCCAGCCAGCCAGGCATCTCGTCCATGCCTAATGTGTCGCAGTCTGGCGGATGCTGCTGAGTATTTCTTTTTTATATATTTTAATCATTAATATTACTATTTTTCTCAACATGTATATTTTGTGAATTATTTGGTCCACTTTATATATGACTTTGCAAACAACAATGCAACGCACCCATTCATTCCCAAACATATTAGTAAACTAGTTGTAAAATGCGTTAAATATCAGGCCGATTTGTTCTGACATGTTATCTGTTGAGCAGGCTTAAGACTGCAAATTATTTGTTGGCCTTGGAATATGAATATGAAAAAGGGGCGACAAGCTATGAGGTGTTGAATATGTACCCTTTTCGATGCAGTAACTTAGTGCAAATATTATATAAACTCAATAAAACAAAAACTATATAACAAGTTGTTCACAATATTTCCCATGCGTTGGGTGGCGGCACTGCTTGTATAGCCATTGAGGGGACATTGGTGCTGATGCCCGAGTTTTGAGGAGTGCGTTGTGCGTGGTAATTGAGGCGACTGTCCTGGACTAGAGTGTTGCGGAACGTAAGCGTTCTGGTGAGCTCTTTTTCGCCCAGGTCAAACTGGAGCCACTGGCACGGCACTCGTTATCCAGCAGTCCTTGAATGTGTGAACATCCTTGGGATGTGAGATCGAGTAGTGAAAGTTTTGTACGATGCGACTCATTACTGAGGATTTCCAGCAACTAAAAATGACGTCTGCTGTAAGATTGGTGCCCGTCCATTGAAAGCTTGGCGTGCGTGCGGTATATCTCCACCAAGACACCCAAACCGTGGAGTGCGTCTGCATTTAGGAAATACTTACCTCGACTTTCCCAAAGCCATTAATCAAAACATGATCCTTTGTCGACACGGAATTTCTAGGCCCCTGTATTGATCACTACGGCTGTATTGCAATAAGTGAGATACGAGAAGCCAGAATCACTAGACACGCTTGTACTCCCAAAAGTAGTGCGCGAGGATCTGTCTCAGCGGTGCAGATCTTGCACTTATTTTCCGGCCCATAGACACAATGCGACAGTTGGGAGGCCGTGGGTAAACACCCCTTGGGCCATCATCCAGAGGAGTGATATGTGTTTTGGTTCTAGCATACTTTTTTTGGATCTGTTCCCATCTCGGCGGCGGCCGCGGATCGGTTTCTGTCGATGTGGTTTGGGCGTGCATAGTCCCCCAGCGGTTCCATCGCAGCGGCGCAGCTTCTTCTTTTCGTGTCGCCCTTATGCGCCCGTCCTTTATAAACATGAATCTGCAGCAGCTTAACTAAATACTGAAATGGTAATCGTCGATGGCATTGAGAAATTAAAATATGAAGCTAAAATTGAATATTATACAGAAAATTAAAATAAAAAAGTGGGTGCAAAATACAAAATGCGCTTCGCCGGCGAAGCGCAGACAATCAAAGAGTAGTCATCCAAGTGGCCCAGTCGTGTTTATTGCTCAGATTTTGCTCGCAATGCTGGGGATTTGGCGGAAGAAGTCGGGATCCAAGCACTCCGCCTCCATATCGTCGTCATTCTTATCCGCGTTGAAGCACTTCAGGTTGTTAAAAAAGTACCTGTCAAGAGTATCCACACCGTTGTTGTCGTCGAGCAAAAGATATAACTCGGCAACTCGCAGCCCATCTACAGTAGCATCGTCGAGCTCAAACATAAGATGCTTGGACAGGAACATTGCCCGGGCCAGATAAAGGTTGAATTGGATGATCTTGCGGTTACGGCGGCACTTCTGGTTTGCAGGAGCTGCATCAGTGCTCGATGAATCCACTGATTGGTAGTATCTCTTGGCAGACTCCTGGTAGGTGTGCTTGAGAAGCGTGGAGGAGGTATCTGCAGCGTCCATGACAGTCTCGGACTGGACCAAGGTGTTCTCGGATCCCCTTGACGCCAGCGCGGGGACTTCTGGGGCAGAATTCACTGCTACTGCCATCTTGTCCTTGACGTTCTTGATGTTATCGCGAATTTGGACTATCTCAGCCTGGAGTTCAATCTTGTCCTTGGCTGCTTGATCAACTACCATTTGCATCCGGTCCTTGGCAACCTGCAGGCCCCTTGTGTGCTTGGCTTTAGCCTCCTGCAGGCCTTTGCGGGACTCCTGGGTAAGAGTTTCAATAGTATTGGCGAGTTCCATCTCATGGCACTTCTTGGCTCTATCCATCGAGCGTTCAAAGTTGGCAGCCATATTGCGGGCCATGTTGGAAAAAGCTTTGGCGGACTGTTGGGCTTCCTCTAGCTGCATATTTAGGGCAATAAGATGAGCCTCTCGGGCAGCACGGCGTTTTTGTCCGGGAATGCAAGCCCGAGCAGCGCGACGAACAAAAGAAGAAAAAGTCATTTTAAAGTCGGGATAAATAAAAATGGCAGGAATTGAGTTGACCAAACGATGGAACAAAAAAGTTATGAAATATAAAAGTATAAAAGTAGGATAATAGGATAATAGGATAATAGAATATAACAGTAGCAAACAAGGATGATACAAGAGTATGAAAACTAAGATGTGTTTGATAGATCTGCAAAGTTGGAGAACGACAAGGCTGGAGAGCACCAAGGTTGGAAAGCGGCAGAGTAGGATAGCAGCAGAGTAGGAGCGTATACTATTAGAGTGCAGAACTAGCGCAAACATAATTTTGTGAAGAAAAAAGTGGGCGAGGGCTACTTGAGCGCCTGTGCGGTACTTTATAGTATCTGCAACCGGCCCTCTAAACCACTTGCACTCGGTAATATGCGACATGGAACATGCGTCTCACAACATATAGCGGCACTATATTGCAACCGCGGATCATGAGCTGCATGAACGTGCATATGCAGGCATTGTTCATCGAATTTTAGGGAGTGAAATTATTTTTTGTTGGGGAATGGTATCGGCTTTTTTGAGGCACCTGCAAGTACGGTTTTGCCGCTTAAAGGCCGGACTGGTGGCAAGGCATTTCATTGCATGACATTGTCTAAGCGACAAATGCGACGCGTAAAAGTATTTAAAACACCTGCAAGCATTCCCTCTCAGTTTAATTAAGTCTAATTTTAGCAATGTTACCATGCGTACAGCTGTGTCTGTTATTTTTCAACATAAGCCTGAATAGAATACTGCAAAGCTAAATTATCTCGATAGCAAGTGTGCCCACAGCTCGAATCACACTGCCGCCGATGCCGTGTATTTGGATTAGGGCCATTTACGCAAACAAAAGGAGGAACAAGATGACACAAACTAATGCACAAAACTCCTTGTCGCGTGGATTGACTCAATCGTTAAAATGTTGTTCATACCGGCTGCTTGAACCTGTGAAATACCTGTTAAGTAGCAAGTGGCCACATACATTGGTTATTGCACACCCCTTTCGCTGTAGCACGAGGTGTGAGACTGCATTCCTGCTTGATGTGAATAACTCGTTTATTTATATGCGCAAGCCACCTACAATTTATCGGAAGCAACATTCTTTTTTGTTTTGCGTTGCCAATCTAAGTTAGGGTTGCCGTCCAAAAATAACAATGCACTTTTCTATATTTGCACTTTGCAATGCCCGTCAACTTCTCTTACAAAGCAGCAGTGCGTACAAATTTATTGATGGTAGAGGGCTAACAAGGAAGACCCGCATAGAGTGGCTTACAAAATTGTTGTTGTGCAACCATCAGTTAATTGTCATTTAATGTTTCCATTATGTCGAGTACTTTGGATTAGACATGTATACTTGAACTGTCAAAGTGATGAGCATGTTGTGCGCCATTTAAAGTTAGTTTGGCCCCAGCAATTTATAACGCCGTTTATTATTATGCCATTCGTAAACATATTTCTAACCAGAATATTCTGTAAAAATAAACAATGCTGCAGCAGTTCAATTAGGAATATTAGAAGGTTAGGCAAAACATTTTTATTGCCAATTGACAAAACTGCTTTTTTTCAACAACCATATGCAGGTGTGCAAATTATTTGATATGTTGGTGATTACACGCCTTTTTGACAAATTGTATTTTTTTTACTTTTCTCAAGCACAAAAATGCATAATCGAAAGAGGTACTATGCGTGCCAGTAATTTTAAGAAAAAGGCGTTTGGTTGTATGGGTTTACCAAAAGAACCTTCTTACCGATAAATACTTCTCTGCGCTTATTGTCAAGACCTTGCCAATTTTTTTAATTATCGGGATGCCACACATTGTATTTTTTTGCCAGGCAGAATCGAAAACTTTTTTTTTGGATTGGTCTCATTTCACTGAGTCATAAGCCAGTGAAGACAGGTTAAATTGAACATCTACTCATTATGTTTTTATGAAACAGTTCATATCCCAACTCCTGCATTCCAAATAAAACACATTCACTCGCAATACTTTTTACTCAGATACTGATATTATTCCAATTGACTCGTGATTTAAATACGGGTTTGGAACGACAAGTTGAGTAGCACAAACTATCCACGATGTCATTGATAACCTGCTTTTTTCAGACACGCTGAACAATTAAGGCCCAAAGAATAGTTCTAACATAGCCTGAAGTACGTGTTTTTTGACACAGTAACTTAGTCCAAATATTATTATAGAAACTAAATAAAATAAAAACTACATACCGAGTTGTTCACAATAATTCCCTTACATTGGTGCTAATGCCCGAGTTTGGGGGAGTGTGGGGTGCGTGGTAATTGAGGCGGCTGTCTTGGACTAAACCAACCAGAACATTGTTTCAAGTGTTTCGCTTCTCATGATAATCTTCTCTAGAGCTGAACCTGGTTCTGTGAAATCAAAATGGTTGAATACTTTTAAGGTACTGAATCATCGGGTGAGTCTTCTATCAAATTACTGTGTGAGTCGAAAAGTACATGTTTTTTCATAAATGTGGAAATATATTATATTATTCTGATTTTAGGCGCTGAGCAGGTTAGATTACAAAATACATACATGTAAGAATTAACATGAAATGCACTCATTATGCATATAAGCGCTTTTCAACTATTAGCCTTTTCTGGGTCGGTCTTGGCAAAAGCATTGAAAACAATCCAGATTGAAGAACAATCAACAAATCACAATAAAATAAATGAAAAATATAAATTGAGCTTTTCTCTGCCACTGCAGCACACGCAGCGCGCAATGTGAATGACCGTGTCATCAGAACATGATGGTCGCAGATCAAGCACAGCAAAAAAGTTTTGAATCTGTCCACCTTACCGAATGGCTCTGTGGCTTTTTTGTTTCGTGTTTTTATGCATTAAAAATGACCCCTGTTCGAGTTGCAAAATACTGACCCGTAGCAGCCGCCTCCAATTCTGCACCTTGCACTCCATTTCTTGCCTCGATGTCGCAAAAGAGGGGATCCAATTTAATATGCATAAATATTTTGCCATTGTTCTATTTTCAACCATGCACTTTGTTTACCCCTTTCTTACTCATTTTTTGTCGGCCATTGACATTGCTGGCGCATAGTAAGGAAAAATAGCTACCATTCGCCCCCCTGGTTTTTACAGGAAGTTGTCAACCATTGTTTGATGAAATACGGATATCAATGCCCTCTATTTGTGAAGATCGCAGAGGTAGAAATGGGTGCAGTTTGCTCGATGTTTCGGATGAAATCTTTTTTATATATTGTTTGTTTTGGCTTTTTTATGTGCATGTATCCAGATGTGCAAATAACCTTTTAGCTGCCATGATTGATCCGGAACCACCAGAAAAAAGAGAAAGCTCAACAATGGCTTAGAGCAACCCTGGCCTTCATTGTGAGAAGAAAAGGAGAAAAGCAAGTTTTTATTAGTCAACACATAAAAAATTATGCCAATACTCACCCTCCTTATTCGCACTGTTACCACTGCCAAAACAAATAAAACATTGCTGCTACTTTGTTCTATTCTGGCTCAGCCTAAGCGTGAGCCTGGCAAAAGTATATTATTTTTATACAAAAAGCCACAATTATTTTTGGCTGCAAAAATCTATTCTGACTGATATCAACTTTTTCTGTATACAAATGGCCTGTCCGCCAGCGACCGTGGTTTGAAAAAAGCATTGTAAAAGTGACCGCTGATCAATATGTCCATACTTTGAAATATTATAACGGATATTCGGATATTGACAATCTTCAAACAATAACATGTGTATGAAGAAGGCATGCTTTCGCCAAAAAGGGGGAATATACATGCAACGAGAAAGCCCTCTTGAAACTTGCACTTCGCTCCAGCCGAACCCGAAAGAGGACCCGAAAAGCACATTATTTTTTGTGAGGAGCAAAGAGGAGCGCACTTATTTTTGCACAGCTCAGCACAGCACAAAACAAAAAAGAGCAGAAATAAATACCAGACATCTCCCACCCCACTCCTTCCACCGTCTTTCATCCTTGTTTTTTTTTAACATCTCAAGCAAAGTTTTCTACAACACCACCAACACCATCACCATCACCAGCACTACCCAAATATCTTGTATTTTTAGCACACCCGCCATCCTCTCACCTTTACGCTTTTTCCCGAGTGTTTTTTATTTTCGCCCAAATTATTTACCACATATATTTATAACATATCTATATTATTTTATAACATTTATTACTCCCCCACCTTTTAAGCATCTTTTTGATCTTTCCATTTTTAAAATGTCTTCTATCAGCGTTGTTTGCACTGTTATGCGCGCGATCATCGCCACACGCCATGACCAGGATTACTCAGACTTTGTCGCACCTGCCGCTGCAACCGCTGAGGCCCTCGAAGATGTCAGCACTCGTGCAGAAAAGCCAAATGCTTTGCATTGCCTACCAAGCTCCTTCCAAGGCCGAGTCTGCTTTAATTGACACGCAGGCCGCATAGTTGCGCTCCGAGAACAAGCTGCTGGACAGCCAGGCATTTTAAATTGCGGCCACTTATGCTGCGGCCAAGCCCTCCCTGCGTTGCATTGTCAAGGCAACCGATGCCTTCATCGGCAAGTCTTCCACCCGCCCTGAGCTGCCGCACGCCAAAGTCCAAGCGTTGCGCCGGGTTTTTGAGGCGACTGATTCTCAGACCAACACCAGGCGCAAGAGGGTAGACACTTGCATTTATCTGGCTATATCTGCCATTGCCTAGGGTTGTGTGGCTTGCGACCGGATGGAAGCTCTTTGCAGACAGATGGCTTCTTCACGTGGAGAGCTAGACATACTTATTAGCACAATTAATGCACAAAGCACCGAGATACGCACACACCGCAATGAGCTTGCAAAGTGGCCCTCTGAGTTGGTCGCTCTGCAAGTCAAGCTGACATTGCGTGCAGAATAGGCGGATGCGATCTGCGCAGCTGGTCAGAGCTCGGTTGGCAACAGTGCATTATAGCACAAATGCCGCTGGCTCTATCAGCAAAATTCCAACAAAGCAGCGGCACAAGTGTGCAAAACACAAATGCCGCTGCCAGTAAGGTGTTTTTGGATAGCCGGCACAAGTGCACAAAGGACAATGGCCGCTGCTAGCCACCAGCAATGATGGGCAAGACACTTCTCAAGATGTATTGATGACGGCGCAAGCACCTGTGCGTAGAAGCCGTACCGGATCCTATGCCAAGGCCAAATAAACCCTCACCTTTACGAACCATACAACTTTAAATTTAAAAATTGTAAAAATAAATAAAACGAAACTAAAAGCACTCAGCGTGCCCACACATTAACAATATGCTGTTTTGATCTATGCCACCATGGGATGCGTTTTATGGCGGGCAACTAAACGGTCAATAGTTAGTATGGCTCTAATATACTAACTGAGCCTAGTATTTAGCTATGTCGGTTTACTAGCATTTTGGTTGTCAATTGATTTAAAGCCAAAAAAGCAATTCTACTTTGGCATTAATTAAAAGGAAAATATAAGAGTAAGTTTATACGCATGTATTGCAAATTCATTTAATGTTAAACTCAAAGTCAATTGTACATGACAATATTTGTGCCAAACCATGGCTGCGAGAAAATATTGTTGAGTAACTTGATGATATGGAAGTGGATATTGAGGTTAAGAATCGTGAAATGAGTTTTCACCATGCTGATTAACAGGGCATAGATGGTACCATGTGGGATCAAATTAGGGGATATAATAATGACGCCCCGATATGCCCCCATTTGATAATGTATATGCATGGATGCGCACATGCAAAGACATAATATTGACTTGCCAAGATACCAGTCTGCTCGAAAAAAACCAGTTCTCAACAGCGGGGTGCACAATCGGTGAAGTGCGCAATAAAGGCAGCGAGACATATATAAGATGAGGTCGGCCTCAGTTATGCTTTTAATTCCATTGATAATAAAAACCTTCATAAACTAACACCCCGTCTTTAACACTACATCATGGTGCTCCACACACACCCTCTTATTATAGCAATATAATATTAGGGTCATTGACGAGAACCAATAACCTAGAATTTCTCTAATAGAAATAATTAGTTTTTTATTTTATTTTACTACTTTTAAGCAAAATACTACACATACTGTTAACGAGTAAATTCAATAAATGTACTTTAAAACTGTATTCTAAAAACTAGCAAAAGAGAAGAGATAGAACTAATAAATGTTGTTGTTTGCCCTTTTTATGGCTGTGAGTCTTTGTACTCACAAAGAAAAGGGCAACTGATAGGCATTTCCTATAAAGGAAATCTGTGCCCAACACATACTCTGTTTTTAAACATGGATAGTTAATTTTTTGTATAAAACGAGATAATATTCTGGACACATTAAACATATTTGTTATCTACATACCAACCCAATTACGTTTGCCCAAAATAAAAAATAGACATTTCACTGCCGCTGTACACATTTATTAAGCAAATAGACGGGCAGACGCCAATCAGACAAATAAACTCTGCCTACACGAAGAATAATTGTGGCAACTATGTTTTTGTTACTTGTTTTTGAGTACCTCAAAAAATGTGAATATGTGTGGGCAGCCAAATCATGATCAATCAATGTCGATCTAATCAGGCCATTTTAAGATAAAACACAATTATACCTTGATTGCTCCTCTTAGTGCTTATTTTTTTTACTGCCTGATCATATTTTCTTTGAATCGGCAACACCAGAACTTTTCTTTCTTTTCCGCGCTTCTCTCGATTTCTGCTTTCATTTGTCATTTCCACACTTTTTAGTGCACAAAACCCTTGTTGTTGAATCGAGGCAAAACAATTTACGCCCTTCACAATTCGTGCTAATCAGCCCAAGCAGCTCGGAATTCCCCACACACATACACACACTCGACATTTCTGGGATTCATAGCGTGGAAATAGGATATGTTTGCTTGTATCCGATCCGGGCCCCTACGGAGCCTTTCCGCAAGCGCAAGCTCGTGTCACTTGTGCGCAGCTTTCACATAGGTTGTGTTATCCGCGATTCGGAAAAGACCAACGCTCCTGCCAAGGGCAAAAAGGCAGAGCCCACAGCGGCAATTGAGGAGGATGAGGATCTCAACTTGGCTAATGAGCCGCAGATCCTGCGTGCCGAGCCTATCCAGGCGATGCTGAACACGGATGACGAGCCAAAGAGGGTCAAGCCCGAGCGCTCTCTGGGATACAAGGGCTGGCTGATCACCGAGGGAGGAGCCTTCAAGAACACGCGGTCTGGAAGGACAAACTATATTGGTGGAATCAACAAGCCATTCCCGTTGAACCCCTACTTCCGGCCCCGGGCGCCCATCCCCGACGCTAAAAAGGAGGCACTATACGCCGAGTACTTGCAGGCCCCCGAGAAGAACACTCCGCGCGTCCTGGGTGAGAAGTACTCGATCTCACTCAAGCGCGTCGAGGCCATTCTCAAGCTCAAGGCCATCGAGCACCATATGGTTGAGTATGGCGAGATTGTTGCGCAGAAAAAGTTTACCGCCGGGATGGAGAGCATGCTGGGAGTGTCGCCTGCGGCGCGCACGTTGACGGAAAACTTGGTATCGCAGGTTACGCGTGTCAGCAGCCCCCGCTTCCACGCTGTTCCCGAGGGCCAGTCGTTCACCGCCGCAGATGCCGCTGAGGTTCTGGGCCGCAAGCCCTACCAGCAGATCATGGATCGCATGGCTGCCAGCAAGCCCTATGTCATTGACTATGAGGGCCTTGATGTGCGCTTTGCGCCGCGCCCGCAGAAGAGCCTGAGCAAGTCCGAGGCTGCCAAGCTCGAGTCGCTGGGCCATGCGGAGGAGCAGATCGTCGATAAGGATGAGACGCTGGGCAGCAGGCGGTGGAAGTTTGTCTTCACCGATATCAGCAAGACCCAGGACATGAAGGATCGCGAGGTCCTCATCCGCGAAACGGACGGCACTCTGAAGAAGGCCGGCAGGGAGTACAAGCTTAAGCGCTACGGCCAACTGTGGCAGCACTAAGCTAGATCTATTATCTTTTATAAAAAAACGTCATATACTCATACATACTCGATTTGTTGGAGTAAAAGAAATTTGCGTATCGCTGACATTGTTTGGCCAAATGTGTCAAGTGAATTAAAGTGACCATGGATGTATAATGTATATTTAACTATTTTATATTTGCTTTAAAATTTAGTCTAAAGTTATGCACGATTTTCACTACAGCATTTTAAAGTATGCTACATGGGAGACATTTCTGAAACATTCAAAAGGCGGATCCACTCCGATCAATTGGCACCATCGTATGCAAACAGCATGGTATCCGCCGAATACCTGGTCCACAGTCCTGCCGTTTCCCTCTCGGGCGCAATCAACGCGAGCTTATACATGACAAACTCCTTTTTAATTGGCAGGCCGCTCACAGGCAAATGTAGGGTGATGTCGCGCCCTCCGCGGAATTGCGCATCCCTCAGGCCATCCACCTGCATGGCCGGTGCCTTGTTGAGCACCCGCACCAGGGACCCATCTTTGGTCGAGTACACGGCGGCGATGATTTCGGAAAAGTTCGGTGTATCGAGCTTGTCCGACGGAATATTGAAGCTGACCCGGACCAGGTCTCCAGGACGCACGGAGGTGATGCGCCGGTTGAGTGTCAGCTTGCCTGCGTCGTTGCTAAGCAGGGCGTCGAGGGTCGTGGGGACTTGGGAAATTTCGGATTCGGTCACGTCCTTGTTCAGAAGGTTCATGGCAGTGACCATAACGCCGAGGAACGCGGGTGCAAAAAGTATCCTGGCAAGCTTCATGGCTATTTGTATTTTGTGTTTTGTGTGTGCGTGTGCTTGTGTGTAAAAAAAACAATAGAGACAGTGATCAGGTTGAAAAAAAGATGAAAAATGTAATGCCAAAAAAAGATATATATGGATGATTCAACTATTCACAAAGGAATAAATATTATTACTATTATTATTATTAAAGTCAGGAACTGAGATTGTTCACGCAGAGCATCGATGGCGTGGGTGCTAGCCGGAACTCACCTTGCCTGTTTGTTTTTGTTTTTGTTTTTTGATTGTTATTTATTTGTGTGTAGGAAACCACCAAAAACTATTTAACAAATGTTCCACCTGTTTTTGCAGCAGTAGGGGTCAGCCAGAGCTTGCGAATGTCTCACAAAATAAACACGGGTGGATGGGATTATCTTGGCAGCGGAATCAGTAAATTCAAAACACCTTCACAAAAGTAGTAACCGAAAGAGCAGAGTAAAGAGTAGATCAGAGCAAAGGCAATTATTAGATATTTTTTCTGATCTAGAATTGTTTAATTGGCCAACGCCCAGGCCCAAGCCTGTAGATGTTTAGGTACAAGTCACTACACGTGGAGTCAAATTAACTGGGGGAAAATAATATATTTTTACGCGTCTAGCCCATGTTTGCCAATTCGTCCAAATCGTGCTGCATGCGGAGCTGATCAACAATGTATTGCATCGAGGACCCGCCCATGACGCCCTCCAGATCGTACAAGCTATAGTTTATCCGATGGTCAGTAACCCGATTCTGCGGGTAATTGTAGGTGCGGCATTTTTCCGAGCGATCGCCAGTGCCAATGAGCTTGTTTCTGGATTCACGACGCTCAATGTCCAGCTTCTGCCGCTCCTTATCGTACAGCCTCGCACGCAAAAGCTTCATGGCCTTTTCCTTGTTCCGCAGCTGCGACCTTTCCTGCTGGTTTTCGACGGCGATTCCAGTGGGCAGATGCGTGATGCGGACGGCGCTGTCCGTTGTGTTCACATGCTGGCCACCCTTGCCCGAGGCGCGAAACACGTCGATCCGCAGGTCGTTTTCCTTAATCTCAATGTGGACGTCAGAGGCCTGCGGCAACACCGCCACCGTCACTGTGCTCGTGTGGATGCGACCCTGGCCTTCGGTCGCCGGCACGCGCTGGACGCGATGCACGCCAGACTCAAACATCAGGACTCCGAATACGCCGCGGCCGGAGATCTCGACAACTGCCTCCTTGACCTGGTCGCCGTCGCCGTCCATTGCAATCGTGCTGAACTTCCACCCGCGCGACTGCGCGTAGCGTTCGTACATGTGCAGCAGATCGCCCGAGAATAGCGACGCCTCGTCGCCGCCAGTGCCCGCCCTGATCTCCATGATGGCGCCGGCCTTTTCGGCCGAATCCTTGGGCAATAAGCCGCCAACGATTTCCCGCTCGCACTCAGTAATGCCTGCCAACACCACCTGCTGCTCCTCCTGCGCCATGCCGCGCAGCGAAGTATCCCCCGAATCAACCATTTGCTGGAGCTCGACCAGCTCGCTGTATAGCTCCAAAAGCCGCCTGTATGGGATTGCAATAAGCCCTGTGTCGCTCATGTCTTTGGATAGCTTGGCTAGCTCTTCTCGCCCAAGCTCGCCTATGTTGCCGCTCATGCGCTCGTTGAGCTTGGCGTATTTGGTTTGTAGCACTTGCAGCTTTTCGTGGATCCGCGGTGTCAGGCTGCTCTTTCCCGCGAGGTGGCTTCCTGGGGGCAGTGCCGATGCGCTTGCGTTGCGTGCTGCCGCTGCTCCTGCTGCTGAGGAGTAACTGTGATGCTGGAGTGGGGTTATTGCGCGAGTACTGTGGGTAGTGGCCAGTCTAGCGACGGCTGGCATCCGCAGGGCGCCTTTAAACAGACAGTTCATCGCACAGTGTTTGATCTTAATCCGAGTTTATCCCTATTCGGTCCGGCCCGGTTCTGTGCAAAGTACAGCTAGAAAAATAATATAAAAATGCTATCAAAGGGCAAAGAAGGAAAAAAAAGAAAAAAAAAAAAAAAAAAAAAAAGTGATTGAGACTGGACTTAGTTTGGTACAAGCGGCATTTAGCACAGACAAGGCTTCTTCGCATTTCCCTTTTCTGCAGCTAGCGCTTGATTGATCAGCTGGTTGTGTGGTATTTGATTTTTTTGCTGCTTTTTCGGCTGAAGTGTGTAGATGAATGAGAATGATTAACTTGCGTGACGTTTTTTAATGTGAAAGTATGCAAAAAGAAATCACACGCAAAGAATGATACTCTTCCCCCTCCCCCTCTTTTTTTTATTCGGCGCATGATGTCGCTGCTCTCAACTTTTTATTACACATTTTATTTCTCGCATCCCGAATTGCTTTACATATTTTTATTTATATATTACCTTTTATAAACCGCTATTCTATATTATTTTAACGCTTTTGCCCGTTGCTTACAGAATACAAAATGCAAGAGTCTGAGTTTGACAGCGTCATTTGGGACACCAAAATAGCCGGCGACCACGAGGACGAAGCTCCCAATGCCAGCGCCAGCACTGGCACCGGCACCGGCTCCGCCGCGGGGCTCAATAACACTAGCCCGCTAGCTAATAGCACACACACGTCGCCGTTTTCTGGGCTCGGAAGCAGCTCGCGTGAATCGATGGACGGCAGCGACTTGCTGAGCAACAGCCGATTCGGAAGCCACTCTATCGGCGAAGCGAGCGGCTACGCCAACAGAGACGCGCTTGGCTCTGCAAATGCATATGGCAGCAGCACATTAATAGGAGCAACAGCAACAGCAACAACAGCGGGGGCATCTGGCTCCGATAACCGCAACGGCGACTCCACCAGCCATGGTGACGTGCACACAGAGGTGACTGTTGACCAGCCGCGCAAGGAGGGCGAGGGCACCAACAACCCCTACATTACATACTTGGTGACAACGACCTGCAAGAACAAGCAAACTAAGGAAATCCGCAGATACGCGCTGCGGCGGCGCTTCCAGGACTTTGTTTGGCTGTATGAGCAGCTGGACAGGCAGTTTATTGCCTGTGTTGTGCCGCCGCTGCCGGGAAAGCACCGCCTGGAGTATCTGACGGGCGACCGATTTAGCGAGGAGTTTGTCAACAAGCGCAAGCACGGACTGGAGCGCTTTCTGCGGAGAATAATTCTGCACCCATCGCTGCGCACCAGCCAGCACCTGGTTGTCTTTCTAGAGTCCAAGGACTGGAGCTCAGAGTACGAGATCAAACCAAAGAGCGAAAACGGCGTTCTCGATACGCTCGGCGACACGCTGCTCAACACGTTCAGCAAAGTGCGTAAACCTGAGGAGCGGTTTGTCGAAATGCGCGATACGATCGCTCGGTTGGAGGACAACTTGACGCGCACGCAAAAGTTGTATCTGCGGGTGACCAAGCGGCAGCTGGAACTGCAGCAGGTTTATGAGGAGCTGGGCGTCGGGATAGTTGATCTCGGCGATATCGAGACAGGCATGACGCTGGCGCTGGTTGAGACGGGAAACGCGCTCAAGGCCCACCATGTTTCGCTAAAGCACCTTGCGGAAAATACCGAGGACCTGTTTCTTGGCGAGATCGAGGAGTATATCTCTTACTGCGAGGCGTACCTGGAATTGCTGAAGATGCGCGACCAGAAGCAGGCTGAGTATGAGGATCTGACCGAGTACTTGCAGCAGACCGTGGCGGAGCGCGAGCGGCTATCCAACCACCAGTCGGCTGTTGGCGTCAGTGCCGTGACCAATTTCATCCGCGGCAAGGTGCGGGATCTGCGCGGCGTCGACCCGGCCATCTCGAGGCAGCAACGGATTGAGAGCCTGACAAAGCGCGTCGCCGAGCTGGAATCGGCCGTGGAGACCAGCCGCGAGGACTCGGGGGTGTTCTCGGAGCTGGTTGCTGCCGAGTATGAGGTGTTTGGGCTCATCAAGGAGCATGATTTCAAGCGTGCCTTCAGCGCCCTTGCCGCGTCACACATTGTGTTTTACTCCAGGGCAGTGGATATCTGGAAAACCGTCATCCCCGAGCTGGAGAAGCTTCCTGTTGACTAGATACACGTATGTTTTTATTATTATTTATACTATTACCAATTTTTATTTTTGGAGCAGTTATTTGCTTTGACTTTACACAATTAAAATATTTCTTACAGGCACACGATTTCCCCCTTCCCTCAAAACTGCGATGTCCACGCTTGCGATGGCGTGTGAGAAGGAACATGTCACAGAGACCCTCTCTCGAGCGAGAATATAGCAGTAAATGAGATATCTGGGCAGTTGGAGGCCTGATATTGTGTGCGGGTTCGGATAGTATATTGAATTACTGCCCAAGCGTGGAAAAAGGACCCAGAAACAAAGAAAACCCTAAAAAACAAGGGCACAGTATATATCTACTGACATATCCATTTGTTTTTTCTTTTTTTCTTTTTTAGTTCACACCAGCCAAAATAAATATAAACATTGGAATAGTAATTTTCGAGTGCAAATAAAATAGGAAGAGCTTTCAAAATGCCCAAAACTAGTTTGCAATTGTAATAACAGCCTGTTGCGGAGAGCACTGGCAATTGCATATGAGGCTGCAACTATGTGGGCAATAAAGAGCGGCCATCCCTTGTCTACCACCCAATTCCACCAGCACAGCGAACCAACCAAAATAGGGGGGAAGGTCGTGGCTGTGGGTGACATCGCGTATTACGGAATTATTACTTTTGGCAGTATAAATCGGAGCACGCGCATTTGTGTATTCTATTCCCCTTTTTTAGTGTGGAGAAAAAAAGAGAAAAAGAGAGAGTAAAAAGTGGTAGAACTTGGCAATGTGGTCAACTACCAACCAACCCCTTTCTTACCACTGTACCTCCCACGGGATTAAACAAAAGTAAATAAAAAATAACCAAGGGGCGTCTCATGGCTGGCAAGACTTTTTCATCCCCCACACACAAACTAAACAATTAGTAACATTTGAGGGAGCAAATAATAAATTTCAACTCGTATAGCTGGACGTCACGGACAAGATAATACGTAAAAAGGGAATTGTGACATTTTCGTCCCCTCTATTTCCCCCCCTCCCCTCTTGACTCCCGCGTGTTCAATATTAGAAAATAAAAAATATTTACCAGACGAGGGACATGCGTTCTGTGTCTGTTACTCGGCTCTTTTCTCCCTTTTTCATCTTCATCTCTGCTATCCCACTTTCAAACAAATTTTTTTAGTACCGTTATTTTTTTGTTCTTAAGCCTCTCGCGCCATTACTTTACACGCTGAACTCACACACAACACGCATTCAATTTCTCCCTTTGTATTTGATTTGTATGCCAAGGCCAAGGAAAGGAAAAACAAGCAATTTGACGTTGGTTACACAGAAACAGAAGAACAAAACAACGCGCAGCTGTTTTATCTTTTTTCTTTTCCCTCAATTTTTCTTCTTCCATATTAGCCACAGAGACAAACAACTTTAAAATTTTCATTTCTTTTTCATTATTTTTGTTTCTTCTCATCAGCACCCACGTACCTTTTCTTTGTTCGGCTTATTATACAACCATACTCTATTTTCGGTGCCTTATTCTTCTTGTTGTTTTGTTATTGTCAATTACACATATTTGTCTTGTTATTTTCCAAAAACACACATTGGATCTCTTTCTACTTTTCTCTGCTCTATCGCCATTTCATTTTTTTATTATTTAACACTTTATACATCAACTAGCTCTCACACGCTCTCATCCTTTGGATACACCCTGTCTCCTGCACAGTATCTACCACAACAGCAGCAGCAGCTTATACAACGATGGCTACGGGGCCAACAACACAGCATGGGCCACCCGCTCATGAAAACAGCGGCGGACGCAAGCATAAAGGGGCTGGATTCACCAGTTGGTTGAAGAAGGGGAGCTCATCAGACAGCACCGATGCGAAGAAGCTAGCGTCGCCCGCAGAGGAGATCAAGATGGTGTTTCTGCGGCAATTGGAGCTGAGCAGTTTTGAGCTAAACGGCAGACACTACCATTCAGTGTTCACAGGCGCACAAATAGTCGTAAGTACCCAACTGACTCTCCCATTTTTCTTTGGAACAAAACAACTGCGCCATGTTTAAAAAGCCCAATTCTTTTTGCCTAGCAAAGAATCAAGGCAAGCGAAAAAAAGTCTGGTTTCAAACTTGTCTCTTGCCCACATGAACAAAAGGATTTTTTTCGTGTTTGATCGACAGTAAGATTATTTTTATGGAAATGGAAACTTGTGCCAGTGTCATGCAGCATGGAAGTCCATGCAGGCGGCGTGGTTTCCATTTTTGCTCGCTCAAAAAAAATATGTTCTTATCAATTTGAAATGATTCCATGGTGGAAATTATCACAGTGCTCACAAAAACTTTATTTGATTCTCCGCTACCCGCAGTCTTACAAAGCCATTCTATAACTTTCTTTTCTTTTCAGCCTCTTCTCTATTGACGGATGACCAAAAAAAAGTTTAATTGAAAACTATGCCCACGTAATAGCACGTATATCCGATTGCGCAAAACTGATATGATATGCTATTGATTGCGCCTGTGTTAATTTGTTTATTTTTGCGCTCTCACACTTTATTACCAATATCACTCGCATATTCACTTTCATTCACTGTTCCCCCCCCCCCCCCCGCATGCGGAGATAATTCAAATGTTCTGTTTGCCAGCCCTTCAATTATTTTTCTTGTATGCCATGCCCTTAAGCTGCCTAACCGTCGCTGTGTCTCTCCTGCCCCCCCCCCCCACATGTGCAAAGAAATAAACACGCGATGGGTGTGAGGATGGAGAAAAATCGATGCATGTGCCTGCTTGAAGATGCACTTAACACACTGGCTGCACACTAATTCCCATCATTGCCCAAAAAATCCACACTCGCGTTACATGCACATTCAATAGGATATTATTCTGAAGCACTTTGGGCTGCCGGACAGAAAGCTAGCGAGCAACGTGGCTTCGCGACTTATTGACTGCAGTCTATACACCCACGTGTCCGGCCCGAGCCTTGCCTCACAAAGCGGAGAGAGCGGGCTGTAAGTAATAGTGGCCGCGTCAGCAGCAGCACCAACAACAACAATACCAGCGACGGCGCTGTTATTGACAGCAACACAGAAATATACACCCTGACGAGCGAGGCACTCCGCGCGCTCAAGGCTATGCACAAGGGTGAAGCGTTGCACAGGGCAAAGACACAAACACGCAAGCGGTACATGGATTTGCGCGAGCACCTGCACCCGCGGATTCTGGAGCCGCTGAATGCCATCAACCGCGTGAGCACCAGCACCAGCGCGACTGGTAACAGTGCCAGCAGCGATGTCAGCAGCAATAGTAACACCAACAGTGGCGAGATGAGAAAGGGGTCCACAGACGGGGGATCAATCAACTTGGCAAATGACACTCGCAGCAGTAATTTGCCCCCGCCACTAGATACCAGTGGCGCGCGCAAGATGGGGGCGTTTTTCCGGGGTAGATATAGTAGAAATTCTGGGGAGGGCGTGGCGGTAGAAAGGGAGCCACATATCTCGTCTGGTCTCCCTGAAGAATTGCCAGAAGACACGTTGGTGGCACGGGATTCATCAAAGATGGCCAACAAAGACAGCCACGGACGCCGCAAGCAGAACTATCTGCCCATCACACCAACAACCGGTGATGACGACTACGCTGCCGATGGCTATGGCGATATGACTGCCAGCACCGATGCTAGTGGGCAGGCGGCGCGGCTGCCAGACGTCAAAATCCCGACTGGGGATTTTTCCGGGCTGCTGAATACCTGGTCTTTTGTTGCCGATGGATCGTTGGGTTTTGGTAAGGGCAGCCGGAACTCGCTGTTGGGGCTGATGTCGCAGTCCACCAGCCGCAACCAGTTATCATCAGCAGCGCACACAGCCGATGCATCGGCAACAGGATCACTGGCTGGCCCAATCGCCACGCCGGCTGGAAGCATGCGTGAGGGCCTTGGTGAAGACTACACAGTCCGAGTTCAAGGGGGGCTTGCAGTGGCGTTGCGTCGGCGGGGGTTGCGCCGCGAGTACAGCGACACCGAGTTGAACCTGCGCATCAGAAGGCGGCGTGATGGGCGGGGCATGCGTATGTATTCGTCAGCGCCAAACCTTAACTCAGTGTACAGCGAAATGCAGCACTCAAATCACAAGGCAGTGCACCGGCCGTCGCTGCCCATGCCGCGGATTCTTTCGCAGGTGCAAACATTGTCACGTGAAGACTGGGCATTGGGCAACGACGAAGACATGCTGATGTACATGGCGAGACGCAGCTCTCGGTTCTCGGACATCACAATTGCAAGCAGCTACAACGGCGTGAGACAGCCTCGTGGGATGTTGCTTGACCGGTCGTTCTCCTACAGCGAGGCCAGCAGCGATGTGTGGCCAGCCCGCAGCAGCATAGGCTCCCAGTTTGCAGATATCCAATCAAGTGTGGGCGACGCGGAGATCGACGCGAATATCCCATCCACGTACTCGTCGCCGGTCGGGGGCTTTGTGGCAGAAGAAGATGGCGGTCGGCAGCGGTCATTCAGTGACCCAGCTGGGCTGCCGCGGCTGCCACGGTCGACCGATGATGGCTGTCTGCGGGCACATATGAACGCCTGTCATCTCGCTCGGCCCACCAGGTGAGCCCCACCATGAATGCGCTGGCACTGCCGCGGCATTCGTCGCAGACAAAGCGCCAGCTGCGCGAGTACGCGACTCCGGATCCGCAAGGCATCACCAGGGCCTTGAGCGAGGACGTTTCAGCTCGTGCTTCATCAGCAACTTTGGGAAGCACAAAGCGCCATTCCGAAAGCGTCAGCATTGATGATGGCGCCATGCAGCTGCAGCTCTGGCGCGACACTGTTCCGGTCACTCTGCTGCGGACTTTGGGCTCTGAAGCTGTGGCGCATCAGGAGGCAATTTTTGAGTTTGTGAGCACTGAGCACGCGTACCTGCGTGACCTGGAGCTGATTGACTTGATTTTTGTGCAGCCGCTGCTGGCAGCGCCGCATGTGCTTGCGCGGGAGCAGGCGGAGGAGTTCCTGCGCACGCTGTTCTTCAACTACAAGGAATTAATTGCCAACAGCCAAGCGCTGTGCGAGCAGCTGCGCGAACGGCAGGCCGAGTCAGCCGTCGTGGCGGGTCTTGGCGACATTATCGACAAGTGGGCAGATGATCTGGTGGTGTTTGTAGAGTACGCAGTGCATGTCCCAGAGGCCCAGCTCGCCCTGGAGGGCGAGCTGCTTAAAAGCCGTGCAATGGCAGAATTCTTGGCATCTGCAGAGGCAGCTCCTGGCGCGCGGCGACTACCAGTGCAGAGCTTTGTGGGCCGCGCAGCGGCGCGGTTTGCGCGATACCCAATGCTACTGGACGCCATAGTGCGCCGCGCGCCAACCGGAGAAGACGCCAGCCGCTTGCGCAGTGCAGCAGCAAAGGTGCGGCATGCTTTGACCGAGGTTGACCGGCGCACAGGTGAGGGCGCGGCAGCCCTGCGCATGCGGCAAATCAACCAGCGGCTGCAACTGAGTGAAGGTGCGCGCGAGAGCCTTGGACTCGAGAGTCCTGTCAGGCGCCTAGTCAAGGAGGGCGTGTTTATAGCAGGCGATGGCTCGCAGGTCCTTGTCTTTCTCTTTGACAACGCGCTGGTCATGGCTGTCGAGGAGAAGATTTCCTACGCGAAGAACGTAACCCGTTATATTGCCGATTCTCGGATTATCCCCGTGTCGATGCTCGACGCGGTTGTGCCACCAGCCGAAGCCGGCGCGCTGTCTGGGATCCGTGAGGCACTGGGACTGCTGGGCACAGGTCAGACCACTGCACCTCGCAGCACACTGCTGAGACATTCGTCTAGCGCTACAAACATGCGCCCATTGCGCGCCGGCGCTTCTTTGTCATTTGTTCACATTGGCTGTCGCGCTCTGGGCCGGACACTGTTGGTTGCGTCCGACACTGAGCGCGATGCGTGGCTCAGTACAGTTAGGCGGCGTATCTGCATGCCGCAGACGCTGGTCGAAGCGTACACGGAGCTGCGGCTGCTGTCCGACCGTGATTTCCCACAGACGCGTGGCCCGCAGTGCTCGGCGCCATTCACAGCCACATCTGGGTGCCGCATGGTGCTATTTGGCAACCGCGACGGGATGCATTTGGGCATCTATGGCGTGCCAACCTCGGTTGTGCGCATCAGCCAGTGCGGGTCTGTGTCAAAGATTCACGTGCTGCCCCGGTACAACATGGCGGTTGTTCTCAGTGACCAAATCCTGTTGGTCTTTTCATTGTCTGATATTGAGAACTCCACGGCAAATATCAACTCTACAGGCCTTGCCGGAACCAAGATTGCCTCGTCTGTCGCGTTTTTTGATGTTGGCACGTATCTCGGGACGCCGCTCATTGTGCTTATGAAGCCGCGTGGTGGCAAGTCGCACTTCAAGTGCATCCAGCCGCATTTCATCGACTTGGAGGGCGCAGGGACTGCCGGGAGCGACTACAGCTACGAGAGCAGCGAAAGCGGGAACGAGCGCAAGCGCCAGACTACCCCAGCAAGCGCTAATTCTGCGGCATATTCTGTCAACACCCTGCGCATAGTCTACCAGGGCAACCGTGCAGTGCTCCGCCTCATCAGCGAGTTTGCCATCCAGGGGAAAGCCAAACGCGTACACTTCTTGCGCCGCAAGCTGTGCATTGTTGCCAGCAAGACGTTCGAGATTATTGATGTTGCCAACAGCTGCCTGCTTCGCAGCCTGCCTGATCCACTTGACGACGACTTTTCCTTCATCCACGCCAATGACTCGGGCCAGGCAATGGCCATTTGTAAGGTTGGGCGCGAGTTCCTCTTGTGTTACGAAACGTTTGCCTTCTACATCGATAACTTTGGACGGCGCTCGCGCCCTGATGTGTTTATCCGCTGGGAGATGGCGCCGCACCTGATCATATTCCGCCACCCATACATAATTGCCATCAACCAAAAGTTCCTCGAGGTCCGGTACATGGATTCGGGCGTGCTGCTCAGCATCATCCGCATCAGCGGCGCTGTCTGCCTCAACCCCGACTCCAAGTCGACCACCCTGCATATTGCCGTGGGACCGCAGACCGTGGGCACGGCGACTACTATCCAGGAGAACATTGGCGTTGTGTCTACGGTGGTTGACAGAAGTTCTGCCAGGGACAGCGATGACAACCCGAAGCCGACAACATCAGCGCCATACCAACGCCCATGAGAACCAGCAGTTCGTCTCAGCAACTTGCCTCGCTGGTCGGCAAGGCGGCAGCAGTCTTGGGTACTTCGAGCGTCACCAGCGGACATGTTGTTCCCGGTGTTGCCGGAACCACGGGCAAACGCATGTTCCCCGAAGGCACGTCGTCGCACTTTCGCATTGTCGAAATACGCCTGCCTCCACTCAAGGCCTCGGCATCCGCGAGATCCGCCACCGTGCCTGCGGTAGAGGCAACAATACCGGCGGATTCTGCCGAGCCTACTTTCCACGAGCTGTAAACGACACACACACTTGCGCACAACTACGTGTATATATACAGCTTTAGCATTAGCATTACTTTTTTATATTAACGATACGCAAATGTATAATTTCTGAGAGATACGGTAAATGCCGGTCAAGTGGCAACCTGCGATGCGTCCAATCCGAGCGCGTTCAAGAAGAGATTGACGTTTGCGGTAAGCGCCGTTGCAATGTCCATCGGCAGATGTCCACTCTTGGCCAGCACGACCTTCTCCAGCACCTTCTCCCGGACCTCAGACACCAGTGTGTGCTGCTGCTCGACCGATGCGCCAATGGCAAGCGTGGCCAGAAATTGCCACGCGTGCAGGTCCTCCATTGGGCTCATGGTGTGGCCCAGCGCCGGCGACGAGGGCGGTGGGAAGATGGATACGAGGTTGCCTCTGAGCGAATTGAACAAGTGGTTATACAACTCTGCCGCCTGGTACACCTCCTGCGCATCCGCCGGCATGCCAAATGCATGTGCACCACCCTGCTTGAGCGCAGCCGAGCGACCCAGGAGCACGGTCAAAAAGACCAGCGCCGGCCTTGTGCGTGCCACCCACGCAATGTTGTTGCGCTCCATGAACAGCGCAAACAGGCCGTTGACAATCTGCAGCGAGGTCTCTGACAGGAACGCTAGGGTTGGCGGCATGACGGCGTGCAAAAACAGATCGGTCTCCTCGCGCTGTCGCATGGCAACCAGGGAGCCGGCGGCCGAGTAACTAAAGCTGCCAAAGCGGCACACATCCAGGGTTTCAAAGTTAGCTATGACGGTGGTCGTCAGAGCCAGCACCTGGTCAATAGTCAGGTGGTGGACAAGCCTGGGCACGATCCTCTTTCCCTTTGAAAACGACAGGAAGCGCACAAGCGGATGTGGATACGTGTTGGAAATGGGCTGCGACGCATCAAGCTCTGCCCACGCCTTCTCCTTGGCCTCAGTATAGTTAGACAGCCAGTTCTGGACCGCCGGGTGGTCGGCATTCGGCGGCAAGCGCACCTGCTCGCGAATCATCTGCTCCAAGCGCAAAACAGCCGAGTATACGTTCTCGATAGAGCGCAGCGTCTTGCGACGCTCACCGGCAGGATTGCGGGTGTCTCCGAGGCCGGAGAATATACCACCGAGATCGTGAGTGCTCGGAGAGTGCTTGGGGATGTCGGAGTGCAGGGATATGCTGCCCGAGTGGCTGCGCTGCTGGACCTGAATGACTTGCTTGGGGTTGCGTGCGGAGTTGACGGATATTTTGCCCAGGGCACCCTCGGCTGCCACGTGAGCGGCCTTGGGGCGCCGACGCGCCTCGTTGACGATGCGCTGCACTTGTTGTTGCATGCGTGCCATTGAGCTCTGCGTGTTGCTGCGGTGGGTACGGCCCAAATGCTGTTGCTGCTGATGCATGGTGTGGGATAGCGACGAGCCTGGTCTTCTCGAGTCGTTGCTTCCCTGGCTGTTAGGCGGTCTATTGGGATGATTCTCAGGCTGTTGGTGCTGATGTTGATTCTGATGTTGATGCTGCTGCTGATGCTGCTGCTGATGATGCTGATAGTCGCCTTGCATGGCGTTGGAAGGGCCAGGGGTGCCGGCCGACGACCTCGGCGTAGCCGAACCACTGATATTGCGGCCCACAGTCTGAACGACGCCTGGATTGAACATGGCGCCGCGAGACAATTGGTACATGTGGCAGTAAAAGTCATCTGCAGCTGGGTCGTCCGTGAGCAGCTGTGAGACTTGGATCCTGATAATATAATCCTTGTCGTGTCTCGACATCATGTTGTCGTACTTTGAGAGCTCCATCTGTCTGTTGAGCCGAGCCTCCCTGCGCTGCGCAATGACCTCAGGGTCAGCCATGCGCCGTCCACCCTGCTGCACCTGGACGCGTTGCTGGACAATCTGCGCCTCAACCTCAGCTAGCGTCATCATTCTCCCGCCATCGAGCTGGCCGCCAGAGGCCATAGGCTGAGAGTGCTGCTGCTGCTGTGGGACCTTGGCCTGGTGCTGCATAGCGTACTGTTGGAAATCGAATTCCTTGCCTGAAATTTCCTTGACATCAGCCTCAAAAGTCTCATCGTTGAAATTGTCCAGGTTCTCGTCTAGCTGTCCGCCGAGCTCTTCACCCTCCAGGACCATGCTCTCAAGCCTGGCATCTAAATCATGGTTGGCTTCCATGTGGCGGAATGAGTCCCGACCGAGCGCAATTGCATCATCTGGAAATCCAAATCCAGTGCCGAAAAAGGAGCCAGACATGTCTTCTTTCTTTTTTGTCTACTTTTTACGAGCTTTAAATAAAATTATGTTGAAAATGAACAAAAAAGACGAGAAGAAAAAAGAAAGTAAAATAGTCAAAAAAAAGAAAAGGTTGGGAACATTCTCTGATTTTATTATCACGCTATTCCCACCCATCTTGGCACTTAGTTTTCTTTTTGTTTGGGTTGTTGGCACCACAGCTGAACGTTAAAACTGACCTGCTTTTACTGTCAAAGGCAGAATCTCGCTGGGCCTTGTCACTAAACTGTTGTGCTGTCTCTTCATGGCCTGGGGACACTGGCCTGCGCGTTCTGGTCCTGACCAAGTCGCTCGGCAGCTTCCTCCGGGAAGAACTCCCTCAGCTTCTTCTCGTACTCCTGCTTAAAGTTTGTCAATGCAGAAATTTTCCCGTTAGTAAACTGGTTCTCAGAGGCCACCCTCTCCATGAACTGGCTGGTAAACTCGTCAGGATTCCTGTCATCCTTAATGTATGCCAGGACTTCTTCAGGGACACTAATGTTCAGTCTATCTTTCATATCATGCATCTCTGAATATCCTCTGACTAGGCGGTCAACGCGCTGCTGGAGGACTTGCTCGTCAGCTGATTCATTGTTCATGACGGTGACGCGTATTTGGGAGAGTGTTTCGAGGGCTCACGGATCTTGCTCTCCATTGCTGTGCGGTCGTGGTCATGGAAGTCATCGTTGCTGTTACTGCTGCCGGACAGCTGCTGGTCTGGTTGATTTCTGTGCATTGGTATTTTTGGACAGAACTCCCGATTGTGATATAAAAAGAGCGCTGTAATCGCAATGGTAAGTTAAAAGTGTTCACATTTATGCGTGAGAGAAATTTCTAAAAGGATATAAGCAACTTTCTAATATCAGTGACTATGGGTAAAAAGCATATATCACGAGATTTTTTTTATTGCTTCGAGCCGAACTCGGCAAAAAAAATTGGTTCTCAAATTTTTTTTTGCTCAATGTGGGCGATTCTTTTTTTTGTCTTTAGCTTGTAAATTTATGTATTGAATTGTACAAACAACTCCTCTGTTACAGCTCCAGTTTTTATTCGCATTCTCATTTCAAACCCTTTCACACACACATACAAGTCGTTTAGATATTAATCATGTCTGACAACGAAGAAGAGTATGTGCAGAACCGCAGCGTCCTAGCCAAACAAACGCAGGGACACTAAATTATTATTGCTTTTTTTGCTTATTGCAAATGCCAATTGACACTTGCTCGCTAATAACAATAATCCAATTCAACCCAAGCTTCTGCTTTGTTTCTCTGTTATTATCTATGTAGGTACTACGGCAACGAGGTACGAACATCAACCGGAGCTAGGGCTATCCGCCAACCCTTCACTTTTGACAAGCCTAAGAGTAGATAACCAAGAAACGCGGGCAGAGAAAAACTAACAACCATTCATCTCCAAAAAAATATCCTTATTTTTTTAAATACTTGTAGTTCAACGACAATGAGCCTGATATGGAAGAGCAGAACCAGGACGATTCCGCCGAGATCTTCCTTCCTGACGACAACGTTGAGCCCACACCGACTAGCGAGCGCATCACCACACCATACATGACCAAATACGAGCGTGCACGTATTCTGGGCGCGCGCGCGCTGCAGATCAGCATGAACGCGCCGGTCATGGTTGAGCTTGATGGCGAGAGCGATCCGTACGAGATTGCGCTTAAAGAGTTGCGCGCCAAGAAGATCCCCTTTGTTATCCGCCGGTACCTCCCTGACCAGAGCTACGAGGACTGGCGCGTGACGGAGCTTATTGCCGATTAAGCGTTGGAGATCAAGCTTGCTTGGTGCAGAACACTTTTCTTGTTTTCTTATTTCCAAATTGATTCAGCACCTTTTATTCTATCTTGGCTCCAAGGCACATTTGACAAGTACATCAATAACCACATTGAAGTACACAATAAAAGTAAAGTAACAGCAAAAAAAGAAGGCGATTCAATTGTATTTTTTGCAAATATAGAAAAGTTGAAAATGGGTCCACAACAAAAACGCCGCCGTCCCTTCTTGCCGCAATAAAAAAAACAGCAAGGAAAAGACAAAGCAAGTGCAAAAAAGCAACACTACAAAAGTTCAAAAGCTTCTCCCATGGATAAAGGGGGACTATGCTCTTCTTACTTCTGGTAGCTCCAGACGTTCTTCAGGTAACCGTCCTTGCTGCTAACGCGGTTGAGCGAGTCATCGCCCTCGGCGCGGGCACGGACAGCACCGCAGATGGCGTAGGTCTTGTTGGTGCCAGTAATGCGGCCAGACTCATCGACATCGGCGATGTTGATCTGGATCGAAGCGTGGTCCTTAGAGCCAATGAGGCGGTTAGTGGCCGAGCTATAGTCAAACAATTCCAGTTCAAAAAGTCGCGCAGTTATTCACATACATCACATCGCACACGGGAGAGGGGTTATCGCCGAGGTTTGTCGTAGCAGTATAATCAGCCAAGAAAAATTTTCAAGCGTAGTTTTCGCGTCGAGTTTCATCAATACGTATTGCAGTTATAGCCATTGTCGCCGGTTGTTGTTGATGTTATTGTCATCGTCGTCGTTGTCAGAGGTTCCCACGTGTAAGCAAAAATGTAGCACATAAGTAGAACAAGTTCAATTAGTAATCGTGAAGAGCAGCGGTCAATTAGGGTATTGTTTTTGGTACTCTTTGCGAGCTCTGCTGATTCGGCTGTCAACCAAATCAGCAGCCTCGAATTGAACACCAATGTCTCTGATTCCGCGGCATTCTTTCTCCTCAAGCCGGCGAAAAAACGAATGTATGAAAAAGACTGACGCTTACCACTTGCGGGGAATGTAAAGGTCAACAATAACACCCTGGTCGTTTTCCATTGTTATCAACTAGTTCTTAGAGTCTGTTATAAATTTGTATAAAACAAGCAGAGAAAAAGGAGGTCACCAACTCCTTGCTCGCTTGCCAGCCTGTCCTAAGTGTGTGGAAGCCATTACCCATTTTTCTTGCAAATGATTTTTTTTTGCTCTCTTTTTTTTGCTCCCCTCCGCACACATACACGGTTGCAAAAAAAATGTTTATTTTGGCTGGCTAGCCTTGATTAATTTTTTTGACCGGCTCGCACTTTTTTTTGACTGCCTGTCAGAAAACCAATCCCGCCTTGATGCCCACAGCTTAAAAAATATGTGCTTGCCAAAAGTATGCTCAGAATCACCAGAAACCAGCGCCATTTGCCCATTAGAGTATTTTTGTCTCCTCTTTGACACAGCTCTTTCACAGCATAAGCGAGGGGGTAGTTGCCACTGAAAAAAGTAGTTTGCCAGGCAGCCGCTAGAAAAACTTTTGATCAGAAAACTTTTGATCTCAATTAGCAAAACGTGACCTTCAAACTTTAGGGTTTGTGATTGCTGTTGTTAATAAATTCGGCTCAAAATCAGACCGAGCCGCAAAACCACGAGTCGGGGCGGTCCATTCGACAATTGACAGTCCTGATCAAGCCGAGCTAATTCAATGCGTGAGCGTGCATTCCAGTCCTGCACTGATTCCCAGCCTTCAACTATGCCAATCAGCAGGCGCTACGTCGGATGCGACAGGATACTGCGTGCAGCCAATCAATCACTGCAACATCATGGCTTCCCTGTAATTTGGGAAACTGCGTTTGAAATGGATAGGAGGCGTAACACATCTGTTGCTGTTTTTAGGCAGGTAAAAGCAGCCAAAAGAAACAAACAGGACGTGTGATTGTGACGACGTAGCGCGAAAGGGCACACACACACACAAGTTGGCACAGTGTATTCAAAAAGCGCACTGCAAAGTGCACCGAGAATCGTGAAGCGTGAGCAGTGACGACAATGAAAAAACCCTATGTGAGTCGTCGCTGGACTGCAAAAAGTATGGCGAAACAAGCCTTTGTTTGCTGCTTTGCTTTTCTGAGCAATGTCTCTCGAAACTTCCATTAGCACTACTTTGCTTTGCATTTGGCCCAACCATCAGAGCCAAAAGTATTCGTAATAATCAAAGCCCTGCTCTGAGCTCATCCGCGAGCAATTGTGGATGCGTTTGCTATTTCATCCTTCTTCTTTGTTTTGCTTTGCAATTATCTTGTACACTAAAAGACCGTCCTCCCTTATATTCACCTCATTTTTCTAAAACATGCGCTGCTCCATTGCTCTGACAGCACTCGCCGCACTTGCCAGCTCGGCACTCGGCCGCGTCTACTACGAGGAGACATTCACTAGCGTTGACAGCGTCGACAGCTTCATTGCGACAGGCGTCCGCGCAGACGTCGGCGCCATCAAGCGCTCGCCAGGCAAGTGGTACTCTGATGAGAAGAACAGCGCCGGCCTGCAGCTCGTCGAAGACGCGCGGTTCTACGCCTACACATCCAAGCTCAAGCGCCCATTCAACACCAAGGGCAAGGACTTTGTGGTGCAGTTCACCGTCAAGTATGAACAGGATATTGACTGCGGAGGCGCATACCTGAAGCTGTTGCCTCCTACCCTGGACCCGACCAAGTTTGACGGCGATTCGGAGTACGAGATCATGTTTGGACCTGATATCTGCGGCTCGACAAACCGCCGTGTGCACGCCATCATCAACTACAACTCTACGAACAGCCAGATCGACAAGGTCATCCAGCCGCGCGGCGACCAGCTCACCCACCAGTACACGTTCTGGATCAAGCCCGACAAGACCTTTGAGATCCGCATCGACAACAAGATCCAGGAGGAGGGCAGGATTGAAGACATGTGGAAGGTTTTGCCCGAGAAGCAGATCTCGGACCCGGATGCCGTCAAGCCTGAGGACTGGGTCGATGGCCCGGCAATGATTGAGGACCCTGAGGACGAGAAGCCCACAGACTGGGTTGATGGTCCTGCCACCATCCCTGACCCCGAGGCCAAGAAACCTGAGGACTGGGACGACGACATGGACGGCGACTGGGAGGCGCCCGTGATCGCCAACCCCGAGTATAAGGGCGAGTGGAAGCCCCGCCAGATTGCCAACCCGGAGTACAAGGGCGAGTGGGTTGCGCCCATGATCGACAACCCCGCGTACGATGAGGACGAGGACCTGGCTGTCTTCAACATCGGCTACGTCGGCATTGACGTCTGGACCGTCAAGTCAGGAACTATCTTTGACAACATCCTGATTACCGACGACATTGATTACGCCTCTCAGTTCGGCAACACCACCTGGGGTGACTACGTCGAGGCTGAGATCAGCGCTAAGAAGGCTGTCGATGAGGAGGAGACCAAGAAGCTCGAGGAAGAGCGCAAGGCCAAGGAGGCTGAGGCAGAGAAGGACGCTGAGGCGGAGAAGGACGCCGACGAGCTTGATATTGAGATCGAGGAGACCATCGAGACCGAGGTTGTGCTTGAGCTCGAGACCAAGGTTGAGACTGAGGTTGAGACCGAGGTTGAGACTGAGGTTGAGACCGAGGTTGAGACTGAAGTTGAGACCGAGGTCGTGGTTGAGGAGACCACCGAGCTCGAAGTCGTGATTGATGATGTCACCGAGTCTGCAGTCGAGGAGGACAAGGTCGACGAGGCTGTTGCCAGGGCCGAGAAGAAGGCTGCTAAGAAGGCTGCTAAGAAGGCTGCCGCAAAGGCCAAGAAGGCTGCTGAGGAGGCTGCTGAGGCCGCCAAGAAGGCTGCTGAGGAGGCCGAGCGTGCTGCCGTTGACGACAGCGACGATGATGTTGTTGGCCATGACGAGCTTTAAGTCACTTGTAAGCTGCTGAATTCATTACCAAACTTTGTTCAACTTTTCTTTCTTTTATAGCTCCTTTTTTGTTCTCATCATTTTTTGTGGCGTAGGTTTCGCCAGCATAATAAAATTCACATTCACATTTATTTATACCTCCCTGTGGCACGTGATAAATATGTGAGCAGTCGCGATTTTTTTCTTTTTTGGTGACAGGCAATTTTTAATAATTTTTTTGTTGCTCCACAAACAAAAAGGCTTTATTTGATTTTACTTCAATTCAACATTGAAATTCGCAAATTCACTTTTTTTGTCCCTATTTTTAATATTGATTCGATTTCAATTAAATAATATTTTCTTAATTGTCAAATGAGCTTGCCCGCTGGAGATTCTAGCACAAAGGTAGTTATCGTTACAAAATGTTATTTGTTTTGTTTTAGCTGCATGTTGCTGCTCATTTAAAATGGCACGCACAATCGGGGGACATTAGTACTAACAGTTAAAACTGACTCCCCACTTTTTAAATTGCTTGTGAAAATTAGGCCAGCAAAATGTCGCAGGCGAGAAGCGCAACGGCCGCCGAGCTGAGGGCTGCGGCACTTATGTCGCTACGCGCGCGAGCTGTCAAATTGCAGAACAAAGCGCCCGCTAGCAACGCTGTCATGGCTTTGGCCATACCTGCCAGGGGGCAGAGGACGGAGGAGGACAAGGATAATGCGAGTGCGGGCATGAGCGTGAGCGAGGTACTGTCCGCTCAAAAGCCCGCTGCTCAGGCACCTGCTAACGACACACATCAACTTTTGAACGCACCCGGGCGATACGATTCCAGGATACAGGGCACGTTGGTCGAAGCAGTGCTGGATTCTGACAAACCCACATACAGCAGCGAGAAGCACGCCCAGTCTGACAACAATAATATCAGCAGTGATCAGCATTTCACCAGCAATCCCAAGGCGGAAGATGATTTTGAATCGTTGTTTGCACAATACCAGACCCACGCCAACCCTCCTGCAACACAGCATGCCAACCCTGCCGAAACACAGAATGCCAACTCGGCTATTTATTTTAACCATTACGGCCACCACAATCCCAGAGAGGTTGTTTATAGCGTCCAACACCCCTATGAGCGCATTCAATTGCCGGGGCTTGCGTCTAGTCGCATGTTTTCAGGCGGCAGCACAGCATTCCCCTTCCAAAGCACGCATTGGACTCCTGGCAATTTTTCCGGCTACCATGTGGGTGGGCAGCTTGGTCCAGGGCTTGAGTATGCCGAGGCACAGCCATACCAGATTCCCGGGCCGACGATGGCGTATCAGGAGGCGCCCGTATTCATGGGATTTAACCGCCACGCACATAATATGATGCTGCCGCCGCCACCGCTGACACAGCAGCCGCCGCCACCTCAGTCTCCGCCGCCCCAGTCGCCTGCGCTGCAGATGTCACTGCAAATGGCTTTTGGAAACAAGAGTATTTGCGGCTACGAAGACGGTGAACTTGCAGGCATGTACAGCCTGCCGCCGGCTCCGCACACGCAAGCGCATACCCCAGTTGATGTCTCGACAACCGACCCACACCTGATGCTGCAAAGCTACGGGCCACTGTCTGACGGCGAGCTAGACCCATCGCTTCATATTGACCCCCACATGCTGTTATCTGACGGCGAAACTGATGAGCATGTAGGCGGAACTCTGGGTGCAGCAGACTCCCATATGCCTATGATGGACAGCTTGTTCCGCAAGGACGGCCGGCTAGATATCGAGGGGATTGCCCGGAGCCGCGTTGCCGGCATTATAAAGTCGAGGGACTCCAAGCTCATGAAGGGCGCGCCTTTCCGTGCGCTCATGCTGCTGCTCAAATGCATAAAGCATGATGACCCCGAGTCCATACAGACCATAGTCAAGGGCACGCCGTTTGCTGTGGTCCAGGAGCTCAACTCGCTGTCGCATGAGTTTGGGCTGGCTACGGTTACTGATGCTTGCATGAGCATCCTGGTAGCTTCCGACTCTAGAGCCGCACGGCCCAACATCACTGTGTTAGATAATGCACCCTTGCATCAGCGTCAATTGTCAGTGGCTGCCATGAATGGCGCTCTAACAACTGATGTTGCTGCTCCTGCTGCTGCTGTTGTCAGCGAGCAGGGGTCGGACAGCGATATTGAGGACATGGACATGCGCTCGTCGTCTTCAGAACATGGAGAGGGTTTGTCACACGATATTGACGTCGATGTCGACATGGACACGAGCTCGGATGTCGAGTATGAGCAGGCTGTGGCCGCTCCTGCAACTCCAGCCACGCGAAATCAGCTGCACATGGCTGCAAATCATGGATATGAGCCCCTACACATGCGTTCCCGGGAATCGACGCCGCAGCCAATGTCTCTTTTCAGCCGCTCGCGCGCCCCTAGCCCGCCCAGCGCCCAGCCACGGGCACTTGGGATAACGCCACTAATAGGCCGCATGTCTTCATCGTTTGATCTGGTTGAACGTTCGCTCAGCAACATTATGGATTCTCCGCCAGTTTTTAACTCCCGCCAGCCCACACCTAACTCGCCGCTGGCCAGATACCCACCCTTTGAACCGACTCCCCCGACGGTCGAGCACACGCTGTGCAACAGCCAGTATGGCCGGTTGGTCGTGTACGTAAGCCTGAGCGACTCTGACTACGACGGGGACACGGATGATGCGTCGGACAGTATGCAGACAGAGGACCTGGAGCTGTTGGCACAGGAAAAAGTGCGCCACGAGGAAGCCCGCATGCTCATCTCAGAATGTCGCCGGCTTAAGCGAGAGGATGCCTCTCATACGCCCATACCAGGCAGCTCTACCAGTATCGCGCGGCTGAACGCCAGCGCCACAGTGGCGGCCGCGCTTGTCAACACGTCAACCCCCGAGCCGAACAGGGATCTCCCAGACGAGGTGCTGATGAAGACCAAGCTGAACTTGAAGGTCCAGGAGGAGGCAATTGCCCAGATGAAGCTGGAGATCAGCCGCAGAAAGACTAAGATGCTCCTCCGCAAGAAGCTGTACGAATCGATGTCTGCGCAGCGCCAGAACACTCAATCGCTGGAGAGAATCGTATCAGCTCCAAACACGCCGCCGATGAGCACTGAGATGGCTGTCGATGTTGGTCCGCTGAAACCCACTGCGTCCGACCCAGTGTCTCTCAATTCGCCGAGCGGATCAACCGACGGGGCTCTATCTATTATATGCTCGCCCAGCGAATCTAGGGACTTCGAGGCGCCCAAGGCTGCCGAAGTTACTAGTGCTTGCGGCGTGTTCGGCAGCTTACCTCACACTAAAGACAGCTCAGAGGCTGCTCGGCTGCCTGACGAGCTCAGCGCCATGGGCGAGGACGAGCGCGAGCTAGTTAACGTCTTCAGCACCATTTCTCCGTTGCGTCTTCACGCATCGACGCTGCCCGAGATCAGCTTTTTGGAGCGCTCGATCTGTGACCTGCCCAAGGAGATGCGCGACAAGCATGCGTCCAGCCTTGTGGCCATCATGAAAGACGCCATCGACGCCAAGCAGGCGGAATTGAACTGTTTGTCCAAGGATCTGTCACAGATGAGCAGCGTCGATTTGGACAGCCTGAAGATGCGAACCGCCAAGGTGACTGACCGGCTGACTGCCAGACAGAAGCAGCTGTGTTCTCAGAGGGAGCTTGCACAAGCTCGGATTCGTGAACTCCAGCAGAGCACACGCCTGGCCGAGCTGGAGCTGGAGTTCCTCGGATTCAGTCGTGATGCGAATCTAAGTTACCGCTCGATGCTGAGCTCTGCCCCACAACTGCCCAAGGTTGCCGAGTCTGTCAACGTGCATTCGGCGGCCCTGCGCAGTGATATTGCGGAGATCCTTTGGAGGGTCAACTCGATCCGTGATATTACTGGCAACGAGCAGGCGACGATCATAGCGGCTGCAGCGGCAGAAATGATGGTTGCTCAGAGGACGCCCGTTCAGCCTACTTCCCCTTCTATACCGCCGGCGCTGCCGGTGGTGCGCAGCACCGAGGTTATTTTGACCAACAAAGCTGCTGAACCCAAGAATGATACTCCTCCTGCCAGAACTACTGCCCAGGTGCCTGGATTGACGAGGTGAGGGCCAAGCTTGCTGCCATTAACAAGGATCGCGAGGCCCTGATTGAAAAGGTGGCCAAGCTTTCGAAGAAGCGCAAGCTCAAGCCTAAACGGGCAAAGCAGGAAAATGTGGCGCAGGACGCGACTGAAGGCACTGCGCCGAAGAAGCAGCGCAGCTCTTCCGTAGACACGCCCGTCGCAACCGCCACTGCCTCCGCTGCCACTAAGCCTGCTGCCCCCTGCTGCCACAACGGCGAGTACCAACCCCGCGATTCCGTCAGACATCGCAGGCACTACTGCCAACATCAAATGGCTTTCAATGTTGCTCAAACGGGCCGCCAGCAAGCACATCAAGGTCGAAAAGCCTATTGGCGACTATGCGCCGAGCAACACCATTGATTCGTCCATATTTCAGCCGATCATAGTTGTTGATGGCATTGGCCTCCCCGCTACTACAGGACCGGTCTCTCGCATCATTTTGGCTACGACAGTCGGGGACGGTTCTAACCTGCTGAGCGCCCGCACCCACTCGAGCCCAGCGCCAGCTGCTCTCTCTGTATGCTCGTCGCCGCGGAGCACGTACCTGTCTTATGAATCGCCATTCAGCAAGTCCTCAGTGCCATCCACACCGACATTCGACGCTGCAGAATTCGACGCTGACACATTTTCTCAGGACATAGAATCAACACCGACCTCTGTTGATAATGACGAGTGTTCGCTGAAGATATTGAAGACGATTACCGTGGCGCAAATAGTTAATCACTTCCACACACAGTTGGAGGCTAGTCAGGACGTCATTAAGCAGTATTACAATGACCTGAGAACGGCCCTGTGCACTGTCCCGGCCGAAGCCGACGGGACTGCCTCCACTTTTGCGGTTGCCAAGGCGCTCTTGCCAGTTCTGTCCAAGTTTGGGAGCATCCCTAAAACAAACAAAACTCTTGGTAATAAGAACCCGCTGCAAATAGCCATTGACCTTGGACAGGCGCACGCCTTGGACAGCGGCTTTATTTTGTTCTCGAAGATACAGGAGAACAAATGCATCGGCATAAAGCAGCTAGCCGACTTGCAGCGTAC